CACCTCGAATCTTTGGCCATTCCTTCGCCCATGATTCATGGCGCGTTTTGTTGCCGCAAAAAATGTAAATGGCATCCACTTTTGGTAAGCTGTGAATGTCATTTACAAGGCTTTGCCCTAACGCTCCCGATGAAATTATGAAGGCTTTGCCATCATCAATTTCATTGAGAAATTCGACACACTGCTCTGATGTTGTACACACATTCACATCACTTACCACTGCGCGTAATTGTGCCAGTGTGTTTCGGCAATCGCTATTGTTTTCGTCGATGCTGCCATCGACCCAAATCACCAAGTAATTTTGAGTCATACGACGTCTTGGTGGTATAGCACCCGATAGTGTTGCTCTGTTTAAAGCAGCACTAACGGTTGATTTTGGAACAGTTGATTTGAATTTTTGTCCACTCATATCGAGTACGTGCTGTTGCTTAATACAAATGATGAATAGCAATGTGCTGTTGAGGCACCAGCCTCGTTTAGATTTATATAGCCTATACCTTACTTTTTATAGATATCTTTTAAGACGTTAAATGTGGCTATTTTATCTTTTCTCTGTTGATACTCAACAACAGATGCATACCTTATTTCTATTGCAGATATGTTTATCAGCAAGAAAAGAAAGAATAGAATTAAACTGTCACGAGTTTCATGATTATTTTTTTCCAACTTTCGTTTACTTTTCGTGGTTGCAAGTATTTGAGTGTCGTTGTGAGAATAACTTCGTCTTCTTCAGACAGCAGTGTCATATATCCAACAAATCGGGCATGCCAGAGATACCACGGGAGATGCGGGATACACAACAACAATACTCCCAGCAAATATAAATATCATAGCTATAGGGAATCCATCAGGCACAATCTGCATATGGTATTGCTGTACAACTCACCGCAACGGCGGAACCAGAAATGAAGTTCACCACATCATGAAGCAAAGCGAGAGGGTGAGCGCCGAACCACAGGTAGGCACACTAAATCGTAGTCTTTCGTGGATAGAGCCACATAGGCAAAACACTAGATATATACTGAATCAGACACAAAAAGGTAAAACAGGCAGGCAACTAACCACGCCAAAAGGCATATTACTCAATGTTGGTGTGCGACCACGGTAGAGGAACACGAAAACACATTAACACATTCACACACTGCCACACCCACACTCGGTGTACAGATACGAACGCATCTCTATTACTCGAATTATCACTCTAAGATGTGGGTGTGGGTGCATGCATTCAACTTGCGTTTTAAGTAGGTGCGCGTGTTTTCATCGTTGTCTACCGCAGCGACGCGCCAATATCGAATGATTTGCCTTTTCCACGTGGTTGGCAGTGCGCCTGTTTTTACCTTTTTACCCGTCATCCGCTGTAAATTTAGTATTTCGTTTTTGTGGCTATATTCATGGATGACTACGATTTAGCAAGCCGATAATTGTTTCGGCTCTCACCAGCATCGTTCACTGCGTCCTATGATGAACTAATTTCTGGGTTCGCCTTCCCTGTGAGTTAGACAGCATTGCTGGATGAACGGTTTCCACACTCAATTGTGACCCAAGGATGGGTATTGGCCATAGCCTTCAAATAAAAAAAATGTTGTTCCTCAGTAGCTCTTCGAAGATACGGCGTCTCTGCGTGAGACGCAGAATGCGCTGAAATAATTTTACATACGCATAGTATTTGTATGTCGGCGTTTCCCTTGGCATCTCAAGCATGCCCGATATTTCGGATATGTGACACCTGTCAAGATAAAAATAACAATAGCACGAACAAAAAAGGTTTTTTTATTTTATTTTTAAAATAAAACAGATATTTCACTAGATAGAAGTTTTTTTCTACTTGTTTTTGTTCGCCAATCTAAAGTAATATGAAGATATGTAATTACTTTAAGGAAAAAAAAAGAAAAGTGCAAACATACTTCATTAATCAAGCTGGGTGATATTGTTCTCTCTTTTATTCTTTGATATCACGCAGTCCAGAAAAATCATTAATTGGGCATAACACAAGGCCAGGTTGGCAATGTCATAGTACGCAGTTGCCTCTATATTATCTGCCAGCGTAACCCTTCAAAAACCATTGCATTCATGCATTCAGTTCTTGCCATGTCTAAGATCGATGTACTGACTTTAATTGCAGCGACCATTTTTGTTAGCATTTCCATCATCTCTGGATACACTGCATAAACATAAGCGCGTGCATCCGGTGAAGATACTTTCGGATCGTTAAATAAGACATCACCGACTATATAGGGTGATTCAAATCTTTTCAAGATTTTTTGTTTCCTATTAATCTCAGTCTTTGAGTGCTCTTGATGCTCGTTGAAAAAGATGGAAAGACGTACTGTTTCCACTGTCAACCAGGCTACAGTGGCAGCAAATAAAATAATTTGGAAAGGCCAAGTTTTCCATTAACTTTAGCCATGTATTTGATAAAACAGTAATTGTTGGCCAAATACAAGTAATAATAAAATTTAATATTACAAGAATAACATTTTTCATCGAGTTTAGCCTTTGCATTTTATTTGCCAAATTCACCTCTATAAAAAATAAAAAGATGATATCTTAGTCCGACCATAAGATCTCCTTGAGATCCTATGCGAATTCAACCGAGTTTACAAAACTTCAATGAACATCATGGTATTTCATAGAACCCTATTAAAATTCACTCAGATTTAGCAGATCTCAGTGACCTTAAGTGGAGTTTCTCATACTTTTCGAGAACAACTAATCAGAGCATTTTGAAACTTTCAGTGTTGACATATCTCGCTGAGTACAGGAAACATTGCCAAAGACTCAAGTTTCTCGAATGCTTCTTTGTAGAAGATATTGGAATTACAAGGACTAAAAATAATCATCGTATCCACCTTTTCTCACTCACAATGTGTGAGATAACAGTAAAGATCATTTTTTTGGAGTGTCTATCTTTTTTGATCTTTTACTGCTCGAATGGAAATACCATAATTCTGAGATGGCTCTAATATAGTTGTCTTTTCAACTAGAATTTTGTTTTTTGTAAATCCTTGCAAAACCAGTTGTAGATCAGCTTTTGAAGAAAACATATAGACACCCCAAAATCGCTCTACTCTGTCCTTAGCGCCTGATAGGGCATATAAAACTGAGCTCGCCCATTGAATGGATTGATAACAATCAAAATTGTGTTCAATGGTCATATTTTGTTTATGTCATTTCAAAAGGATATTTATCCATGCATACAAAGGATCATAAATCTGTTTACAATTGATTAAAATACTACTAATTTTATCTATTAATATTTTTCGAAGGAAAAAAATCTCAACAAAATAAGTGAGTATACTTATGTCACCAACGAAAAAAGTACTATTAAATCATGATACCCTGAACGATTTAGAAAGATTTTTCTTTTAATTTTAACTCGAATTTGGGTGCTGTATAGGATGCTGATCACGGATATCAAACTTATTTTCCTTCAAAATATTTTAAAAAATAAAGAGAAAGCATTTTTTACAATAAGTTATTCTAGATCCCAATTTATGAATGAAGATCATGATTTAGTTGTTTTTGTTGATTAGAAAGAAACGTAAATTTCGATTTATAAATTGATTTAAGTTACAGCGAGAGTCTCTGTAACAGTATTGTATTTGTACTTTAAAAAATGTACTCATACTTTCGCCCAAGCACTATAATCGCTCATAACAACTGGATTTTATTGCAGTTGACTCTTATTGTACAAAAAGAAATATTAAATGTGAAATCACTTACGGTTAATGATATGATGTGTCTTTGGAATAGAAAACAACATTTGGCCACAAAATAGTGTATATGAGAATGTTGTTAATAGTATAATCCACTTGTGTGATTTTTCTTTGTTTCTTCTGTTCTACCATTTTGCATATAACGTGTCCGACATATACATATGCATCGTTGTTTCTTTTCTTTCCAGTAAAACGAAAGAACGAAGAAAAACGACTATCCTTTGATTATGTCGATTCGATGACTGCTATGTTTGAGTGGAAAATTATTAGGATACTTTATTTCAATCCGAATATTCATTTTATGTGAGATAAAGGTTTTTGCAGGATAGAAGAGATGACTAGTCATAGTACCGTGATATATGAACACACAATGAAGTAGTTGATTAATAATTTCGAAAACAAAATTCAATCATTAAATTGACCAGTGCGTGTGCATAAATAATTCTGTATTTTTCGGTATCAAACTTTTCTAATCTATCATCACACCCTTATTATATTTTTCGAGACTAAACTTAAATTTTTACCGTAAAATTTAATTACCATATTTGATCATATAACACAAGAATTATCTTTTATCACACATCATGTTTATTTGTAAAGAAAAATAAGAGAGCAGTCTAATTTTATTTTCGGAAAACTTCAAATGCCACCTGTCTACCAATTTCTTGCCCTCGTAATGCATCACTACGCCAATGCACACCTAAGTATATTCGACTGTCGGCATTTTCTTGTTCAGCTGCTGACAATGAAGCATAACTTCGAAATAGTGCAGGTCGAGGTCGTCCAGTATTTGAATCTATTGTTTTTCCATTGTATTCATCAGATTGAAACTGAAATGAAATATTGTCTCTATCGTAAAAGCGTCGTGATGCTTCAAAAGTCGCTGATCCGAATGTTGCATGGCCCGAAACAGATGCTGGAAACGAAGGAGCTCCTAATGGTACCCATTGTGGATCGCGAATACCGATAATAGGTCGCCAAAAACTATAATAATATTTTTAGCGCTCCATCATAGGTCCATGCAATATCGATACGGGTTTGATCGTTGGTACGTACTGTGCTTGTTTTTGATCCAAATAATTTCACCTAATTTAATTCATTTGCAAAAGCTGAAGAATTTAAATAGTTTAGACGCAATAATGGCGAATTACCGACAGCATTGGGTGCGCGGAATTTTGATGCGAAATCTAGAAAAAATGGTTTAACTTTCCCCCAATGAGGATCGCTAAAACCTTGAATAGGATTGGTTGGGTCCATCTGATGGTAGCCCGGGGTCAATGTTGGAATGTAGTTTTCATTTATCATACTACCATCAGTTTCTCGACTTTTGAGAATGAATGAGGCAGCTAATTCACCGACGATTAGACCCATGTTAATTTCAGTTTCTGCTTGATTGCCATATCTTACATGATATATGGCACCATGGATAATAGCAAAAGCACGAGCTGTTCTTGCTGGGTCACACTGTAAAAAAAAAGCGTAGACTAATAAACGCTTGCCCTATCTATAGATATTCATAAACCCTTTAGGGGTTTATGAACTGGAGGGTTTATGAAACCAAGGGTATATGACAAAAAAAAGGGTATTTTACTTCAAGAGTCAAGGATAAGGGTTTACTATTGTTCGCCAAAGGGTATCTTATTCTACGATTTCAATATAAGGGTTTATTAGTTTCCATGCAAGGGTATTTTATTCTACGATTTCAATAGAAGGGTTTATTAGTTTTCATGGAAGGGTATTTTATTCTACGGTTTCAATAAAAGGGCTTATTACTTCCTTAAAAGGGTATTTTATTCTACGGTGAAGGATTTATTGTTCTACTCCATCATCAAGAGGGTTTTTTATTCTTCGTTCAAAGGATTACACTTTTTCAACTGATATATATCATGAAAATTTCTCATATGGCACTTCAAACAATTTAATATAATAAACATGCTAATCCAATCATTTTCTCACAATGCAGCCATTCATGCATCGATGCACTTTCCATTTCGTACCTGTTTCGTAAAACATAACGGTATCGCATAGAGGCGCTAATTTCGCTAATCAATTTTGAATCATTTCGAGCCAAACTTCAATCCGCACATTGTTTAAAAATCAAAATCAGACGGCTTCACGTGAGCAACTTCATACAAAAATTTGAGTTAAGTCAAACGGAAAGATAATATGGTGATTGCGGATTTATTCTAAACTCACAGTGGTATTCAGAAAAAAGTTTGTTTTCATATCCATCCAAGAGAACAAATTAAAGTAGGCATTATACTTCAATATATTTATGTTCTTCCTTTACCTGGTTGAAAATAAGCTCAACATAATGCGAGTAATAACATTCCAAAAATAATTTCAGGTTGTCTTTAGTTTAGGTCAGTCGCCACAGCTAATGGAAAATAGGGGTGATTTACTTATATATTTATATCTTTTCTTTACGTCCACTAAAAATGCAAAATGAAAACGGAAGTATTAAAACTTTCTCTCTGATTATTTTTTTTTCCGGTCCATTGATACAATGTATTCAAAGTGAATATATCGTTTCACATGTCTTTATAAATCTTATATTTTTCTACCTTTAGTTCAATATCAAACATATAATGTAAGTATAAAAATATTTTATAAATAGCTATTTCTTTTTTTTCCATTTAGATTAGTCGAAACTATACATGGGAAACAGCTATGAAGATCGATTTCTGACATATGGGACAACCCAGTCAGACAAGCGCCTTAAAAAAAAAGCGTTACAGCGAATACATATTTTGACGCTTTCATGTTGTAAGACGTTAAAACATCTTAAATTTCTTAAAAACGCCGTATTAAATCTTTTTAAAATTCTTTTTGAGGAAATATATTTCTAAAACAAATCTTTCCTAATTTACTTAAATATTTAAAAAAACAATTTTTATTTCCAAAGAAATAATTTTTTGAATATTTAAAAAAATAATTTTTATTTCCAAAGAAATAATTTTTTGAATATTTAAAAAAATAATTTTTATTTCCAAAGAAATAATTTTTTAAATACAAAATATTTGAATTTTTTCATGAAAATTAAAAATGTAATAGCAATTGTTCCGCTTAACTTTATATCATCTTCAGTTTCCTATAAAATTTTGTTTGATTTAAGTAGCATTTCTTACTTCATCTTGATATCATACGACTGACCGAATGGATAACATCTTGGACTATCAACCAATTCATCTCATGATCGAACCTAGGACAACGCAGTAAGTTCCAAAACCTTAATTTTAATCTGGTAGATATAAGTAATAAACCCTTTGGAAGGGTTTATGAAAGCGTATATAAAAATCAAATACCCTCTCATAAACCCTTAGAAGGGTTTATGAAAGGGTTTATGAAAATTTTGACATACGGTAAAAAGGGTTTAGTCTACGTTGCACTTTCATAAACCCTTAAAGGGTTTATTATTCTACCTTTTTTTTTACAGTGCACCGTGTTCTGGTGAGTTGACAATGGCCGAATCGTAATCATTTTCACATGTTTCTAACGTTACAAGATTCCACAAGAGAATGGGATCTGTCGAAGATGATTGCATTTTAGCAATGAGCTTATCGATGTATACCTTTAAGAAAATGCTACGATCTTTATTACCATTGATCATGGTAACAATTGCAAATGTGAATACAAAGAATGATAACTTCATAATATGATTTGTTTTTAATTCTGTAAACCTGCAGTTGAATTGATATTATTTATACTACGAAGTGTATCCAGAAAAATCGTAGGGAGATACTACCCAAACAAATCTTTACTTTGCAAGGAATCACTTCCTCGATAGATCCTATTGTTTATACTGAATAAATAAATGAAAGGAAGTGACTGCATTGTATATCAAATCTCATAGATCAGTGTTTTTATTTTTCATATGATTCAGCATATACCAGCCAATATTTTTAATAGTCTAATATTGATTCACCATTAGTGCATATGCTGTAAAATCTACTGAGAAATTATATATACTCAAGTTTCAACACCAGTATTTGCTCTAAAACATGATACCAGCTGAGTACTGGGCCATTAAATTTGATGGAACTGCCCCACTGTTACTTACACGCTAATGTCTAATACTGTGTAAAGCTTCGTAAAGTGCATGATATTTAAGCTAGTTATCAGTAGAAAAAGCGATTGAAATGTTTCACAGACTCATGTTTGAAATAATGATAACAGTTAGATCGATGACTTAAGTCTTTTACGAGTCAATTTTTATCTATCGAAACCAAAAGTATGATAAATTCAATAATTTTTTTGCTGTACAGAATACTATAAAAATTTTCTTGTATAATTTACATCTTCACTGACCATTCATGATTATCAATTATTCAAATTTATTTATATAAATTAAGTATTGTTAAATTCATTCATGTTTCCCAAGTTTTATTTTCATAAATAGTAACTAATGTTCATTCCACGTTTTCTATTGGTTGGCAGAAATGCAACGTTGTGATCTTTCTGTGCTAGTGAAGCAGTTAGACATTCCTATAATATTATTTTTTTATGAGGAAAGTGATTGGTTTCATCTCAATTATAGACTCTAATTTGTGTGTGAATATGAAAATGGTAACAATCGCACCATTTAGCTTGCCATGAAGGTTACGAACTCTAAGAATTCCTTGAGTTTTTGCGCAGATAGAAGTCCTACTTTCAAACAATGTTAACAATTTTGCAGTATGTAATATTTATAGGCAATTTAATTGGTCAATAGTGGCTTTATATTGCTTCGAAAATAACCAATTTTTCTATTTCTCACAGTCCGATCTCTCGAAATCTAAGGAGTTTATTTCATTCTAGATGACAAAGAATCGATATGTTTGCTGGATTTGTATTCAACTCAAGTAAATAAGCAATTGAGAGAAGAGCAGGTTCATAAAATTATCTTCGCAAACAAGCGGAATGTGAATGTGAGAGGATGCTGAAATTTATGTTCTTATTGAGGATTTAGGACATCCACTTCGCTTCGTTTTGACAGACGAAAGTAGTGGTTGACAAAAGCTGTTGAAAATTTCTTCCAATGGAATGCATTCTATTAGCAATGAATTTATGAGTTTGTATGCGAGTAAACCAATTTTTGATTCTGAGTCATGCCTCGGACTCACTGATCTCTGTATGATTCGTTATCGATCGATGCTTATGGAATGCACCTTTTTTTTTCAAGGTTTCAATTTTGTGTTGCTTGACGTGCTGCTATCAATTCTTCTTCCTTTCCCTTTTCCCATTTTCATATTTACAAACAGCTTCTTCGTGTATTTTGTCTGTCATTATTGGTAGCTCAGTTGCCGAAGTCTTCAGAGTAAGCGCTACGACTGACAAGGTAAAATGTGATTTGAAATTAATATTGATTGCCCAAGCCAAATTACATGGACTTATTTCGACGAGTAGTTCATCGCTGTATAATTGTCTATGTCAGCAACTAACGAGTTTTGGTCTTTGTCACTCAAACAATGCGTCTGCTCTATGTGTTTTATCTTCTCAGCAACTAGTTTTCATCATTTCTTTTTCTGTATTTTTATTTGTTGTCAAATTCATCTATAAAATATTGTGATATATCATATATATTATACACCAATAGAATTTATCTAGAAATTTAAACAATCGTTTTTCAATCAGTATCGAAGAAGACCAGCAAACAATAACAGAACTACAACACCTTTGAGAATATTCAAATATGCAAACATGTGCCTGTTTATGTCTATCCATACAAATATAACTCATACCCGCCAAAAAACACTCGTGCTTTATAACGTTTATTGTTAGACTACTAGCGTGTAGTTCCAATATATCCTCAAGTGATGCTTAATGGAGTTTCCGCGACGAAGTTTAAAAGATATGATATGTTGAAATTCGATTCGTAAAGACTCAATGAATTCAAATTTCACGGCAGGCTTTCCTAATAATTTTCAAACAAGTAAACCAAATAAACGCAGAGTTTTGGTGATCGATGAGGAACACGGAGGCATATATATTGACGAAAGAATAACATTTCCACATACTCTAGCTACTGAGAAAGACAAGTATGTATGAATGAGTCTTACTCTTTAAAAATATTCTATTCCATTGATTGCTACGACATAGTATGTTGATGGAAATTCGGTCGACTTAGCTTCTTTAATAAAATTAATTATGATTACGCATGGGTTTCATAAAAGTCGTCTTACGAACAACCGAGAGCGGTTATATGAATGTTGTTTATATTGATCAGTTATGACATCTAAACTCGTCGATTATCATAAGAAGATTCTGAAATTTAAGCAAGCAATTGGACGACTTATGAAATAAATGTTTATTCAAAAAACAATGCGACTCTCTGTAGATTTATATTTTATAGATTTAGTTTCACCATTTGTTTAGACTTATGTTTACAATGGATATATCTACATCTGTCTTCCGAAGCAATAGTCTGTGCAGCACATATTATATTATTGTCGATTAAATAAATTTGACATGGATTCTACCAGCTTAGATGTTTTCATTCGGCACGCATTCATACGTATTTTTCTTCGATTTCTTTCTGTGCTGATGTAGCAAACTTTACATTTTCAGTTGGCTTTATTCTTTACTCATATTTGCTTCACCATTAGTTCTCAACAGATTCTTTTTCATTTATCATGATGCTCGGTGAGTTTTTAGTTTGCCGATAGGCCTAACATAATGTATAGTTTTCAAAGCCCTTCACAATCAGGAATTAATCGCCCGAATATATATAAAATCACTACTAGTCTATGTAGACAGACGATTTCAATGTCAGTATATTCAAATTGTCATAGAGACTCAACTCATTATATGCTTCCAAAAATAGAATACATGAATATCTCGACAGAATATAAAGGTCGTGTTTAATCGTACGAAAAAGTACACTGAGCTTCCTTGTGTATACAAACGAATAAAAGCATATGTCAAATGCTGAAGGTCGATATTTGATGCTTAGTATGAGAAGTAGAGCTTATTTTAAAAAATAGATTTACAAATTCAGAAAAATAGTATATTTGCATATTATTTTTACTAGATATATATATGATTCTAAAATGATAGTAGTGTTATTCGACTGAATATTCCATTTTGGACTTTTTTGAGGCTCGAGATTCTGTGAGAGATTTCTTGGTTAAAATCTTACTAAATCTGATTCCTTACTATTCGATGATGCCCTAAACGGTACGACATGAATCAGATCAATGACTGGTGCTACAGTTCCCAGTACTGTTGATCAACTATATATCCTATCTAAATACGAGATCACAGATATTTTCATTCTGAAAACATCTATCGACCACAGATCATTGACATACAGAGCAGACGGATTGATCCATGACCGACTATGCACTCTTCATTGTTACTATCCTGAATGATCAAACGGAAGAAGACAAAGTTAAGCAAACAACGGTAATATTTTCATGATCAATTAATACTACTAGTCTATACGTGTTGTCAATTCTATCTTCTAGGAGATGTCATCATCACTATGCGAGAAGTTAAAGAGTTATTTTTCTGAAAATACTGATATCAAACCAGTATGGATGCCATCTACCGATCAAAAAACCTATCAAGTCACATTTCATGCTGAATTTGGGGTTAAGAGTGATCGAATCTTGCTTGATTTGAATCAGAGAGACATTGGTATCAAGCATGGTAGTCGAGTTTGTGTTGTTCCAACTACTGTTTTTATGGAGACGTACGATCATGTACCAAACAATACCTCAAACATAGACGTAACAAGTGTTAAAAGTACTGTGAATACCGATGATGATTTTCATTCAGTACTATTTGAAGATTCAGCGCCGAAAAGCAAAGTTCGTAAACATATTGACACATCTAAATTCAAGAAAAGTGTTCGAGCTCGATTGATGGTACATCAAGTGGTCGCTAGTATCCGAGCTGCTACACAGCTCTCATTTGATTTCATCGTTCTACTTAGTCTTGCTTCAATGCTTGCTGGCTTTGGACTACTGGAAAATTCATCTGTAATTATTGTAGCAAGTATGTTGGTTAGTCCATTGATGAATCCTATTATGGGTATTGTGTTTGGTCTGTCAGTACGCGAGCATTCCCTATGGCAACGTGGCATTCGAAACGAGTTGATTGGTCTCGCTCTCTGTATACTTTGGGGCTTTCTCATTGGGTGAGTCGATTCTTGCGTATTATACAATAAAATATTAATTCTTATCAATCTAGCCTATGTACAACACATGTTGAAACCAGATGGGGTAGTTCCACAAGTTTTCCTACTTCGGAAATGAAATCTCGTGGTGATCTCAAACGTCTATGGGTCGGCGTTTTGATTGCATTACCCAGTGGTGCCGGCGTTGCGTTATCAGTTCTTGGTGGTAACGCAGGTAAGATTAAACTATGCAGACTTTTAGTATAGTCATCCTTCTTCATCAAAGGTTCATTGGTTGGTGTGGCTATTTCTGGTGAGTCAATTTTTCCTCAAAGAATCATCTCACTTCAATGTAGTTCTTTAGCTTCTCTTTTACCACCGGCTGTCAATTGTGGTCTTCTTCTAGCATATGCCTTACTTTCTCATGCAATATCTAATGTAGCCACTTCTCATATGGATAATAACTCGAGTGCTCAAACAAGGGAGCTGTTTTTCTCTTTCCAAAATCGACTTCGCCCCAACGATCCGATCATAAACTGTTCTCGATTTATCAATAATGATTATTTGCCATACTATTCATGCTATATGCCAAATGAAGCAGCTATACTCGGCGGTTGCAGTTTGCTTCTAACTATAGTGAATATTCTATGCATTATTATAATGGCTTTGATTATTCTTCGTATAAAAGAAGTATTACCATTACATCAAGAAAGCAAAGAAATCGTGAAATTCTTTCATCATGATGTAAAAGTAGCTCGTGACTACAACAAGAGCATTACTGTTAAAGAACCTAGTCGTAGCAAGAATTTTGGCTCACCAAAACTCAGAGTGATCGTATTAAGTAAATCAATTACCAAACATTGGAAGGAATTGATACCATCTTCAAAAGGTCGAGTATCGCCGACCGCTTGTTCGTCGAACGCAACCTTCTATCCGGATAATTCTGCCGACTTAAGTCGTCTGCAGACTTATGCTGAAGATTTCGATCTTGATGTCTTTTCTATTGAAGATCGAGAATTGACGACATCTGAAAGTAAAGAAAAGGTAATATGTTTAGCGAACAACATTCTCGATATGTACGAAGAAAAACCGTCAACATTTGTCGACTTATCTCGACTTCAACCGTATGGAGAACAAACATCAGCGCGAAAAGAACACATCTCATTCTACAAACATCTCATTGAATTACTTCCTCCAAAATGGTATGAAGTTTTTGATCGTGAGAGATGTCGACGAATCAATACAGAGTCTACTGCGAGCAGAGAAAGATCGAATTCATTTTCTGAACAGTCATTGAACGAGCAACATGAACCAGTTGGATTCAATAGACCTCAAAAAATAAAATCTGAACCGAGGCATAATCTTCACATCACATCTACACCTTGACGCAAAACTTTGGAGGATCATCATTGGAAATTCTAAATACTTTTCAAAGCTATCGTAACCATCGAATATATGTATATACTCAAAAACAAAATTTCTTTTCTTATAGTACTCGTATATTGATGTAGAAATTTTTGTGAGAATAGTGAAGAAAAAAAAATGTCAATAATGGATTTCAGTACCAATAAACTGTATGACTACTCTAAATATCTAACTCGTTAAAATTTCCCAGTTTTCAAGACGAAATTGCAAAAACTATCCGATAGACTTTTTCAGATATGGATGAACACAGAAAAATCGATAGTTTCATACTAATTACATGAACATCATAGTCTAATCAGCTATATTTGATTAATTATTTGAACTAAATTCTCACAACGTATGGTCGGATCACTTATGACGACGCTTCATGTCATTATAACGTCATAATCAGATATGCAAACAAATGCACTCATAATAATATTCTTATCTTAGCCATACGCTAACAAGTAAAAAATGTAGAGATGAAAAGTCATGTATCGATTACAAAATCGACATAGATACTTCTTGATAATCATATGACACCGCAATACTCGAGATTTCTAGGTAGACCGTTTTCATCAATGTGCACGTATTTGAAGAAAATTGACATAAAATACATGACTAGCTATCCAAATAAATGTTATCAGTAAGAAAAGAGTATGTGCGAAGAACAAAAAAACGACACCTCAATCTTTTGTGAAAAGAATAATTTTAAGCGAAACTGACTTGCTGCTCATTTTGGGAAGAAAAATATCCATATTTTTCTTGCAATCGACGATGTAACTACATAGGCAGTTTATTAATCATTTTTATCATCGATAAAATTATTGAGAACTTTTTATTTGTTGAATATGCGAAAATCGCAACTTTTTTCAATATATGATGGCCTGATTCATTCGGATACCAGTTCAAATATTTTATCTGATTAAACGAGAGCTCTTATGTAAATTTATCAAATATTTATCCTAGATAGATTAACCTACTATTTATATACGCTAACATGGCTAATGTATACGTTAAGTTTTAATTTCTCATTTCAAATTCAGGTAATACAGGTAAGAGAACAATACGAAAAAACATCGTGTTTATTGAAATTATGCGAGATTTGCAAAATAATTTTCTCAACAATAATCTGGATAGAAGTTTATTTCCATGCTGTTTTTATCGACTGCGATGTCTGGATTATATTTAAAACCTTACACTGCAATACCTGTAAAATAAAACAGACTACAAATATATATATACCCTTTGATATTACTAAAGGTAATGACTAGCTCGGAGCAGGATAACGTGCTACAATGGCGTAATAATGATGTTGTATAAGACTAAGTCTAGCAATCGAATATCTATCATATGATAGAATCATCCAATTTTGAAAACATATTCATATTTGCAATTTCTATTGAAGATGAATTTTATTTTAAGTATTTTTCTTTGTAGACGAACAGTAACCAGTCATCAAAGTAAACAATACATATAGTAATGTGGATTCTATATATTGTTCTATTTACGTTACCGATTATTTTCGGCGCAAGCCGAGATTTTTTTGAGCGCGAAGATTATGATGCATTTGGAGACCGATTGGCAATCACGGAAAATCGCGTCATTTTCGCAGAGAATGGTGCTCGTGAATTCGCAATAATAGAGAATCCATTCTCCTCTAATCCGGTAGCGTGCTATTTGGAATATATATATGTCGATTCGCCACGTCATGCTAATACATCTCTCGATTACGTATATAACATAGTGATGGGTAGTAAACAAGATGAAATGGAACCGGTAGTTGCTATGATAGGCGAAACCAAACAGAAGGAATTTTATTTAATAGTGATGATTATGGCATATTCTCCTGGTTGTACTAATCGCCTGAAGCGCACTATATGGGTACCAGTGTCATTTTACGAACTTTTTCCACCCTCTGCACTCGCTGTAGACCCACGAGGTACATTTATATGCGTAGTGCAGTTAGATTCAACTTTGTGCATTGACATCATTAGCAACACGACCACAACATCTTCTAATTATCAGTTTTGGGATAAAAAGCAGTTTTTCCACAGTCGAGCCCTAGCAATCAGTGAAAAACGCCGTTTGTTGCTAACAGCCTATCGAATCATCGATGAAGAGAAAAAGCTTATTCCCTATTTGTATTTAGCTGATTTTTCTGATCCATCAAATCCACTGCTACTAGGCATGAAAAATCTATCATCACAATATTTGAAACAGGAAAGAGATGTGTTTACACGATACGCAACTCTGTCACTTTTTCTACATGAAACGTCGAACATGATCATTGTTGGTGTTCCACATTTGGATTGTATTTTTATTTTTTCTATGGAACAAAACTCGCTAAGTCTTGTTAAAACACACGTTTCACCGGAAAAGAATGTCTTATTCGGCAAATCAGTCGCAATTATGGATTCAAACATCTACGCAGTATTGGCCTATTCATTAGCCACTCTACCTTGGTCATTGTCTCAAATACAGGTAAGTTCTGCTTTAAAAAGCTTTCTTAAATAACTAGCAATGATTTCTATCGCTACCGAATTTGTTCGTTCACAGGTATATTCTCTTAATGAAACAGTAGAGATGCCGAAGCCACTCTTTATATTTCCAAATAATCAACAAGAAATGGAATCAACAGATTCACAGGAACTTCCTCACCGTATTGTGAGTCTGATGGCGTGGCATTCTAATGGTATTGGTCTTGTTCTCGATGCTGGCAATGTTCTACTTATTCCAGCAAGTCCTCCTGGCTATTGCAGTGCATCAATAAAGAAATATGAAGACATAGACATATACAAGCCGAAATCGTGTATACCAGGTACTCGTCAAATCAGTAGCAGTTTTGGACCTTGCATGATTTGTCCACCTGGTTATAAAAACAATGGAAGTGCTGGAGAATTATGTGTCAAATGTAAGACTAATGATACATTTTGGTGTTTTGGTGCTGCTATCAATGAAATCGATATGAAAAACATGACGAGTTACGATCAAGCAAATCCTTATCCAGAATCACCACATGCGACAGAGTTTGAGGATATACTTCTGCAAAATATTTTTCAGTTGCCAATTCTAAATCTGCATTGCCTTAGAATTTCACCTATATTCTGGACATTTGTTGGTATTTGCTGTTGTATACTTATTTGCATTATAATCAAAATTCTTTCATGTTGGTCGAAATCTCGAAAGCGACAACAATGCATTCAAAAGATCTTGTCTCATTGTGATGTGATCGGTGAAGGAACGTATTGGTTGGGTGGATTAATATCATTACTCGTACTGATTCTCATCATATTTGCATGCAAGTTCAGCATATCATTTACTTATCTCTATCCAATCGAACAAATATCATCGGGGCAACGGCGAACTGTATCATGTGACAATACTTTGTTCAATGCCAAACTCACTAGTTCTTTACAGTTACTATCGACACTCAAATACGAAGAGGAAAAGCCGATATTTACCTTGCTCAACGGACAGCGCCTTCTTCTGACCGTTCAAGTCATTAGTACCGGTTATACATGTAAGGATCTAGAATTGCACACAATTCGAGTTCGTGGACTAAGCATTCAATCTGAAAATTTCACCTGTTCGAAACATAATGAAGTATTAACCGTTATTAAACTATTACCGCAACATGTTCTCAATATGCAATTAAATTTAAAGGGGCCACATTTTATCGGTGGACTTCGTCTCTGCTTCACAGCAGCTTCCGTTACAAATTCCGATGCTCATTCAAGGGTTCAAGCCATAGATACGTGTCAATTATTTTTCATGTCAAATCAAACTCTAACAAGAAATCCGACAGTCAACGTAAAAATGACTAAAGTAATCAATCGAACTGCAGGCTTTACGTTACCGAATGAGACAACATACACAGGTCTTTGGCTACCTCGTTTCACAGCCGATACGCTCACAGATGAACTACTGTTTTCGCTAGGTTCTGAATATCTTCGTTATGTGCCAAAAATAACTACATTGGATATATCGATAACTGAATCGGAATTCTACATGAAAAATACACAAGAGCCTATTGCTCGTCAATATGAAATATTATTTAGCACAATATTATTTGCAAGTAAGATTGTATTAGTACTTAATGAATGATGGCAATGTTTGAGTATCTTCTCGTCAGAATAGTCCATCTGAAGCGATACTTTCTCTTTTGAGGAAAACAGAAAAACAATGAATCTATCCTACAGAGTTTCTAGTAATGCCAGCATGATAAGAAATTTTTCATTCATATTTATTTGTAGTGTTATGTCTTGATTTATTGGGGCTTCTATTTTTGGTCTTCAAATTAGCCATTCTTCCGTTCCTTCTATTGGCACAGAAAAGCCTATGCAGCAAAACTGGAAATAAAAAACCGACCAAGAGAAGTCGAAAAAAGAATACAGTAACATCAAATGAAGGTAACACTATACGTTGTATCTCGATGGGACCATTGGGCGAGACGGTCGAACATTCTTTGAGAGTGAACAACGGTGGATCAACTTACATGAACAGAAAGAATTCATCTGTAAAGACACAATACTGATATTGAATTCTTCATTCGCAATACATTTTGCTGATTTTGAACACAAAATATATATTTTTAATTACTTCATTAAAGTTATTTACATGTTTACTAACTCTTTGTTGGATTTCGTTGGATTCAGCATTTTTTTCAACATCTGATGGCGACCCATTAAATCTGGATTGTCTATTAATTAGAAATCTACGTGATTAGTCTGCATCTTTATGATTTTGCTATTTTATCGTGATGATGACTGAGTTGAATAACTTCGCTGTTTTTTTTCGTAGCATTATACACGTATACTTATTAAAGTTTCGATGTTCATTCCAAGCGTTAGCTATATGCACAGAGAGAAAGAAATCTAAATGTAACATGATAAGTGAAAATAGTGTACGAGAGAGATAGAAATATTAGCGTAAGATAGCTATAGTTGCCTGACAATGTGATGTAAGAAGCGGGTGGTATTATATTACGCGATTGGTAGGATAGTAAATGGTTACAAGAGACGAGAAGGAGTATTCTTTGAGCTGGTAGATATTAAACAGTTGTACATTGATGGAAGTAGGTAAAAAATAACAGATGGTAAGCCAGAAGATTGACACGGCACAAGAGACAAAAAGAAGAGCGAATAATTAGGAAACCTGAGAGGAGAGAAAAAAACTCAGAGAGTGGTAATAAGAGCTGTGATTGGAAAGGAGGGAAAAGGCACGATGCGGCACGGTGGGCATAGAACGGAGGCAAGTTAAGCGAACAGGAATAACTATAGACGTATCCACATAGAACCTAATAGCGATCACGAGTGTACAATTTCTGATTAGTTGACGCAGCTTGCAGTAAATCAAGAACATAATTTTCTGTAGCATTCCATTATATATATATTTCTATCTGGAATTTCTTTTTCAGTAATAGTATTTGCTAAATATCTACAATGAACCAGTCTGTCACAATTTGTGGGAGAAGAGGTGCAAATTTCTGTCTCGTCATTACAGATACTAGCAACCATCATCAAACAACATTATACCATTAAACAAGTAGGGAGTGCTTTGGTTATCGATTTAGAAATAAATTACTTGTCTGGGACAGCTTTCCACTTAACGTTTTTTTTCGCTGAAAGTCACTATGTCAATATTATTTATGTAAAACGTTTCACTGTTGCTGTTGCTATGTGCGCTTTCTGTCGTTTCATTATGCAGTTAAAAGAAATTTGGGAAGAAAAAAAGCAGGCAGCAACAAGTAGAAATGAAGAGTAGAAAGCTGCTTCAATATAAGGATTATAAATAGAGTCACTTAAACAAGAGTAGACTCACTTTACACAAAGAAAAATCTACAAAAGTGTACACATCCATTTCAGTGAAATTTACTCGGTATGCTTAGCTTTCATAACTTTATTTTAACAAAAAGGGGTGTGGGTGTGAGTGTCGGTATGGGGTTTATAGCGAGACATGATAAATACAGCCACAACCACATCTCACACTCCACACACCCTCCAGATATCGTTAATGCTGTGTCTGGTCGTCAGTCACCAAAACAAAGAAACGAATCATTGAACAGACGATTATATAATTTAGTTCAAAATCCACATACAGACATGAAGGACCAATTGAAACATATCGGACGTTTGTTATCAATATAGAGTCTCTTTTCTCTTGTATATTGTTAATGATTCTTCTCATTGTTATTAATACATATTTTTATGTCTTACTTACATGTTTACTTCTAAATATTTTGGTAAGCAAGTATCCTAGCGAGCAACTAACCTAGACCCGTAGAAAGAATATTTCGATGTTATAAATAAAGTTAATATGAATCCTCGGCAGATTAGAAGATGTTGGAATAAACGTCGAGTTTTGTGGCTTGTATATATTTACGCAGTATCCATGATGAGCTCAAGTGATTTATTAGGTGAACTCTTACTCTGATGTACCTTTCAATCCGAGAGGCAGTTTATATTAGTAGTAGCAACGATATAGAGCTTATGAAATTGTTTCTGTGACTCATTGCTATTGGGACGATTGTTGATAGAAGGCGTATTTATTCAGTTCATTTATATTATGCTGTCGTATTGTTTACATCAATAGCACACTATTATATCAACAATTGCAAGAGAGGAGAAAGTAAAAACGTACTGATGAAGGAGAGCAGAATCAAGGTGAACGAGGTTGCTTACAATAACATACTCACCGTACAAAGTACAATAACGCATGTGAAAAAACAGAGATGTCAGTGGGAAAGTTCAGAATCATAGATGAACAGCCAATATAATCAAGCAAAGAGAGTAGATAGTGGCATTCAATAAACACTTAACCAGAAATATCACACATATGAATTTGAAATATTGATGAGTACACTTTCAGATAGATAGATAGATAGATAGATTGTAGTAGCGATGCTAAAACGTTGTGTTAAAGGAAAGCGGGCTGTGCCACTTTCAGTCTTTATTTGAGATCACCGCGAGCTAGTTTTAGTTTTCAAAAGCATTTCTGATGAAAGGAAAAGAGATTATCAAAATTTAAAATAATGAGTAAAGTTTCTGAATGTTTAATAAGCTGGCTATATGTTTAGAAACAACAAAGATTTTATTTTCTAGAGAACGTTAATTCAATAAACTGTAATTTTACAGATCTATTGAATCTTAGCATCGTTTCTGCTAAACCCAGGACGCAGGTGAGTAATCGGATTTCTAAAGAAAATTGTAAAGATAACTGAAACAAACCAGAAAGTAATTGACTACTGTCGAACATCGTGTGGTATTGAATTTCAAGCAACTTTCAAAAAGAAAACAGCCATTTTTTATCTTCATCTATTGTTTTAAAAGGAAAAGCAAAAATAAAAAGCTGCCTGGATATTATGAAAAATAACTAGCATTTTTCTCTATATTGACGTATCCGGAAAAGTCTGTATGGTCAACATAATTTTCATTTTAGTTCCGTTCACAACCAATACGAACAACATGTCTATCTTTGCATTCTGTGGTAAGCACTGTTGTAAATTCTGCAAGTCAACTCCTCAAGTGCAGAAACAAAATGGCACAGTAGTTACTGTGAACACAGCTGTGGACAAAAAAGAGAAGCCATTTGGTTATGTGGATATTTACCCCGGTAGGAAAAGTTGTTGAACTTGACTTTATGCAACTAATTATTAAAGCTCAGGGGAAATTCTTTGAAGGAAACAAATATCAGGTGATTGAGAAAAAACTGGCAGAAATCAGGAACATGTATTGCTCACCAAGGAATTGATTTTCTCTTTAGTTTGCGGAAGATTAATCTAATTTCTGGGATAATGATGAACTTGTCTATAGTCGTCAAAAAGGATGAGTAGCCTCCCTCTAACCAATTGAGTATGGCATAGTAGTATGAGCTGCATTTTCAGTTGCTCTGGAATAGTTTACGTTTTATAATTTCAGGTTAATTTTTGTCGACATCTAATTTTGATGTCTTTTTCATCGGTCTTTTCTACTAGGCGTACGTAAAGCGGATAACACTTACAATTGCCCAATGCTTGCTATTCATCTCTATCGTCAAGCACAGCTCAAAGCTAAAACGGATGAAAGTGAACGTACGGTCATCGTCGACAGGAGAAATCCAGTAAAAACTCATGAAGATTCAAAACAAATTAAAGAAAAAAATAAGTTCGACGCGGAAGTAGACATCATGATGCTTCCACTTGAAGATATAATACGGATGAGCGCCAAACTAGAAATTGAAAAAGCTGAACAATCTGATGTCAAAGAAGAGATTATTCCTGAATATGGCCCAGGTGGAAATTGCTGTGATACTTGTTGTGATAGCATACGCGAATGTTGTTGTTCCTGTCAGAGTAAAGCCAAAATTGCTCCAAGTGTTACTACGAAAAACATTTTCCTTGTAAACGAGTCAAATCGAAATCCAACAATTGAAGAAATAAATTTACCTCTTCCCAAACAGGAGGAACCTTGTTGTAGCCCTTTTCGCTGTTGGTGTTGTCGTGTGAAGCAGCTCATTGGTTTGGTTAAGCGAAAGAATACCTCAGGTGAACGAGAGGCACGACGCGTAATTACAGTCACAATCGAATATATCAAGTATAGTAATCTTGATACACCCTCAAATACGCGTCTACTCAGCGATGGAGAACAGTTAGCCCATTACAAACAGAAATTCAAATTGGAAGAACAACTGGAATTCTATTTATTCATGAGCACAGATTTGAATGCAAGCACTTTTGAGGTGAAGAAGAAAGACGCAGAAGATTTCTGTCGAACAGTGATGCAACTGAAAGGAATGAGAGATCAGTATCCATCTGAAAATGAATTAGATCAAATTCTCAATCAATCCATTAAGAAAACAGTCGGTATGGTATTTCGCGAACCAACGATGTCACTTCGATAAGATCCGATAACAACTAAATGACGTGAACCTAACAGCAAAAAGGAGTTGAATAGTATTGTGATTAAAGATACACAGGAAACGAATACTGATAATTAAAACTCTAGAATCATATGCTCACCCACACTCACACCCTATAATCAAGCTATATTTTTAAACACTTTTAATTCGTTCCAATTTTTTTTAAAATTAAATACATTGAATAAAACATAACAAAAAAAACAGACAAAATATCTTTGTATAGTAATTTTTATTTATACAAGGGCAGGTAAAATTCTGCTTCACGACTTTTAATTCAATGCTGAACTAAATTCTGGCATGAAATCAATCGGTCAATTATAGTTTTTCTAGTTCAATGAAGTCACTTCAGTTATTATGAAATTTCCAGTCATGACGAACATATTGGTAGAAAATTGCATCAATTTTTTCCAGAAATTCTGAAAATTAATTCAGAGCTAAGTATTTTTTTAAATGTAAAGATATCTTAAAAATACCCACCCAGCATGAGTTAACTGAGCTTAACTAAATCTACACTAATATAATCTTATTCTTGTTTATGTCGCATCGTAGAGCAAGACAAAATTTTTTGAAATTAATTTTTCTAAAAGACGCCTGTCACAATGTTAATTCCCACAGATGTCTCTAGAAACAGAATTTTTATGTAATTGCATATCGCAGCAGCAGAACTAGTTAAATGGCGTCTAACAACCAATAGATCTCATTCTTGACGATAATAATAATAAAAAGTAAGTAAGCAAGCAAGCATAATATGATCCGATCACATTAATATTCTTATCAACATATTTTGACAAAGTTTTTTTACCATGAAAAAAATGCCATTTTCATTAAACAGTGAGGGACGCTCTTTAAGCAGTTTATTTAACTCCAATGAACCTAACAGTAAGCAAAAAAAAATATTCACCTAACATTTTAATCTAATTTAGATTGTTAAATTTAGATTCAGACAATTTAATTATCGAACAACAAAATTTACTATGTGTATTCAAATTGGCTGTAAAAGATCTATTAAATTTAAGTTTAAAACATGAACGTCTTATGGAAAAGGAATATTTTCCATTGAAACATTTTTTTATTGTATTCGAACATATTCTTTTACATGGTTACACCGGTAAAAAATCTTTTGCAATAAGTTCATCGTCGAACCGTAAAGATCTTTGGCCAATCATTGATCTTATTTCACGTAAATCAACGGATACACATTTATCAGAAATATCTACATCATCAAAAGAAATGACTAATGTTCGTACACCATTAGGACGTGTGCGTGCATGGTTACGTCTTGCATTAATGCAAAAACATTTAGCTGATTATTTTAAAATTCTTGTTGAACAAAAAGAAGAACTAAAAGAATTGTACGAAAAAGACGCGTTATTATTATCCGATCAAAGTATCATTATACCTGGTTTACTTGTTGGTCTTAATGTGTTGGATTTTAATTTATGTCTACGAGAAGCAACACTTGATCATCCTATAGAAACACCTATACATTACAGTTTATATTTGCGTGAACGACGTTTATCATCAATTTCATCGAGCAATTCACATCCACCCGGTGCAATAAAAGATCCTATTGATGAATTAGACGATTTCTCAATGGCATCAGCAATACGTACGAGAAGAACAAGTGTAAAAGATAATGATACAGCTATTGACACCGATACCGCTAGTACAGAATCATCAGATGAGACAAAATCCGATACTGCATCTGATAAACGTCTTTCATCTATTCTTGATCAAAAAAGTTACATCGAAGAAATTAATCGAAGTTTACAGTAAATAAATAGAAAATTTCATTTAAATTCAATAAGTTTTTATAACAAAATAGGAAAACGCTTGTAAGTTTACAAAATAAATTGCAAACACTCGAACAAACAAATAAAACGTTGGTAGAAAGTGATGCACAACAAAAAGCGCGTATCGAACAATTAGAAGAAGAATCAACAAAATTAACATCAGAAAAAGAACACATACAATCATCTCATCAACGAAAAATTGACGTAAGATTGAGAAATAATTTTCAAGGAAAAATCGAATTTGATGATTCCTATTTGATACCTTTGTTAATTACAAAGCGTAATTATTATATAAATAATTAATATTTTTTGCTAACTTAGGCTTTAACGGCCGACATTGCAGTTGAACGAGAAACTTATAATAAATCTCGAACAGGATTCGATTCAATGTACCATGAACTGCAAAAGAAATACGAAGACGAATGTACATCGAAACAAGTAAAAAGAAGACAAAAAAAATTTATTTCATAAAAAGAAAACTTCAAAATAAATTCCTAGAAAATTGAAAGTGTTTATCAAGCTCAATTATCACAAAGCAACGAATTTATTGAATCAACGAAAGAATTAGAAAAAGACATTGAAGTAAAAAAAGTATTGTATGATCGTATGAAGGAAGAAAATGAAAGTCTTACTGAAAAATTACAAGTAAAATTCGAATACAGAAACGCTAACATTTTCATTCATGTTTTATTTTATTAGATTGAAACAACTCGAAATAATGAACAAGAACATCAAATACAATTAAAAGACAAAGAAAATCAAATGCTCCGACAAACTATCAACGAATTAGAAACAAAGTAGACGAAGTTTTCTGTTTGCATGGAGCTCAATATTGCAGATAAATGCGTATTATGTTTAGACATGCACCAGTCTCAGTCCGTCTGTGTATTCAGTTTGACTGGGTTTACAATATCACTGAACAACATCCTATAATCATTAATTTTGCTTTACTTTACCAAAATTGCTTGAATAAAGTAATTCTAATGGAAGATACAGAGAAGTCGAAACGGCGAGTGGCGTTAAGCTGACTTACTGTACAACAGAATTTGTTTTCAAATTCCTACGGCGAGGTACAGGGGTCAAAAATTTGAAAGGCGTTGCTAGCAAAATAAAGCTATCAGATAGGAAGTCAGCTTAACGCTGCTTGCCTTTTCGGCTTCCTGTATTTTCCATTAGAATTATTTTATTCAAGCAATTTTGGTATAGTCAAGTAAAATTAATGATTATAGGATTAAAACTGGATCATTTTACAGGATGTTCAGTGATATTGTAAACCCAGTCAAACTGGATACCCAGGCGAACTGTACTGGTGCATGTCTAATTATGCTATTCCTATTGAGACGTGTTGTTCTGTCAAGAATATTTCATTATGAAATTCTCTCTTCAATGTTCACAGTTCTAATTCAATATGAATACGAAACCTTTTCGGATAGTTTCATAATCCATTAGGATGCAAATAATCTCAGTTTAAGAATGATTACTCGGTTGCAGGATTTTCCTCGTTCGGTTTACTACAAGCCACGGATTCGGTCGAATCTTACAGCATGATTTTCTTTATCATTTTTTTCTTCTGTATGTAGTATCGAACAAACCAATCAACAAATTCACGGTCTTGTTAGTACCAATGAATCATTAAATCGAGCATTGGCTAAATCAGATAATGACAAGTTAGTAGATTTCCTATTGTGAATACTAAATAAAACATATTTTTCTACGTAGAACATCATTAGAAACTGATTTAAATGTTGAAAAAGAGTTCCAGCAGCGTCTTCAAAAGGCACTACAAAATGAAAAAGACAAAGTGTTAACACTTCAAATCGATATTCATGAATTAAATTCAATGAAACAAGTAAAATAACGATTGGACTAGTTAACTATTAACATATGCTGTTGTTGTTGTTATTGTTTTTTTCTCGTAAGGAATATGATGCATATAAAAAAGAAATGACTAAAAAACAAAATGATTTTGAAAAGAAATTTAACGACCAAGACGAAACTATCGAAGAATTAGCCTTAAAATTAGAAGTATATATTAAACGTGAACATGAATCTCGTGAAAAAGATGGTATACGAGCATCAGGTTGGATGAAAGATGAAGATGTTAAAGAGTGTTGTCAATGTAAAAAAGAGTTCGGTGCACTTCGACGAAAACATCATTGTCGACAGTAAGTTTTTCTTGTACGAAAACACTTGTACTAAATATTATTTTATTTTTATAAAGATGTGGTCTAATATTTTGTGAAGCTTGTGTTAGTACAAAATTAACATTGTCGGGTACCAATAAGCCCGTACGTGTTTGCGATGCATGTTGTAAAAATGTACTTGCGCAATGTGCAGTTAATGGACCATGAATGAAGAAAATTTCAGCAATCGCAATAATGATTTTTTGCACTTATTAATTATTCTATATAGATATCGTATTTTATTTTTCCGTAATTTATTTAATGACCGCGTAAATTTTACATCTAAAAAATGATTCCTGTTTTCATTTTGTATTTTGACTCGGTGGTTGATGTTGTTTCATGAAGATAATTTTAGTCAATATGTTGTGATATCAATATTTTTAATATTATAATTTTTTTCTAGATATAATTGATTAACAAAAAAACATGGTGCCGTAATATTCCGGCTGATTATTATTAAGATTTTAGTTTTGTTCGGCTAAATCATGGACACGATCAATTAGTATTCAAGAAATGGGTCATGTTGATCGATGAAAGTTTTCCGCGTGAGAACATTGAACGATTTTCATTTATTTTTAGATAAATATTTTTTTTCAATTTTATCGAGAGAAAAATAAAAATGCCAACTGCAAAAGAAGAACTTCCAGATTTTCGTGAAGCCTTCAGCTTATTTGACGATCGTGGAGATGATAAAATTCCAAAACATCTATTCGGCGAAGTGGTCAGAGCCTTAGGATTAAATCCAAACGAAGCGCAAATCAAAGGCACGGTACAAAATTTAAAAACTGATCGAATATCATTTGAAGAATTTATACCTTTGTATGATTCATTGGCAAAAAAGAAAGATAATAATATGACCGAAGAAGAACTTATTGAAGGTAGGATTGATTTTTTTCCTAAAATAAAAAATATTTTCATAACCTACGGAACGTACAAGATTCGGCAAAATCTTTCGCTGAGCAATTTCATTTGAGTAAAAAAAGCATTTATTAATAATCTGCACTCGTAAACTGAACATGATATGGGCTATCGTTGCATTTTATGAGTAAGATTCGTTTGGAGTTCAGTACTTATAATTGTCTTTCCTGCTGAGTTAAGTCATAGCATGGATGTGTCAAGAGAGATTTACACTAGTTACAAATAAGCTGCACTTAAAATGTTAATCAATAGAAAACAAAGATTATATAGTACTGTATTATATTTCAAGCATAAACATGCTGATTTTTATTGCTTTAGTAGGTTCTAATCATAAATGTGAAATATCAACACTGATCAAGTGAAAACCAGATGTGTTTTTAACTCTAATAGGGATTCGTTCGCATGTAAATAAAAAATGATATCTTTTGTGACTACTTCAAAATTCATATTTTGAGCGATATCGCGTTATCGTTTTTATACAATTTCTCAAAACTGTCCGAAAGGTTCGTTAATCAATTTATCGATTAAGTTTGACAATAACGATTAGGTGAAGTCTATAGACTCTTAGGTGCTTTTCTTCTTTCTTTCTCATAAATCATACGTGAATCACCTTTATCACGTGACATTTCGATTGATACACTGCAATGAATTAATCATTTATATGATTAAAATACCTTCAAATCGTTTTCAATTATTTTATTTAACTGATAAAAAATCTATTAGATAAGTTCTATCGAGTAAAAAATGTAATTTGTTATTTTTGACTTCGTATTTGAATAGGCAACATAAAACTGCTAATAAAAAGTGTACGGCACTTATATATATTAGTATGTAGGTGTTATTTTGTGTTTGCATTCAGCGTACTGTTGATTTAATTTCGAAATATAGAAGACAATGGAGGTAATCATAAGATTTTCACATTTCTCTTGTTTTTATAAAGTATGTGCAGAGGAACGAAATTAAAAAAAAGTTCTTTATTTATTTTAAGGGTTAAAAGTATTCGATAAAGAACAAAACGGCAGTATTTCGTCAGCTGAACTTCGACATCTATTAACCAATCTAGGCGAACGATTATCAGACGAAGAAGTTGAACAATTACTTGCGGGTTTCGAAGACAAAAATGGCCTTGTTAATTATGAAGAATGGATTCGAAAATTACTTCGTAACTAAAACAATCAACAGCACAACAAAACACACATTCCTCATGCCTCTTATTCTGCTCTTTTGCTAATGATCAGTGCATATTTTCTATTCTTCTTTTCTAATCGATCTGTTTTATTCATTCCATTTCTTTTTTTTATTATTATTTCATTAATCTCAATTTTAGATGATATAATTTTATTTTTTATATTCAATGAATCGTATTTTGAATAATAGCAATAATAATGAAAGTGGCTCATTATATCCTATATATCCACTTTCGATGTGTGTTCGATTTCGGACGGAAAAAATTCTTTCACTGAAGTAAGTCTTTTATTCTATTATTGTTGTTGTGCCATTTAATTTCTCCATTTCCTCATCTTCATCATTGACCATGGAAAATTGTCCGTACTCAACAAAATCGACTGTTTGTTTTTGACGTCTGCTGACTGCGTAGGCCAGAATAGCTAATGCGAGTAATATGAAAAGTACAACAGCCATGTGAAGCACGAAATAGTAGGCAATTAACATCGTTGTACGATGAGCAGCAGTGTCTTTGCTTTCTTCATAATGTTCATGAAATGGACTATAAAGAAAAAAGCCAGTTGTATAAAACCAGGAACCTTGCATCACAGTAAAATATCCTCGCATTAATGTTCCATGAACTTGTTTTTCTTTTTGAACTAATTCGAAAACACCGCATACAACTGTAGCACATATTGCTAAAACAAGAAAAATGTGTATCAGAATTTCTACATCACCACGACCATGACCATGAAAATAGAAAAGTAGCGCCTCGGCTGCGAAAGCTAAAGTTCCAGCAACAATATCGAAATGTTTTGGTAATGGAAAATTGTAATGCATTAATATTTGAATTAAACCAACTAAGAAAAACATGCCATACATAGCGAAATGTTGAAGATTATTTGCTCCGAAAAAAATTGATGCATGGCCAGTTTGAGGATCTACTACACGATTAAAGCCAGCAATGAGTTCAATGAGTATACCCAACGTTGTACCGAATAAAACAAAAAATGATTCAATCGGTAACTTAGCAACGCGTAGGCCACAGCAATGACATGGAAATGCTGATGACGTATAATACGGCCGTCGACGTTGACGACATATGAAATAGCGCAGCCATGATGAGTACATCCACCATAGACCAAGTATGATAAATATTGAACCTGGAACTAAATGTCCTCCGAGACTTCCCATGACTTTCTTTCAACTGAAACAAGCGTATAAAAGTGAATACCTTTTTATGCGCGGTGAAGCAAAAGAAAATGAAATAAATAAAATGTCGCTTTCTCTCTCGTCTACGTTCAAGAATACCTTACGCATCACAAATATTACCCGCATGAGAACAGGAAGAAAAATCCTCTGAATACTACATGCGACAAAGTAGTTATATGTGAAAGCAACCGATGCAGCAGTAACGTTATTTTTTTTCTCTTTCTCCTTTTCTTCTGCCGCGCCCGTACTATACGTGCAGGTTAACTATGATTGCATTAGGCAAAAAGGGAGAACACTATCCTGACGAATAAATATTTACGAAAACAAAGGAAAAAAAAAGATATTGATGATGTATTTCTTTCTTCTAGCATTCGTTATTTTGATTTGATTATTCTTGTACCAAATCTTATATTCGTTCTATTTCTCATTATTAAATGGCTTCGTACAAGAGCAAAATTGAATTCAAGCAAACCCTTATTATTCACTCTTAGTTGCCTCATTCTCATTGTGTCATCGATTAATGTCCTACGATGTGTATATGCAATGATATTTGCCGAACAAACATCATTTGTCAAAGGGATTATTATAAAAGTGACATAGAAAACTTTTTACTTTGCTTTTTCTTATTTGAATATTATGTCGCTTATTTAGGTCCTTTGGTTGCTCGTTCGATTTACACTTTTATGTACAGAATTCAGTGTTTTAGTATTTGGCATTTATTTCGGTAAATGCATTGAATTGAATATTTATCTGTTTTTACAAATTATTTATTTAGGTCGCTCATATCCAAATCGACCATGGATAAAAATAATAAAAGTCTTAATTATATCATCGCTTTGTTCGTTGATTTATACTGTTATACAAGTAGCTAAGAAATGAATTTTGTTTTTCTTATAACTGTTAAAATCTTTTGTTCAAGGCCGTTCTTGAATTTCGTGGTGATGCACGTCCGAACGACTTTCAAATGACAAGTTATAATCTCTATTCCTATGGTGGCATGAAATTTCTGCTTATGTCAAGTTCAATTTTTCTTATTGTACGTCGAAATCTATTATTTTAATATTGAATCTTTGATTTATATCATTAGATGTATATTGTTATCTGTCTTTTACCATTGTTGTGTCGTCAACATCGTAAATATTTGCCAAGTAAATTCGAAGAAAAATAATGGATTTAAAATACCTTTTTACTTTCTACTTAAGTTCGTCGGTCGTTTTACATTTATTGTTTCATTATGGCATTTATCAATGGAATTCAAATAGTCGGAACAACGTTGAATTTAACTGAATCATCAAAATATGCAACGTGGTAAGTTTATGATTATTCTCTCGTATACCTAAACGATAAAAGGGCATCGTTTCTCTATTGAGTTTGACGTCTGATAGGTGATTTCAACCGGTTTTTTTCTCTCTCGTTGTAGCATTGTTGATGGTACAACATGCATATTTTATGTTTGTTTTGCTCCATTTGTCTATCATCAATTTTTGCGACGAGCGCTAAGGTAGATTTTTTTCTTTCATGCTATCAAGCTTTGTACTATTATTCATTTTTGCAATTAAGTTCGCAAACTCTCATTCCGCAAGTAATGTACGCCGATTCAACTATCAACGATGATGGCGAAGACGATGATTTGATAGATGACGACATGAATTCCAATCGGCCTTTACTTAATTATTCGCCAGATTATGATGTAGATTCGTCATATTCAATATTAGTAAGGCCAACTATGGCCTAATTTTATCAAAACAAAAACGCACTTTAATTATGATATGTATTTTTCTTTTGTATACTGTGTCTGTTTATTTTCACTTTATGTAAAGGTCTATTTGTTTTTGTAAACAAAAAATAATATACTGAATGTTTTTTGGAATATGAATGATGATATTACAATGGTGGTGCACAGCAGAATTTACGTGATCGTAGTAGCCATGTTGGAAAACCGCTAGCAATTAGATCTTTAGAAGAAAACGAACACAAATTTACAGCCTGTTCATCGGAAACTAATCTTTTCTTTTTCTTACCGTTATCATTTGCATCAGCTAAATTAAAATAATCATATGTTTCGCCAGCTTGAACATGATGAGGCATTGTATCATGTGCTGTTAGCTAAAATTTTCACAAATAGATTTTCTAATTAACTAAAAAACAACTTACCAGTTTCCTTCCTTCCATTAACCGCGGATATGCATGAGAAACTGCAGCACAGACAATAAGAAGTAAAATAAATCGTATGGAGCAAGAAAACATGATCGATTTTTGAGATAATAGAGTACGTTTGAAAGCTTATGCAAAAATGTGAATTGCTAAAATAAAAAAAGAAGCAAATTATATAGATATATATATATATCTAGAAAGAGAAAGACTGCATTAATTTTTGCTTCAGTTTAATACAAATGAAATGCATCTTTATAGTGTGAGAAAAAAGAAACACGGAGAAAACTCTCGCCTCTCTCTCTCTCTCTTGCTTTCTTTTTACTTAACAAGAGCCGAGGAAGACCGGGCATCAAAACTACAGGAGATTCTCGAGAAAATTTTAATATAAAGGGTCTATCTATTTTCTCTCGCTCTCTGTTTCTTGCTGTTTATTCAATTTCCTTTTGCAATAAAAATCCTTTGCGCTCTCTCTCTCTCTCTCTCTTACTTTTTCCTTATGAGCGTTGGCGGTGGTGAATTCCCCTTTGTTTTCATCTTCGTTACAATTGTGAAAGGTTTTAATGAAACTTCATATCAATATCATCTTTCTTACGTTGCTCTATTTAGTCCCAATGGACAATTGAATCAGTTTCGGAGAACAATCGTTTAACACGGGCCCAAGAAATTAGCATAGAATGCAACAGATCAAAACACACGATTGACTAAATATTTGTTTTTTTTATTGTTTTCGAACAACAGACCATTAAAAAGAGCACCCGTCAATTTTTTGTATAATACTCTATTGAAATCAATTGATTTTTTCCGGTGACATTCTTCACGATTTGCTTCTTACAATAGGCAACCGGAACTTGTTAACAAACAATTAACGAAAACTAATGATGATTTAGTGATTTTAATCAACAGAACAATAAAAAATATTCATATCGTTGTTTCTCGATATTTCTCAATGTCATCATAGAAAAACGATGTAAACCTTTGATTTCTACATTGGAAAGAAAACTCATATTAAGTCTTGTTTTTCGGATTATTAAGAATTATTTTGGTGATTGCCATGGCAATGAGGAAATGTCAATCAACTGAGTATATCAAAAATATGTTTTCTATTTATTCGCCAATACAAGAACTTGCGCGATCGTTCTATGAATACTTCAAATTTGGTGCGCATCCTAATTTGATAAAATAGATAAACCAACATCGACGTAGGAGTTACTCTGATTAATTGAGCGTCTTTCACAGCATTCAATAATAATTACTCGTGTTAAAGTTTTTTGCGTGCCAGGAAAAATTAATGAATTAAGAATCCAGGGCAAGTTTATTTATGCATTCATTATTCTAATGCTTATTATTTGAATTCATATTAGTTTCTACTTCGTGTAAGAATGAATGCATGCTTGCTATTTGCGCTTGGCTATTAGCTGGAAAAAGGCTCAAAACATATAACATGGCAAAAATTAAATATTTGTAGAAATAAATTCACATTTCCTGTAGAGATTATCAAATTTCAATTAGTTTGACATGGAGCTAGTCAAGTTAAAAAACAAATCTTTATCATATATATATTTTTTTTTCTATTCATGAGACCTAGAGGCATCTATTTGTGAACATTTCCGGTACATCTATTCTGTAATAAGAGATAGAAGCAAATTTCTTATTTCATTCGATTCTATTTTACTATAGAGAAAATTGAATATATTTTTTCATTTGGCGGTAAAATGAGCCGTAAAGAAGATCAATGTTCTCGTCTTTAATAGTTTTCTTTAATATAATCATGATCCCATCAAAAAGCTAAATAGATATCATGTTCTGAGCAAGTGTACATATCTGCACGGTATCACATATGTTTTCGTGGATACTTCCAAAGGAAGCAATGCCTGTGATCCCCATGCGTCTGTATTTTGTCCCTAGTCTTGAAGGTTCTGCCGGAAAAAACATTGTCACTGAATAAACTCTGGTTCAGACTCAAGTTACGACCAAACGAGAAAAACATTCAGTTTTTCTCAGTACTAAAATAGAATTTTAAAAATCCTAGGCACTAAATAGGTTGGCTGACAAGAATGCCGATGAATCTTTTTATAGGATATAGGAAATCTTTCGCTCTATGTTGACTTGAGAAAAAATAATTCTACTCGATTTTTTATGTTAATTCAGAAAAAATGTTTTTTTTAAATGTTGAAAAGTATTCTTATTGATTTCGGTAAACATTTATTCAATGATATAAATAGTAGCGAGAAAGATCAATGTCACTTAGCACAGTCTGTTCATAACGCTGAATCTTAAACAAAATTCTAGATGTTTCGAAATTTTGAAAAAGGAACATTTATCGGAATAATGAAAGAGCAAAAAAGCGGAGAGATAAATTCTAAAGAAAATTAGAAGCAGACTTTTTTGAAATGTTCAATTAAAAAAAAAGATCTTTTCTTTCTTGATTTGCAGCAGACATACTAACGCTCCTGATTGGAAATAATTATTGACTTTTTTCAGACAATTGAAAACACTCTACTCAGTCTAATTGCAAGCACTAGACACAACACTTCATTCAAATCAGTACTAAAATTTTTTTAGCGTGACAATCAAGTAAATAAATTAATCAATAGATGCTCATCACATTCAGAACCATTATTATATTTTCTTTAGCTGAAAAGTACTTGAACATCCGTTTTGCTTGAACATCTTATTGATTAAGAGAAAGAAGCTTGTAGATATTCCCTGAGTTCAATATTATGGTGGCGAGCTTTGAAAAAAAAATCTTTTTGGCTTTAAATTTACATAGAAAATAAATGTTGATTTAAAATCAAATATTCCTGAGTACAATATATCCTATTGACAAAAATTTACAAAGTTAATCTTATTTGTCTTCTTTATTTAGAACTGGGAACATTTTTGTTGTGACATGTACCAGTGCCTTTGAAAGCTAAAAAGTAAATACTCGTAAACCATATGCGATAAGCTGATGATAGACATTATCTCTCATAACAGAACAGCATTTGAGAAGCCGATGAGATACGTTTTTGGCATCCTATAACAATAATATGACTTAGAGTACCTATAAATATATTTTCTATTCAAATTTCTTTCAAAACTCAGAAGCTATTTTCAAATTATTTCAAGTTGTTATGAATGTCCATTATATTTAGGATTGGTTTAATTTAAGTGCAAATCGTAAATGATTGTGCTAATATGATTTCGACTTGACGAAGATTTATAATCAATGTCATATGCTTGATTCTCTAAAAAAAATTGCTAATCACAAGGAAAAATCGTACTGCATGGTTGGTTTACTCGGCAAGCATAGAAATATATCTTTCTTGACGACACTCAAATTTAAACGAAAAAAATACCGAACGCAAAATCACGGGGACAGAATGTTTTTTCATATTTGTGCAATCGAATTTGCCTTTCACGTTGAATATATCTAAGATTATGCTGTACGTAGAATTTCTTGCAAAAACTACTGTCTCGTATAAACACAACCCGAAGAAATCATAGAGCGGATGATAGTCTGTCGTGACAGTTAATTATTTGTTGAATATTTTTCTTTCGATATAAAATATTGCTGTGATTTATACGAAATAGTAAACAAAATTTTTTGTACTTCCTTCGTGAATCACAAGAAGAGAAGAAATTTTTCACAGGTACTTTTATAAACGAGGTTACAATGGCAAGTACGTTTCTTAAAACAACATTGAAATTCAAAAGAAATACAGAACCTACTTTAAAAGGTCTCGCTAGGAATCACTCCGTGCGCATGAATAAATTGCGGCTAACTGGCCTATTCTCAACAGTCGATCATATAAGTAAACTCTCGCAATCGATTAATCGCTTTTGATTGGCAGATTTATACATTCTGTGAACCCTAATCCATCGTGAATATTTCGGAATTGATTCAATGTGACAGTCTAGCTTTGGAAGAAAAGAAAATCTAATAGTTGAGTTTCGCCTTGAAACCAGACATAGAAACAAGCCGAAAAGAAAATACTTTATTGTGAAAATTTCAAGTTGAAAGAATCAGACTTTTTTTCGTCTATTATTCTTGCAACTCGTTGGAAAATGCCATAAAAAAGCTGTTATGTCATGAAATAAAAATTCGCCAATGGTGTCCGCGTTCTCTTTTATTCGTTTATAAATTGTGAAACGTTTTAACGTCGGTTTTTTTGTATGTTTTTAGAAGCTACAAACGAAACAACAACAACAACAACAACAAGAGCAAAACCATTTAAGACAGACCAAATCATAAGAAAGACATGCACAACATAAACCGGTCTCACAAACAAAGACGAAAGAACCAATAGAGTCAAATAGAAAAGCACAAAAAATAAATGAATGATATAATGAATGCGAATTTTCGTATATAGTTAATTAAGAATTTCATCCGTATTGGTCTATAGTAGTAAACACAAAAGAAAAAAAAACAAACACGAATGTTTACGCACTTCCTGCACTGAGAATTTTGAAGAATCGGACAAATTTCGCGACAAAGAAGTTCATTATAAAATACCAAAGATTTCTCGCTGTAGGCCTTTTCGATATGAATATACGCCATAAAAGAACAAGTATGATTGTATTGAATGCCCAACGTATGTTTCTTAAATTGTTTAAATGTTTTTGTGCACCACTTAAGCATTGCATGTCTTCATTTAACACGTAACGTTTTGTGCCAATTAAATACGATTCAATATATGTTGGCCAATGTAATGCGCGTATATCGAAATAGAAATCATTTGAAGCATTTGTTTCAGTCATTAATTGTCGTAATGAATTTAAACTGTCATATGAACATTGAATTTCTTCTCGCATGGTAAATGATTCAAGTGTAAGAAGTGTTCGATGTAAATTTTTGTAGATATTCACTACGTGCGGCTTACGACCAATTAAACGTAAGCCAATATCAGTTAAATACGCCGGAATTAAATGTGAAAAAAATACATACGAATCATGTATTAAACTATGATTTGTTACAGATAGGTTCGGTCGACGAAATGCATGTTCATAAGGTATACGTTTTGAATATTCAGTAAAGTAATTACTCATTTCTTGCCAATGAAATGGATTGAGACCGCTTGATGTACAATGATAGATTGTCATATGATCATTATTGTCTTCTTGAAATTTTTGCCATGCAGCAGCTATTGATAAATTAACAGGTATATCAACAGGTACTATATCGAGTACGCCATGCGAATTGCCTTTCATTGAACGTAGATAACCTCGGCCAGCTGCGACGAAAAATTCACTTGGTCCATTCGATTTTTCCACCCAACCAGGATAGGGTTCTTTCCATGCTGCACCAATAATTGATACACGAACTATTGATATCGGTGGTAAATTTTTTTGCTCTTCAGATAAAACAGTTTCAGCAAGCCAATGAGAAAATGAAAATGCGTTTGGTTTCGATCCGATTATTTTCGGTGTTGCCAAGCCGACCATTTCTTTGTCCATCCAATCGAGAGCATCGAATAATTTTTGAGGTTCGATTGGACACGGATAGACACATTCGTCGATATAAGGACAATCTAAATGAATGGATTCAGTGAAGTTATACAAGAGATGAACACTTCAATATATCATTGAAGCTTTCTCGGAAGATTCAATGGGCACAACAAGTTATTGAAGAACGAATTATTTATTTATGCTGTGCCAATCATTACCTTGCTTTCAAGCTGTAAAATCGATACAAAATATATGTAATTTAATCTTTTGTTAAAATTTTTGTAAACATCCGTAAAAAAAAAGAATGCTTCTGCCTGTCGTCTATGTTACACTATCAGATGATATCTTATACTAAGTAAATAAATCGATATCTTCGATAAAACTAACACTAGCTTTAGCTAATTGTCGATAGAACCTATAGATGCCAACAAATTGCAGCTACTCATTCATGAAGACCATATGGAGAGAATCAGAAAGTATTCTTCATATTCTACGTTTCATTTAATCTTACTGCTATACGAAGGTCACCGATTGTGACTTGTCAATGAGCCATATATTTTCATCGCTTACAAATTTACAAAGTATTTTCTTTCGAAAAAAATATTGATCGAAATTTGATTATTACTTTAATTTTGCTGATATCAGCTTCCTCAGATCATTTCATTCGAGAATAATATGTGCGTCATGAAATATCGAATATACAAAAAAAAATTTCTAAACACAGTAGTTAACATTCTGTTTCCTTTAAAAATTTCTACTAGTTTCATTGGAATCTAATTATGAGTTATTTATAACTTTGAAGTGCTCGATTTTTCATAATTAAATCACAATGTGTCATAATGACTAAAATAGATACGGTGTAACAGATGGAAAATTCATTATTAAAGGAAAAGAACAAATGAAACATGAGGCATCTAAAACTATTTCATCAATCTACTATAAACGAACACCCTGCGATAGAGAACATTGGACATGTTTTCAGACCATCGTACGATTCGTATTTCATTCAAAACTAATCAGCGCAAATAAAATAAGTTAAGAAAAATCTATTTACCAATATTTGCATAGATTGATGATAAATAAACGGTTGATTTAAGTTTTTTACAGGTTTTTAAAAAACTTAAACTACGTTTCAGATCCATAACATCTGTTTGAATCATTTCTTTAAGATTTTGTTCTTCGAAATCTATTGAATTATTTGCCATATAAAAACATATGTCAACTGTATCTTGCAAAGTTTTATGAGATAAAATTTGACTTTCATTTTCGTCGTCTACAGTAGTTTCATCATCCAACGATTTAAATAATATATTGATGTCAAATGGAACTATTTTTTCTTGAAATGTGGCATTATTACGCCGTACACGATCAAATAATTTCGTTGCATAAATTTCAGCGAATGTATCTAACGGTGAAAAATGATGATTTATAGTTAAAGTTGGCTTTTTCGTCGATGTTTGTATTGGGCAATAGATTTTATTAATATCTGGACATGAACGTAGGAGTTTTTCGATTAAAACTTTTCCAGGAAATGTTGTTGAACCATAGACAAGAACAGTTTTGCCTTCATAGAATTCACTTATCGACGATGTCATAATCGACAAACGCTGCAATCTGAAACTAGAATAATATTCATTTTTTTTTTTAAGTTTCTTCAATAAATAGGAAAAGCGTGGATACTAGTCGACTTTGTACTGTATAATAACTTATGGGTCAAAGGTATTGCAAACATTATGAGAAAAAAAAAGAAAACACTGTTCTCTGTAATGTATCGGGTTTTAGTGGTTTTCGCCTTTTTCTCTCTTCTTATTTTGTTTGTATTACCCACACAACAGTCTTTTTTTCACCTACGTTGTACTTTGTTCGTTCTATGACAATCTTCGTTTTATATAAATATATATAATTATGTTTGGTGTTGCTACCATCCGTCTTGCCCTCTAACCCTCTCGCTTATAAGCACAGCCACTGATTCGTAAATGTGTATAGTTGATGTAACCAGTAGGAATGAAGTAGAGAAAGAAAGAAAAGGGCAGCACAATTCTCTTTCTCCGCTACACAAAATGATTAAAATATAAGTCTCATGTATGTTGTTGTTTTTTTTTGTTTATTAGAAACACACCTAAACAAGTTTAACAAGATGTGCACTTTCTAAAGAAGAGTTTTTTTGTATTGCTCGTAAACGTTGTCGATCTTTAATATCTAAATTATCATGACGATTGAGTAAATCAAGTGCATTACTTAAACATTCATAATTAAGTTCATTAATTGTTTCAATTATACTTAATGCTTGATCAACATGATTCTGTTTAATTGATAATGATAATAAAGACATGAGACTACTTTCATGCAAGGGATTGATAAGTGTACTTTTATTTCCTAAATAATGTTCATACAATGACCAACTAGCTTCGAAATCATCAGCACGTGTTAATAAATAAATAAGATCCGATAATATATGACCAGTATATTGAAATTTGGGTTGAGATTGTCGGAATTGTTTTGCACGTTGTTGTGCCTCATTGCCTTCTTTCTGTAATTCTTCAGGCTGCTGTTGTCGTTGTTCATCTTCTTCCGGTACAAGAGGAAATTTCTTTAAGATTTGTCGTCCGATGTTTGCATATTGTTTGATTTGTTCAATCGGTAAACTATCTTGATCGCTACGAATAAGTAATTTTAAATAACGTTCAATAATTCGCCGATTATTTTGTCTATTATCAATAAAACCTAAGAGAAGCAAATCCGACCAAAGACGAACGTAGTTATCTTTTAAATTCCACGTGGAAATAAATTCCATTAAATCTTCAATGATATTTATCGATGGTGAATATATATTTGGTACGACCGATTCCCATAATGGCATAACATGTTCAGGAATATCAAAACGAAAGAGTAAACGAAACAAATTTGTATAATACATTTGCTCTCTAAAACCATCGGGAATAAAACGACTATTGGAGCCATTCATTTGAAAACGATGAATACGTTTTGCTGAAATACAATAAAAAAATCAACAATTCGTACAGTTAGTTTTTTAGAAATCGAAACTTTTGTTTAAATTAGATAGGAAGATTGAATTTTTATTGCTCTCCTGGTTCGAATAGATGTTATTTGTTTACTTGTTGTACGCAGAATACTCATTATGGAAAAATTTATTTTCATTTCTGTCCTTATCTATTCCAAATTAACTAGGCCTGTGACAGCGAACCGGTTCTTTTTTCAAAAACTCAGCTCAATTGAAAGCTGGCACAGATCATCAATCGTCGACTGAATAAGAAAATCAAGAATTTTTTACACGGAAAATTCATCTTTAATCTAGAGAGAAAAAAAGGTTTTTTTTACCTAATTCAATATCTCGACAATTAACAGACGCTTTAAACATTGCATTGAAAAAGAATTCTCTATCGTCAATATCTCTCCATTCAAAATTCTTTCCATTTAATTCATATTGTTTCTCTAATTCATCCATAATCTGTGGTAAAATTTGCGTTTCATAACCAATGTGATCATTCGGATAAAAGATCATAATTACATGAGCCCACGTGCCAAGCGAAGGTTCAATACCATTTTGTCGCATTTCATTTAATACAGATAATGCCAGTGTAGGACCTCGTTCAAACAATGAACAGCGTCTTAATGTGTGCAGTATTGCATTAAATGTACGTAAATTTGGTTTTATTAAATTTTGTTTCATCTCATTTAAATATTCGATCGTAAATTTCCAACGTATTTCATAAGTTTCTCTTATTAAACTAGCTGAATAAAGAAGATAATTGTACGTTGTTAGATCAAGTTGAATACTATTTTGTTTCATTTCATCGATAACTAACATAGCTTTTTCAGCATGATGATATTTGAATAAGCCACAAGCAAATGAATTATAAAGACGAGTTTTTTGTTCTGGCGTTGCTGAGAGTTTTAATTCTTCAAACATTTGTTCAGCAAGACCATTCTCTTTCCATGTTCGTTGAGCTAAACCTTAAGCAGGCAAAAAGAAAATCGCTGTAGAATATTTTGAATTTGTTTCCATCAAATTAGCTACAGTCGGATAAACAATACTACAGTCACTTAGATCAGAGACTTATTCGCGTGTTTGCCAATCAGCTTTGTATAAACCCTCAATATCTAGGCATGTCATTTAGAACTGCATAGGACTATGAGAGAGACATGCTCAGAGTGCAATTGATTCATTTAGAGGAATTTCTATGGATCGGAGCTGGACAAGTGAATAATAATAACGTGTAAATCCGTCTAGTTGCTAATTAAGACTCATTGTAAAGTAAATATTGATGTTAAATTAGAAAGAAAATGGATTAGTTTATTCTCAATGAACAATGTAGACACTATTCAGTAATCGATTCGATCTAATGAATAAAAAAATTCATGCTTTGATCTACTCAACAAAAGTATTTTTTGCATCTTCTATTATTCATTTATCTTTGATTCTATAAGCAAATAGCCAATTTCTTGTAAAAAAAAACAAACTCCGATTCCTATTGGTATTCGTTACTTATTCAATTTCTTCATCTACCTGACTGATTTGATTCGTTTAATTCTCTTCGATACCAATCTTCTTCGGGTGGTAAAATTTCCATAGGATTATCACTATTATAAATACATAATAAATCGAATAACGCATATTTGCATGGATCGGAAACGGCAGTATTTTGTTCTAAACATTTTTTATAAATTTCATGTGCTTTGATAATTTTATTCCAATTCATTAATTTATATAGAGTTGTTTCATCGGGTTCAATAAATTCTTTTTCATCAAATGTATAATTTGGAAAATAGGATGGTATCGATGGAGCAGCAACATCATGAAAAAATGCATAAGAATATCGGTTCATTATCCATTGAGCTGCTTTTTTACCTGAAGATTTCGATAATGCTAATTGTCGTTTTTCATGTGCCGATGTTGGAATTAAAAATGGATCATCCACATAGATATAACCAGGACTGCCACCGTCAGCTTGAACGCACGCATTTAAAGATTCGAGAAGTGCTGTTGGCGAACGATTGATACGTTGTGGAAATGTAAAATTTGTTGGGCGGCTAGCTGTTGCCGTCGAAGCATGACGATGAAAAACTCGCCAGAGCATTTTTTAGTAGCTTTGATATTTATCTAAAACAATGGAATCTCGAACAATAATTTACGAAAATATTTTCCTACAACTTTTAGACGACATGACCTACCTAGAGTAGAAGAACTCTATGCTAAATCAAGTTGTTTTGAATAGTTATCGATAGGAATTTAGTCAACAGGAAAATCGGTGCCTCAGTAAATTCATCACAACAAAGTTTGTATCATTAAATATACGTATTTCATTGATACGACTTTCGGAGGTGTTTCAAGCGCATGTGCAGCCTACAAAAGACAATTTTTCTCCATCTGTATTGAACAAACATATAACTGATATATTTCTATCTTAATTTCGCAACTTAACCAACATTTCTATATTTTCTACGGTCCCTTTATTTCAATCAAGCAAAAAGCACAAGTTTTTCGTTCTTTCTTTTGAGTGCACATAAGCAAATGAAAATGATCAACTCCTCCAAACAGCGCCTCCGATTGAATCAATCTTTGCTCCAGTTACCGAAGCTAAAACGTTAGTTTTATTTTGTATTCGTAATAAACCAATGAATGCCATAATTAATGCTTCTTTAAAATCAACAACATTGACATCGGGATATTCAACTTCAATACTAAACTTTTCCTCAAGTTTACTTTTTAAACATTGAAATAAAAATTTATTATGTGCGCCACCGCCTGTTATCAAAATTTTACACTTGGCATAAACAGATTTATCTTGTTTTTCATTTTCAATAATCAGTTGTATTGCATTGCTTGTTTGTTGTACAATATGTTCAATATAAGTACGTAATGTATCGTGAATATCTATTGAATCGGATTCTAATAATGGATAAACAATATTAAGACCAAATGAATTTGATAACGACTTTGGATAAGTCTTTTTATAATAATCTAATTGATTGAGTTTATTTAATAATATTTCATTGACGGTACCTTTTGACGAATATTCACCATTTTCATCGTATTCTTTATTGAAATGTTGTTGAACAAGTTTATTTAACATACGATTTGCAGGACATATATCGAATGCAATTTGATATTTTCGATCGGTTATATTAGCAATGCCACCAATGTTTAATAGAAGACGATATTCATTAAATAAATGTATTTCCCCGATCGGTACGATCGGCGCACCTTGACCACCATACGCAACATCCATCGAACGTAAATCATTGACAACTAGTAAACGAGTTTCAGCTGATATTGCAGCACCATCTCCTATTTGTCCAGTCATACCGTTCCATGGTTCATGAAATACGGTATGACCATGAGATGCAACAAGATCAATATCATCTAATTTCAGATTGTATTTAGCAATGAAATCATTCACACATCGGCCTAAATAGTGGCCATACGATGTATGTAAAAGAAGATACGAGCGAGCATCTAGTTCAGTTGCTGTCGATAATGTCTTTGCCCAATCACCCGAATAAGGTATAGTTTCAGCATGAACAATATTGAATGCCCATTTTTCCGTTGGATAAGCACCAACCGAAGAAAAATCTACGCAAGCAATATCAAGGCCATCTAATGCACTGCCACTCATCAGACCGATAACACGAGGCATCGTTGCTTCTGTATAACAAACAATAGTCATAACAAGAGATTCGAACATTTCGAGACAAAATGACTCGTAGCAGAAATTTATACTCACGAATTTCAGTGGGAGCTAGAAGAGACTCAGCAAAAGCATGGTACGTATATAGAAAGAAGCCGAGACTGGAAAGCTTCTTTTTTTTTCTCTTATCCAAAATATAAGCACCAATCAAAAAGGAAAATAAGAGGAGACGAAGCAGCAGTGTTATTCATACCTATATCTCGGCTGGATAAAATAGAGAACTTCTATAAAATTCGAAAATATCATAACATCAAAAATAAACAGAAAGCAATAAATGAATAATATTTTACTGATGAAAAAAACACGAACAAATTATCTGACTAGATTTCGAACAAAACAAACATTCGAACAAAGTTGTTCAAGTAAATCAATCTGTTTCTCGTCATCAATATCCTGACTATTCAATAGTAAAACTAATTGTAAACGAACGAATGTATCCAAATGTTTGATTTCATCATTCGTCAATGGTACAGTTTCTTCATAGGCATGAATTATTTCTTTAATATTATCAATAAACGAATCGATATTTGTTAAACATGTCAAAATTAAATCCATAATATAGAATAATTGCTGATTATTAGTCCACAAAAGGCCACATTCTATTTGATTATCCTTGATGGTGGAGATTTCTTGTTGACATGTAAATAAATTTGATAGAAGAAATGGATAACTATTTTTTTTCTTATTGATAATAGACGCATATTGTTGATTGAACCAGTCAGTATCGAACAGATTCTTCTGTGGTGATTCAAGTGAAGAACGTGTATTCAGACGCCATCGTGCTAATAAATGACCCATTTGTTTATTTGCTGAAAATTCATTCGAATTAAAAATAACTATATAGGATTGATTAATAGAAGCATCGAGAATCGTTCCATTGCATTGGCATAATGAAAAAATCGATTTTAATTGCTCAAGAGAAATAGATGAATGTGAAAATAATTTCATCAAATATTTATCTTCAGCATGAATTAAATAAGTTGATGGATTAATAATTTCAAATGATGATATTGTCTTTTTAGTAGTCGATTCGAATGCTTCTTGTAATTGATTCTCTTCGATTGATGATATATCGACATCCATTTTATCCTAAAAATAAATACAAATTATTAAAAATAGACTTCTTTGTTAGCAAATGACATTGCTCAATACTAAATCCAATAGTCCGGTCAAGCTATCTCAAGTAAGTTTCGTTTGGTTAGCCTTGCACTTCCTTTTCTCCGGTCAAGAAATATGAAGACTGATTTCCCCGAAATTCTTTCAATTTATTACAACATGTAAAGCATAACCAAACTTACAATTGCCATTGCATTAATATCATTCCCAATTTTTTCAAATCTTCCCACCGTTATTCCAGTAAAACGTTTTCCAATGCGAACAATTCTTTCGTATAAATCTTTATTTTCTTCATAGAATTTATCATTTTTCCCTGTTAACTCACGAAATGTAACTGCTATACGTCTATCTTGTATATGTTGACGTTGTATAGCATGTTTATATTCATATCGAGCATCACCGTAAAGTACAATCATCCATCGACGTGGTATGGGTATATAAATTATTTTATTTGAATCTTTTTCGTTTGGTATCAATGAAAGGATGGTATTTGAAAGTAAATTAATTGTTATTAAACGTTCACCCCATATCCATACATCGTCAATATGTGGATCAATATGTGAGCCACGTGCTGAATGGTAATCTAAATTGCATAATTCAACTGACTGAAAATCTTCGCTAATTCGATGTGCTTTTAAACGTTCAATTATTGCTTTTGCATATAATGGCATGCCAGTAAAATATTTTGTTTTAATGGTTTGCTTTTTAAAATTAATTTTTATGCCGAAATCTTGCTTTAAACGACCTGATTGTGATGGAATCCATACATCGTTGTCAATATAATTTACTAGATCCGTTTCTTCATTTTCATCAAGAAAATCCGAAACAAGAAAAATTCCATCTAATGGAAAGCCGACATTTGTATTACCAATATCATTATGATGTGGACATTCGGAATTTGATTCATAAATATCCATACGAATTGCTTGTCGACATGCATCACAATAAATAAAAACTACATTTGATGTAGTATCATTGATCCAAGGTTCTTTCGTTGATTCACAAAGTTTACATGAACGAATACCTTTGCATGCACAAGCAGGTTCATACATTTTTTATTACCCTGCGGCAGTTAAATGCAGTGTCGAAGAAACAGAATCTTACTCAATGATATATCAAATCAGATCAATGATGAGAAATCGATTTTCTTTTTGCAGTTAGAGGGCGCCACAAGTAAAACGTCAATTAGATTTTTGAAGATATTTATTTTTAAAGAAAAAATAATATTTTAGAAAGCTACGAGTTTTTAGGCTCAATGAATTTTCGAAGGATGCACTGTGATAAAATGATTGATAATGGCAGATAGGAACCAATAGAAATCCGAACTTGGAATAATTCTTCATTTTTGTGCTCATTTCATTAACTATAAATTAATTGTAGAGCTTTGTTTTGTTTTTCGATTATTCACATCAGAGAGGTCAGAAGAATAACATTGATCGAATTACAAAAAATTTTAATATAATTACTTGAATCTGTGAATACATTAAAATGATCTGATTGGTTTACGTTGAATTTTAGTGTTGCTCTTTTATTGTCTATCAATATAGTAGTAGTCGTACGTAGTGTCAGATAAGTTCGAGATATTTTTCTAATAAAATGAAGCACACTATGTACATTCATCGAAGTCTTACAAAGTAATAAATATTTTGAAAATAATTTTGGATACTATGACATGTCAAAATATTGGGTATTTTATTGTAGAATAGCATGTTCCTTTCAAGAAAATTGTATGCAGATCGATCAATCCTTTCCTACAAATAAGAGTATAGCAGAGTAATATGAAATGGTTACATCTTCGGATGGAAGAAACTATTCATTAAAATATCCTACTCGCTGAAATTGTAATTTTCCTAAGGAGGGCCTCTACTAAAAAGATAAACGATAAGCTAATAATAACCTGATGTATGTCGTACATACGCAAATGCTCTTATTTCGTTAGTTAGATATCGGCGACTTTACAATAATTGTATCATGCTTTTGAATTTTATGTAATATTTCTTCGTAATTCTAGAGATCGATTTGATACAATCAACGTATTGCAATGGCTGACAAACTGTAAATGATGCATTTTATTTTCATATTTTATTTAATTGAAATGCTTCTTTTAGGAATTCGGATGAGGCAACAATTGAAAAGCCAACATCAACAACAAGATCGCCTGTAAGCATAGCGTTTTCTTCCATTTACTTATTTATTTTTTGCTCCAGCTAGATTCTAAAGAAAGAGATAGTGAAAACGTTTGTTTTTTGTTTCATTTTTCCTTGTTTTTTCTATACTTTAAATCTAATCTAATCTAATCTATCGTTTTCTTATCCGAAAGAAAGTTCGATATGGTTCTACTTCTCATCGATCGATTCAATTTAATGACGATGATCAAATGGGATATTTTCGTTTCAATAGATTGTAAGTTTTGAAGAGATTTATATATTTATAAATGGTAGGTATGACAGACTATATATTTATTCATGAAGAACACACGCGGAAAAATTTGCCATGTTGAAAGGAAAAAATTGTGTGCATGAAATATGTCGAATTATTTTTATTTTCAGGAAAATCGTGATGATAAATCCCGTCATCGTAAACGACGTGATCGATCTCGATCATCATCGGTGAAACGTCATCGGCATAAACGGTCCCGATCCCGATCAAGATCTCGTCATCATCGGCAAAAACGCCATCGGCATACTCGATCACGTTCACCTAGACGGAAACGATCGAGATCAAGATCAAAAAGACGTTCACCGCGTCACCATCCAAATCCAAGTAAAAATCAAGCGACATTTTCTATTTAACATTGTTATGTTACTTTTTAAGTTAAAAATCGAAATCCATATAATGAAATACGAGTAACTGAAGACGATAAAAAACGAATTCATTTAGAAGCTTTACAAAAATTAAAAGACATGGCCGGTAAATATAGTTAGAAATTTATTAGAATAATATTCAACTTATTTATTTTCATGAAGCAAATGAAACACTCGATTTATCTCTATTGACAATTGATGATCTAAAAAAAACAGTGGATGTACCAAAAGAACTACGATCAAATCAAGGTGCTACGATTATGTATCAAATGGATGAAATTAGAAAATTAGTAAGTGAAATTTTATCTTCAAACAGTGCTCTTCTCAAAGTCGCCCTTCGAGAAAAGACTGAACTTTTGTAATTCATATGCACATGCAAAAGGTTGAAGTCTACTTGGCGATGATTTCATCAACCAATAGCATAACGCCATGCCACATGTAAATAAAGCATCATTTGCATAGTGTGAAGAAAAGTGCATAAACAATCATAAAAACAGGCTTGATTTCGATTATGTAACACTCAATCGTCTAGAATATTCGATAACATCAGAAAATGGAATTGTAACATGATAAAAATCGAGCCCCTTGGTTATGTTCAGACATTCTTTTGTGGCCTATTTTTTTTCTCAATCGATTCTATGATATATATATTGTAAACATTGTTCGAAAAGATCACGATGACATTTAGGACAATATGCGACCAAGAACTCGCTTGAATACGATACTTTAATGAAGCTTTTTTGTTAGGTACAAAATGAGTACTATCGAGTCGTAGAAGAGAAAAAAAAGAATTTGTTTATGTGAGACTAAGATTTATATCAAGGGCAACAATCGGTACGGCTGGAGAAAATTAATGATAGATTAATATTCAAGACGAATGATATATGACCTAAACCAAAACGTAAAGTAATAAAATTTTGGATGCGGAAATTCATCAATTAAATTCTACTAAAATCCAGTCCTAGCGAACCGACAGATTTCTAATTTCAAAGTTCCTGTTATTTTCCGACGAGAAACAATATTTTTCTTCTATATTTCAACTGGGAAGTTATGGTGTCTGACTCTGAAATTATGCGCCTGTATATGAATGTTTCCTTGGAAAAGTAGAATTACTCACTCATATGACTTTTTCAAGGGCAATTCTTTCACATGATAATAAGTGCATCGATATTTTTAAAAAGCCATCATGTTATTGATATTTATGTGATAGACTTATAAATAGCAATGACCGACAATTATAAATTTGAAAAGATTTTTCTATTCACTAATTTGGTATTAAAAATAAAGCCCCTAAATCAAACGTGAAAACCTATATTAAATAGCAATAATTATCGTTTGGTTGCTTGCTTTCATATATTTTTTTAAATTTTCTCTGATTGTATAATATCCAGGGTTGTTTTGATAGCAATCTATGCTTGCTTATCGAACGTACGCAACAATCTCTAGATCAACGAAACGGGTTCTACTGAAAAACGATGCGATCTTGTCTTGTTAATATCCTCACCCAACAGATGATTTCATTTATATTATTCATATGGTAGAAATAATTTTCATGTTCGTCGTGATGAGAAAAAAAACGTTTTAACGCACTGTATTCAGTAAAGAAATGATTGAATTTAGATTGAGGAATTAAGTGGTATATCGATTCCAAAAATTTACAATACTGGTGCAATTAATCCACTTCAATATGCTCAACAGCAACGTAAACGTAAATTACTTTGGTCAAAAACAAATGATAAAGTAAGAAATCGTTTCTCTCTCTCGCTCGTGTGTTTACTATTTATTTCTAGACATCAACAAGTAAAGTTGGCGCAGCAATAACCGATGGACAAGATGAAAAAACAGCTGAAAAATTTCGAAAACTACTAGGTATGAAACCGGGTGGCAATGCAACTAACGATACAACAGAATCAGATGCAATTCATCAACAGCAACAAGATACGTTCGATTCACTTGATAAAGAATATCAAACAGCTCGAATAACAACACATTTACGACGCGGTGTTGGGCTCGGATTTCTTTCTCAAGGATCGTTCGTACCCTCGTCAGCGGACAAAAATTAATTAATGTACATACTTTTTTTTGTTTTTTTCCTTTATTACTCTTCAAAAAAAAAAAGAAAGAAAGAAAGAAAGATATTTGTCATTGATTCATATTTTCATTTCATTGGTCCTTTAGATATCAGATAAATATGGATTTAAGAACAGTTGATGCAAGCATATCTTGCATGAAAATATCGTTTAAAACTGATGTTTATGTAAATATTAACATATCTACACCATTCTGTTGAGTATTCTTTTACTCGGTAGAATGATTAAACAATGAATATTTTTCAAAAGAAAGTATTGCGCTATGATTCGGCATCAACAACAAGAAAACAAATAGAAGTTTCTTTAGTAATCATGTTCGTCATTTATATTATGAATAAAAATAATTATTTTGATGTGATTATTATTGGTCGGAAAAGGTTTATGATGTCTCATATTGTTACTCTACTCATTGTTGTCATGATCAATATGTTTCCTAATTCCATTTATGTAGAGACATTTGTTAAAAATTTTATGTTTGCCATCATTTTTCATGGCTGCTATAGACGAACCAACTGTTTCTCCTCGTCAATTCCATCATCGCCGATTTGCCAATTTACAACCGTTATCACCTCGTGTGCCATCGTCAATTGAACGTCATTTCGAGCAATATCTTATTGATCATCATCATTATCCAAAGCTACCGTCGATTTCAAAGAAACCTAATCGACAATCATTGGAAAATTCCTGTACCAGTGATCAAGACCTTCTATCCTATCATGATCGACAAATCTCATCGGAATTCGGACAAAATACCGGTCCCATAAGTCGTTTAATAAGTACTGAACAATATAGACGAGCTCAATCGCGTTTAGTCGAATATCGGCAACATAGTAAAATCCCTGGAGTTACGTTACCTGGAACGAAAAATTCTAATGAAAAATCTCCGATAAATTTAATTGGAAGAACTGACTTAAAAATCCCGTTAAAAGAGGTTTTGCCTGACACAACAAGAGGAAAACAATTTTATCAACAAGACGAATTCGATTTTGTCGACGATGATTCTGTAGCGAGCAACGGAACTGATCGTCGACGACGAGCTAAACATTGGATAAAAGACCATCAGTTTTTTTTCACTGAATATCAATAAGACTTCTGTTCATGATAAAAACTTTCTGAAGAAAATAAAAATTTGTTCTTGTTCTTGTTCTTGTTCTGTTCTTATTCTTTTTCTTTTATAATAAAAATAAATTAAATATCGGATAGTTTAATGTCTAGCTGTTTTTCTTGAAACGACACAGCGCACATTCCTTGTATCTTGAAATCATGATAAACTTATGAGCAAGAAACTCGAGTCCAGATTGTCACTGCATACTTTTAAGTACTTGAGTATAATTTAAAAAAAGAATTCTCATTGCTCAATATTCTCATGAACACTGTGAAAATTTATAAATACGATACTAATTTATTTCTCACACACTTGAAAGTACTCCAGAACAATGACGAGTCATTTCGATATTTGCACCTCGGAAATGTCGGTTTTACGTAAAAGGTGCCCGAAAGTTTATTCAAAACGATAAAAAAAACAGATCTTTGCTTATCTATTAAATCTTTTAGGAAAAAAGAAATTTTAATAGCAGCTGACGTTAAAAATTCTCGTAATTTGGAGCCATTGAACTCAATTATCGAAAATTGCGGTTTTGTACAATCGTTTCATAGAATAGATTTTATTTTTCTAATTCAAATTTTGAATCGAGAATTCCTATTGCGTAGTTCTCTTTCCGTCCATCTAGAATGATATGAAACTAGTACACAAAAGAACAAGAACAACATGCTATCCAGGAACTTGCACTCTACTTTCGTTGAATTACGCGAGAACTTTTTTGTGGCATATTGTAACTAGAGCAGCCGAAAGGTCCTTTCAACAGCATATAAATCTTCTGTCGTACACTTGTGCTTCTTCAATTAACACCGAACTATTTTTTGTTATTCTTGTTTAGTTAAACTAAATCATTAATTCTATTCTATTGAATAAGAAGATGATAGAGTAAGATAAGAAATACACCAGTATTTGTTTTTCTCCATGAAATATTAACCGTGTTTATTTCGAATTCTAATAATAATTCTTTTAGATCTATGGATTCATTACCAAATCAATTAAAAGGCCTTATTGGTCCTTCGATTCTCAATGCAGATTTGTCTATGTTAGCCGATGAAAGTCGTCGGCTACTTGACTCCGGTGCTGATTATTTACATCTCGATGTAATGGATGGCCATTTCGTTCCAAATTTAACTATCGGTCATCCTGTAATCAAATGTCTTCGTAATAATATTCCGAAAGTTTATTTTGATGCTCATATGATGGTTTCGGAGCCGGAACGATGGATTACCGACATGGCCGGAGCTGGTGTTAACCAATATACATTTCATAAGGAAGCGACAACATCCGAAAATATTCATGATATCATACGAAAAATCAAAGAAGCTGATATGAAAGTTGGACTTGGTATAAAACCTGGAACGCCTGTTCATGATATCGGTGATTTAATCAACGATATTGACGTTGTTTTAATCATGACTGTTGAGCCGGGCTTTGGTGGGCAAAAATTTATGAGTCATATGATGGATAAAGTTCGATGGTTAAGAAAACATTACCCACAACTGTTACACATTGAAATTGATGGTGGTGTTAATTTAGAAACCATTAACGATTGCGCGCAAGCTGGCGCTAATATGATCGTGTCCGGTTCAGCACTTATCCAAAGTAAACAAGCAAACAAAGATATTGAACAAATGCGTCAATTAATTGATGAAACTTTAAGGAAAACACAACTAAACATTCAACTAAGTAACGATCAACATTGTTCACATTAAATATTGTTGATGATTTCCGTTTCTTTTTTTTTCTGCTTCTTCTATCTATTCCATTAAATATAAACGTCAATGGCCTTATTTTATTTTATTTTATTTTTATTTTTATAGCGAAACCATTTGATGTACTGCGTATGATATGACAGCCGTCAGGTTGCACACATTCTTGTTGATTGATGGTCGTTTATTTACCAGAAAAAGGAGCTATTTATACACTATGCCTATGTTAAATACATCTTACGCGATATGTTAGATAATCAAGCAAATATGTATTTTTGAAAAATTTCATATTTATAGAATAGAATCAATCTTTTGACTTTTCTTAAAAATATATTCCAGCTTCTCTAGTTTTAAATGAATTCTTGTGATCGTCATTCATCCATTCCAACGGTTTTTTTTCTTTTCTTTTTTTGATAAAAAACAAATCAGACGGTGGAAGAAATGGTTGGTGGACATGTCATTAATTTCATTTTGCATATTCTAACCAACCAATATAAATCCATTAATAGACTGTTTTATTTCGAAATCATCTGCATCAACGATTTATTTTCCTTTTGCTGGTTCTTTTTCTTTGTTGTCCCTTGACGTGCGGAGGCATATTTAAGTGATAAAAAAATCCTTTTCAAAATCATTCATTCATATATGTGCAGTAGGCAACGTACAGTCTATTGTTAGTTTCTTTTTTACAGCAATTATCAAATCAGCATGTTCTATTCATGAATAATGATGACGTTATTGAACTAAGGCATATTATTACTTAGAGTTTGTCTTCATTGAAGCAAAATGTTCGATTAACACTCGTTGTAGTTAATTGAACTATTTTTCCGTACTTGAGACGAAGACAAAAGAAAGCGAAGAAAAAGAAGAATGATAAATTATCTAGTATAGAAAAAAAAATCAGTGGTGAAATATGTTCATTGCACTCGAACATCTCATTTTATGATCATGAAAAATGAGTATATTTTTCTAGGAATGCCATTAAAGAAAAACAGCAACAAAGTTGGTATATACAGATGCAAGATAAGAGCAGATAAATCTTTATGCACGAAGACCACTATATAGTTATCTAGTTCTGAGGAAAAAAACAGCAAGTTGACTTGAAAACAATATATTTATATATAAACAAATGCTTTAATTTATCTCGAACACTGATATATGCAAGCAACTGGCATCACTTTGAGTGTAAAGTACAGTCTCGCATAAATTAATTTTACTTCTTAGTTATGTCTATATGCTTTAGTTATAATTGCAAAAGGTATTAACAAAACAGATTGAATTTCATTGATATGTCATCCTAATATTGACACTAAAACATAATCAATCAAACATGTACATATGTTATGCTCATGGTCGGGGTTATTTTAGTACAAAAAGATATATATATATAACTTTGTAAGTGCATCTAGAGAAAGGATAACAACAGCAACTAAAATGTAAATTCTTCGATCTTTTATTTTTTACTTTTCTTCCTTATTCACATTCTATACAATACCGAGCAAGAAAATGACCTTATCGGCGTATTGATAAAAAACATGAGATAGGTAAAGTTATTTCTGTTATTTATAGATGCACTAACAACTAAAACAAATTGAGGGAGAGCTTGTGCAACTTGAGAACCTTATTAGATCGCAGTTTGATGACATTTGATTCATTGTTGGTGTTGTTGTTGTTATTATTATTTGCTGTTGTCGAAAATATTAAACAAAAATAATTGAATAGCGAATCACAATGAAATATTGATTTGAAATTGATTATTCACCTCGATTCGTTCATTATTTATAGATTTAACTTGAAGAAATACCATTAATGATATAATGCAACGAGTTAAATATTAATTATTGCCCTTACTTTTTGTCCTTACAATCTAATCGATAGAAAAGGGGCTAAAAGAAATGAGAGAAGACAACAGTACATGACACACCCCGTCGATGCCTGCGTAATATATATAATCAATTTTTTTCTTCGTTCCCTTCTTTACTTTTTTTTTTACCTCAGGCAACATATAAAAAAATCTAGAGATTATATCATCATTCATAGATCTGAGCTTTTCAACAATGAATAATAATAATAATAAATGAACAGTACTGATTTGCATCATAGAAAAATCTAGATGGCTTTTGTTTGGTGCTTTTCCGTGCATTTGTTTAGTTCGCACTGAAAGAGCATAGCTATATCATCTGCTAGCAAAAACAAAATGTATGCGTTGGTGTGTGCATGCAAAATAAAAGCTTCTTTGGCTTGGCTTCACCCGAATGTTTTTCATATCATTTGTTATTGTTGATTTAAGAAAGAGGAGAAAAGACGTGCACTCAATGGCATTATTAAGGATTACGAAACGTGATTATTGATCAGAACAAGATGCCGTCAAAGAATCGAAGGAAGAAGAAAAAAACTAAATTTGTGGTAAATAATATCCTGTTCGCAGAACATTGATTAGATTGAAACAAAGACAGGCGTATGAAATCATCATGATAACAATCATCGAATGCAATAAAACGGAAATCCTCGATAGTTCTTCTTCTTTTTTTTTCTTCTTCATCAGACAATGCCATTAATAGAAGCAACATGAAAAGTTCAAGTCTATTTTTCTCATCTGTCATAAAATGTGGGCCTGGATAGAATGTATACAGCTGATGGAGAGAGAAGCACATTTGCGTTCTCTGCTACTACTACTACTTTTTTTCTTCTTTTTGATACTCATGATACCCCAGGGGATGACACACATAATTATATGGCTGACGTTAGTCCGTTCTCTTGCTTGTTTATCGTTAAACGCTAGCGAAGGTTGATTTTTCGTCTCTAGCTCGAATGATCCGGGTAAAAAAAGAGAAAAAGAAAAAGAAAACGGGGCAAAAAACAGCTGAGAATGTATATATATAGAGAGAGAGAAAGAGAAACCCATATGATAGTTTGGGTAAAAAAAATGAGAAATAAGAGAACATTATACGGTTCTGTTTGTCTTCTTGTTGTTAGTGAAGCTGCTGGTCATAGTGGTGTATATGTCTGTTCGTGGTACGAGGATGACATTGACAGGGACAAACCCGTAAAATAAAAAATATGTAAGCAACAATAAGATTGCTGATGAAAGGTAACTAATCGTCGTTTTTTTATTGATCATAAACATTGAGTATGAACAATAGAAATAAAGAACAAAGGGCTGAAAGAAGTATGTGAAGCATATGTAGCATAGCAATTTATTATTATTACCATTCAGTGCATACTTTACAATGGGCAATCTCATCATAAAAGTGTGGATTTGAATGGCTGATGCTCGTAACCAATCATTAAATTCTAAACACATGTTTATTTGAATAGTTCTTGAACTTATTGTTCACTCTTTATTTCAGATATGAATTACGGAGTGAGTGGCGTCTTTGACACCGCTACTAATAATAGTTTAAATACAGTTGGTGATTATCCTCATACATTTCAAAGTCATTATCATCCACATTCAAGACCATATTCCAATGGTTTTCATAATTCTCTAAGATTCAATAGTCAGAATCGATTAGATGATAATGACGATAATCAGCAACAATCGCCACAGCAGCAGTATCAACAACGGATCGATGGCGATTATGAAACAGATGATATTAATAAATCTAAACTACTTATGTGGGGTCTTACAAAGTAAAGAATATAATTAAAACTAATCTTCTGGCTACGCGCATATATATATGTATTGATCATATTTAAGGAGTGGTAAGACATCAATAATAAAACTTATTTTTGAAAAAATGTCTGCCGGTGAAACATTAAAACTTCCAGAAACAAAAATGGTTCAAATACATGGTACGAACAACAAAACCAAAAGCCAAATTTCATATTTTTTGGTTTATCTTTTTTTCGTAGAACTCACTTGTGGGATATATGTAAAATTTCAAATTCGTGATGTGCCTGGTCCAAAAATGTCATCTTTAAATGATTTCGAAGCCTTTGCGTCCAATTCTACGACGATTGTTTTTGTTCTTGATATTACAGTAAATAGGGGTTTTTCAGTTAATTAAATTTTTTCTTCGCCTTTCTAGGAAGACTATTCCGATGCAATCAATTTATTAGTTAGTTCAGTGCAATGGATGCATCAACATGGTCATAATGTACGGTTTGAAGTATTAATTCATAAAGTAATTATATTAATAAGCAAAGCAAAAAAGAAACGATTGCCGATACATTTTTAGATCGACGGTGTACATGAACCGGACCGTTTAGAACGGTATTCAACTATTCAAAAACAAGTTAGTGTTATGCTACATGAATGTTCAATTGAAAAGCCGATGATAAAGTAAATAAATCGTCTCCGTCTTGTTCAATTGAATTTTTGTGTTTAGCTTTTATTTAACCAGTATCTATGATCATTCAATACATGAAGCCTTTAGTAAAATTGTTCAAAATCAAATGAAACAACTACGTGCACTGGAAAATATGCTTAATTTAGTTACAGAAGTAAGTAGTGCGGTTTTTTCTCTCATCATTATAATTTAATTTTCATTGCTTTTCTAGAGTACACAATTGGACAAGATCTTTGTGTGTGATATTTACAATAAAATTTTTCTTGCCTCGGACACTAAACCGGTGGATACTCAACTATCGGAATTGTGTTGTGATGTTGTTGATGTTTACACAGGCATTTCATCTATATATGGGTAAAATATTTACTTAGTTTAATGGAAAAATATATATATATCTTGAGCTCTTGAGATAAGATTTCAGATTTATTTAGTTTTGCAATCATTCAGTAGAGTATAATTTATTCGATGGAAACCGTTCTTTCATATTCTAGATACGTAAATACGTGAATTTTTCTTCCTCACACATGGGAATCGAGTGATATAGTTGGATGCAATACCTAGATGATGAATAATGGATTTTCTTTGATTGTTCGAGTCCAACGAGTGTTTTCTCTTGTCTTCATCTGTCATTGTGAACTCTGTGGAGAATTTAGAGGCAATATTAATAATACACCGATAAGACCAGTGTTTGCATAAGTATATTTGATGCCTCTAGGCAGTCATTTCACATGTTATATATTATGTCGACTTCAAGATTCAAACGAAACTTAAACTCATTATTCCATTGAAAGAAGATGAAGAAGAAAAAAAGGAGATTCTTAAAACTTTGATTTTTCTTTTTCAATTTTAGAACAAGTAACAACTCGTTGCTTGATTCAATGTCGTTTTGTACGATTGAGCTTTCAATTGGTCTTATACTTTATTTAAAAGATATAGATCCGACTACAGCACTCATATGTATATTAAAAAAGGAATCGAAAATCAATGAAGGTAAATAGAAATGGTTTTCAATAGAAAAATATAATTTAAGATTTATTTTAGCTTTAATGGAAGTTAATTTGAATATTTTGAAAAAAAATATTCAAGAGTTATTTCTTATGTTTGCGAAAAATTCAACTCGACAACAATTAAATACGTCAATAACATCAATCGAATGATTTGAAAGGTGTTGTTTGTATTTTTTTCTTCTTCTTTTTGGTTTCTCTTTCTTTTTAATATATGTACGCGTATTATTATTATTATTATTATTTGCTAAGTGAAATCATCGGAGATTGTAGTCAAATACAGTTTTAGTCAGTAGATCGAAGTTTTCAGCATGGATGTATCATTCTACTAATATTACTTCCGTCCGAAATGTTTATATGCACGCGTGTATGTATCATTCGCGATGAAAGACACAATAGAATAGCTAGATATAAATCATAGATAGTTTATTTATTTTATTTCTTCATTAATGTTGTATCTTCTATTCTATATACCTAGATCAGTTTTATGCCGCTGCTAATATAGGATAAGCGTAAGGAGATTGTTTAGATTAGTTTTTCTTCGATGCTAATTTTCCGACTGATTTCTTTTTTTCTCTTCTTGTACGCGTGCATGTATCTATATACACAGAAAGTATAGAGTTACACAAAACAGTTGCAGATACTTCATCCGGATGTGTATGAACATATATATATATATATATATATACGGATAGTTTTTTTCTCTAGTGCAATGCACTCGACTTTATTATTCCCATTCCGATATACATCTTTTTTTTCTCTCTTTCTTTCTCATACGTATGCATATATTCTTCATTATCCTTTTCTTCTCTTCTCTGTCTCAAATGAATGACTTTATTTTTATATTAACACTACTACTATTGAGTTTTTTTTTTTGTTTTCCGTTGATGTTGTATCGCGATGTATGTAGGCATTGAAACTATAGGAAATGTACGACGATGATATGCTTTAGTTGAAGGTGGATGGGAGTTTGAACTCGAAAATAAAATGAAAACATCTTAACTTGTTCTTATACGAGATAGGATCAAAGAAACGTGGAACTTGAATTAATCAGCATTTGTTAATTAAATTGAATAGCCATGGCACAATGGAAAACTCGAAAGTTCGAGTCATTATATTCTGATCTAGGAGTGTAAACTGAAATTACATTTCTCCAACACAACATGTATATCAGGCTTTGAAATTTATTTGACGATACAAAACAAAAAAAAACATTTTGCATTGATCGATTTTCATACAAAAGACGGATGTATAGAAGACGCCTTGGGTTAAAAAGGGAGGTGTGATGCAAACGTTCTATATTGTTTTATTTTGAAAACTGAAATTGTTAGTTTCATACTGCGTTTGATTATGTTAAAGTAAAGCATTAATCATATATATATATATCGACGGCCTTGGCCTTGTCTTTATTCTATAATAATCCTTGAGCAGTTGCTTTTTTCTTTTGCAATACTTTTGAGTTCAAACTACGATTTTCAATAATCAAATGAAAATTACCTTGCGATAAATGGTATGCATATAATGAAGATATTTTCACCTGCATGCGAGTATTAATTATCAAATGGCGTCTTTTTTCATCAAGAAAATTACAATAGAAAAAGTGCATTTCTATCCAAGCAAAACATTTAGTTTGATCTTGTGTTAATATTTGCTAAGGACTTGATTGTCATGTATTGAAAGCAAAAAATAAAAGGACTTCCTTAGTTATAGTACTTTTTTGTTTTGTTTTGAAAAAAATCAGAACATTTTCATTTCACAGTTTTTGCTCATAGATAAACGACGAACAATGTAATCCTGTGACAATACTTGATAAAATAAGTTTGTTGTTTTTTATCTCTTGTTTAAATGAAATCTTTGTGAATCGAGTTTAATTTCGTTTAAAGTACTTCTCAGATAAGATATGTACCTTTCATTGCGTCGTCTATATTCAAATATTTGTATGAAAAGGCTGTTTTTTTGCTTCATTTGAGATAGTCTATCATACGACTTTTATCAAGCTATCAAATTGACGTCATTACCGTGATAATTGTAAGAAATGATGGGTAGATGAAAACGATATATCAATGCGAAAAAAAATAGCTGAAAATTAGTATTGCCTTCGTTGTATTTGTTGATTTTCATTTTTGTTTTGTTTTGATAGATTATCCGTGACTTTTAATATTAGGAAAAATTTACAATATTAGCTTTTGTTTTACTGACAAATTTTGTGCGATTGTCATGCTATGCACTCTTTTGCTTAGTCAGAAACGTGAACTTGATCTTTATAATCAAGTCGGTCCGAAGTCCATAATTATTAAGGATATATTCATGCGGGTATGTTCACCATATTATATATACGTACTCTCCGAACGTTTTAACTCATTTAGCTTATCTTTTATTTGCATTAGTAAAATCTTATTTTGATTCGCTCCGAACACAATCGTTTTATCATAGAGAACGTATTCTTAATAAATTTTTTGCACATCGATGATGATGCCAGATTGTTAAAATAAATATTATAATAACAACTTTTTCGAGAGGACATTTTTAGGTTTCATTATCCCACTTATAATTTCAATAAAACTGTTGAAAAATGATTGATACTGATATGATCAAAAATTATTATATATTCTCAACATCGCTAGAAAATAAGAAAAATAGATAACTATCATAGATCACGTTTTATAATAATAATAAAATGTACTTAAAGTATGCAGTGTTAAAAAATGAACGCATTTGCTGTAATCATATAGTTAAATCAATAATGCTAATGGAAAAAAAGAAATGAGAATAGCGTTCTGCAATTCTACCAATAGAATTAAAACTCTGTTTATCTAAGTTGATTCTTTGGCTTTTTTACCCAATTTTTTGTTTCCAAGAAAAGCATCATTGCAAAAACTTGGAAGAGAAAAAAAACGACACTTGTGATCTAGGACAACCGTAAAATTAGAGAAAGTAATGATGTGTATTAATAGCAGAAATACTTGTGTTCAGTAATAACAGAAACTACATTATTTTATAGAATGTTTATTCTGTATGTTCATATATAATGATGTGGTGGGCAAAAACTCAGTTTGAGACAGGCTATTTATTTGCTTTACTTGCCTTTTTTTCTTCTTTTAAAGTGCTAACTTGAAATAAAATTCAACACCTGGACAACTTTTTAATCAAGAGCGGTACGCATACATTATATATATATATATTTCTTTCTTCCAATGTCAATATAAGCAGATGGCTGATTCACGCGACATTAATTGAAAGATTGTAAAAGTTTTTTTCCTAATAAGTTTTTTTGAGTAGCAACGTCTATGAGAAAACGCAAATCCAACTATTAAATGATAATCAATTTCTTTTTTGTCTGTCTACGCTAATCAGAAGCAGTGACAATGACGAGCACAATTGTTTTTTTGTACGTGCTTGTCCTTGAGACAAGATATTATCCTAACATCAAAGTAGTCTAATAGGTTAAGCAATACGTGTACGACAACGGGCAGATGCTATCTAATTCTCACGTTGATAACAACATGCAAACTGATCTTTCGAAATATGAATATCAGATGCGAAGAATGAGAATTGATTAAATTATGATAAACAAAAGTGATGAATACAAAATATTTCGGTATAGTCGATCTACGATTCCCTTTTTTTGTGCTGTCAGAATATAGTTTTCATCTATATATCAGTAATGCAATATGTAAACATTTCATTGTTTTTTCACTTTTGTCATGCTATGACATCATCATAAACATACACATCATTGCACATTTTAGAATGTCCTTTATCGATGCTAGTGAGTGTATTCGACTATGGCATAAAAGAAATGAATTAAATGAATGCCGTCTAGAATGTTCAGTCTCCGTACTTATCGGCCGATTAAAACTATAAGAGAAGACGATGCTGAAGTAACAAAAATACCATTTTCTTATTTCTATAGTTCAACCAACATTCATCCAGTTCTCTTTTGTTATCATTAGAATTACATTATAACGTTTGAATCGAAAATAGTAGCTACCCTGGTTGGTTGTTTTCTATTCTTACATTTTGAATTGTATATATAACGAAACAGCTGACAAACCGGTAAAGATGCATATAGTGTATGCGTGTTTGTTTTCTTTCACTCTCTTACTTTTTTTTCTTTTTCTTCTCTCTCTCTCTCTCTCTCTCTGTCTCACCCTCTCGACCAACATATTCTACGACTAGAGAAGCAAGAGAAAAGAGAACTAGATATGTATATATATATATATATATATATATATAGAGTAATGAAACGCAAACCAACAATGAGAGAAGTAAATTTATGCAAAATATATATTTCTACTCAAATTTTGATTTAATCGAAAACAAAAAACATGAACTCGACTTCGCTCTTCGTTTTTTAGATGTCTGTTGATGTTGATTTCTTGCCGCATTTACTTATGAAAGATAGTGTATTAACAACACAATATGATAGAAGAAATAGTTGGGCTACATCAATATCTTCATCGTCTTCATCATCAGCAAACGCAACATCGTGGTTAGAAAGAAAACTATTTAGTCATTTCAAACGTTTCTTCCGACGAAAATCATTATCGTTAACATCCAATTCATCTTTATCAAGTCGTAGACCATCGTCGACAACAACCGATGATATTATATCATTACCAGTTGATGAGCAACCACACGAGGAAGAAGAAGAAGAAGAAGAAGACGAAGACGAAGAACAAAAAGAAGAAAAAGAAAAGCCCATTATTATTAATAATGAAATTCTTCCAGTACGTTCTCCTCCTACAACACCTGTTTTGAAGCCGATCGATCTACTCTATGACTATGATCGTCTTCTTGCACGTTGCAGTGAACAACGTGAACGTGACCAAACCGAAATGCTGCTACGTTGTCGTATTCCAATATCGATTCCGCATGCAGACTTAGTTGCTGGTCAATCACGTACAATAGTTGTCAATTGGAAGTCTTATATACGTTTATTTAATGGATTAAAGCGTGATGCACATCTATTTCAAGAATATATTAACCAACATTATTCATGTCAATCATTTATTAATTCACGTGAACAGTTAACATTGAACATTCGAACAACAAAAACAACATTTGATAATGTTCTTAGAAAATTTCTTGACGAATATGTTACATGTTTAATTTGTCAAACAGCACAAACGCATCTGATTAAATCCGATGGTATATGGAGAATTGAATGTCAATTATGTGGTACTCAAAGAATCGTGAAGCGACTCAGATGGAAACATCAGCATCATCATCATCAATATCAATAATAATAATAATAATAAATAATGCTAATAACAATAAAACCCGAAAACAACAGTGATATACGATATCTTATTTTTGTTGTTCTCAAATCTAGTCTCTTTTGTCTCATTTCATTTTTTGTTGTTATTGTTGATGTCTTCATAGATTTCTGTTTTTTCTCTCTGTAGCTATGCTTTTAACTCTATACCGCATATATACAATACGCAGAAGGGCACTTTCGAAACACCTTTTTGGGAAATATTATTGTTGATATGCAATTATTTCATTTCTTTCTTTTTTTATGTGTTGATTCTTTGCATCATTTATATATTTTACTACAAGTATATAGCGTAAATAAAAATATTTGATTTGATATCTCGTGTTGTATTAAACTGACTGATAGAAATCTTTTGCAATTAAACGTTCACCTAGGACAACCTTAGATTCGAAGATAGTAAAAATGACTCATTGTTGATTAAATAAAAGAGTCAATGGCAATGCAAGTATGTTAAGAATAGCACGCATTTATATATGACTCAACATATTCTTTTAGTGCGCCCACTTGATCGCAAAGCAAAACTATATTTCTTTGATCGATAGATGTCAGTAGATTTCAAAGATCGTTCACCAGCCTTCCCTTTTATTTGCCAAAGATGTAAACCATTGATGCTAAACATTAGGCTCTAAAAAAATTTCTTTTGATTAACTATTTTCTTCTTTGACTTATTGAAATAATAAGAGCTATCAGATCAAAACAATACCAAATGGACGATTGCTCTGCACGACATATACATACGCGTAATTCAATCACACAATGCGAGCCCGTTTGCATGTTTACATCTTTAAGAAACACTGAATGACCTCATTGTAATATGGTTTCTGATGGATTAAAGGACTTTTTCTTAGCAGCATTAATAAAACAAAAGCTATGCATATTCATTAGTATAAAATCCTAAGTCACGTCTCAATCAGGAAAATTTTTGTATTATTTATTTAAAGCTTCTTACTAATTGTCTATATTTAATTACAGATGTTTCTACGCATAATTCATTCATTCGATAAAATTATATCCTTACAGGGAATAAAATTTTCTCGTTTCGCTTCTCATGCATCACCAGCTTCCAGCGAAGTTCGATCTTCATGTCCCGGACGTTCAAGTAATCTTTCTAATAGTAAACAAGCTATTCCATCAACTGACGTTTCATCATCAATGAAATTACCTGTACTCAAACGTCTACCAAGAAAAAAACCGGCATGGAAAGAAATCAATTTTTCAAATCAATACGAAGGACAATATTTTAATTTAACTGCATATGCTACTGCCGATTGGTACGATTTAAATCAATTAAAACAGCGTTTAACTTCATTATCAAAACCATTTCAACTAGTTCATATATCGGATTTAATTGAGAATGTTCTTTGTATTCGAATACATCGAGATGGAACAAAGAAGAGTGAAGCATTTATTTTTGATGACGGTGCAGTTATTTTTTGGAATGTTAAACATGACGATGAAAAAATCATTTTAAAAGAAGTAACTAAAAAATTTGTTTGCTTTGAAAATTATTTTCTTTTTCTTTCGGTGTTTTGATCGATGAAGTTAGTGATAATCAATATCCGAAAGATATCATGAATAGTGAAAAAGAAATCATGAATTTCATGGAAGTTACAACGATAAGTACACTGAATAATGATATTGTTAAAATTAACTGTCAATCAGAAAATGAACAACTACTCGATAAATACACATTTTCGAATGCACTCGCACTTTCAGTTAAATTAGGTAGAATAAAAATTAAAGAATATTTTATGCTTGAATATTTTTCTTCTAAAAATAGGCATTTGGGAAGCACTGCTTGATAATGAAGTTGAATTTGTTGCTGATTTAGCTAACCGTTTAAAACAAGAAAAACATATCAAAATTCAACATGGACTAATGCAACGTAAAAGTGGAGAACTCTACTCACTTAAACATGCTGTTAATCTAAGTCATGGTATGAATGAACAATAGATAGATGTGCGAAATATTTTAGAATTTTAAGAAAAAAAAAAATCAAAATTTAAAGAGTTTCTACCGGGGCCCTTTGAATTAGTTCATTTTAAGACTGTATCGGATGATACAGCACTGATCCACCTTCCTAATGAAACATTTGAGAGTCGCGGACGTGTTGGAATGAAAATTCCTAAGCGTCAAAAGACAGCGTTCTGAATTCCGATCCGTTTCCATCAAAGCAGACTCATCCAGGCAAATACCGAATTTAGCATATGATATATAAACCGGTTAATCCGAAGCTTCTGTTATTGTTTATGATCAATTCGAAGTGATAGTGGCTGGCATTTGACGTCATATTCAATATTATGCATGCATCATATCGCATACCAGGAAACGCCTCGCAACATTTTTTTCCTGGTAATTCATATAACGTCAGAAATTGGAATTTTCATCATTAAAACTGAAGATTCTTCGAAAAAATTGACATTCCTTATGCTGATATGTTTGAAGTATGCAATAAAGAGTAAATTCATGTTGAAGAGCATTATTCAAGAAAGATTCTGACATTGGATTGTTCGAAAGAGAAAAGCCACTTATTTCTGATGAAAAAAAAGAAACATGTTAACTAGAGTGGAAAAGATAATAATAGAAACTTTAATTATAAAATTACTGATGTTGAGTCATAGCTCAATGAGAATCGTCACAGTATGAGCTTTTTTGGCGCAGCAATAGGAATGGTTTACTTATTAAAATCTAATCTGCCATATTTTATTTACGGCACGACTCATACAACATTCTTGTACTCAAAAACTATATTCTTTTTTGGTATTGTTCAGTACAACCTAGCAAAACAGAAATCAGTTTAATCTAAATATTTACGTCTAAAATACCATATTTGACTATTTTGTTTTCATACGTCAGAGAGTTATTCGTACTGAATGAATTTCTAATGGAAATGCGTCTATATTTAGAATTGCTCGTTTTGGGTTAAAACAGCATTGATTTCCCGTGCGGAATAATGAAATGTATATGTCATTGAGTGGAATTCATTATACTGTCCAATCAGACAAAAAATAGAACAAGAGAACAGTCCCATTTGTTATCTTTTATTCTTCAGTATCATATTGAGCTAACAGAAGATATGAAAATACGTCGTTATCTACACACGTAGTATATTCTACATGATATTTACGCATTAGTTTGTTCTTTCAAAGTCGCACGCATATAACTAATTTTAGTTTTTTTTAGATTTTCTTGATACGCCGGATTTCTATTGGTCAAATAGTCGATTAGAAAAGTAATGGACAATCAGTCTTTACAATTATCTTCAATGATTTCTCGTTTAGTCTCTACAAAAAAGTATTTCATTATTTTGCCATTGCAAAACGAACCAAAGTTTTAAATGAGCGTTTGAATTTTTCGCTCGAACTTATACAAGTTATTGAAGCAAGTTTAAACGAGAAAAAACATGTACGACTTGAATGGATTATCATAGCTTTAATTTTCGTGGAAGTCTTCTTCAATATAATTGATCATGTAGATTTTAACACATGGAAATTCACTTCGAAACATTCGAAAACTCCAGATGATCGCGTTTAATTATTATTTTTTTTTGAATGAAAATAAAACTGTTTATTTTTTGTTTCTAAAATTTGAAGATAATTAAAATTATTTCATTTCCTACTGATAATAAACTCGACTAGAAATTTATGATAATAACTATGTTGCAAGTAAAACAAAATAATCAACTATTATGCAAACAGATTGATTCGCACTAAAATGATTTTGAATGAGAAAAAAAAACTGCGATCTTATCAATCCGTGGAGTGACGGGCGATGATGATGATCATTATTTGTCCTCTTTTGTTTTGCTCTAAACATATTTTTACAATCGATAAAATGATCAGTCACACTCGATCAAACTTTCATAGACATAAGTGCTCTTTTGTTGTTTTGTCCTTCTATCGAAAAATATGGCAAACGTGTGTCCATTGCTCATTCGTCCATCGTTTAGTGGAAATACTTATCATGATCTTCAGTTAAATTTTGAATCTCCGACTACAAATTGTACAGCAGACTCAAATCAAAATATACTTCTCATTCAATTTACTCGTATTTTAAATTCAACATTCAACTATACATCCTATGCGCTCTATGATTTTGCCAAGAAAAATAATGAATTACCATATTTACAAGTATTTCCTGATGATCATATTAATTTATGCGTACGATCAGCATTTCACGCCGATAGAAATGAAGTCGCATGTTATGAATTTTACATGATAACAATGCTATCGTCAATCGATCGAACATTTTGGCCATTGCTCATTATATTCGGCTATATAATTATATTAATAATACCAATGTTATTTTCTTTATTAGCACAGATATTCAATAAATTATCTCGAACATTTTATAGAGGTTCAATAACAAAAAAATTAGTAAAAACTCGAAATATATTTTCATTTTTGCCGACATCACAACGGCAATTAAATGATATGAATTTGAAAAAATTGGACGAAAAAAAAGAATTGTTAAACGCAATTGATTCCATCGCAAAAGAATTTAAAAAAAAATCAAAAACATTTATTATTACACAAGAAAACCCCGTTGGACAAGTTAACCGAGCTTATCTGTAACAATTTACTTACATCTAAAATATCAAATAAGAAAAGAAAAGAAATTCACGATTTTCTATGAATCACTTGTGATAGATAGGAAAACATTTCCATCACACCACCTCCTATGAGTAAATAAAAGCCAAGTTTGTTTATTTCTTATTATTTTGAATTTTATTCACCTGTATGTGCGCTCATTTCAAATACTTTCCATTGTTCTGTTCGTGTTTTTCCTAACGATAATTGCGCTAGCAGTTCTTCTTTTCTTAATGCTTCTAGAAAACATCATAAATAAAATTATTGATGATAGAAAAACACAAATCATTTGTAAACGAACGCGGTAGATCTTGTTTATTTGCAGCAATAACAATTGGAATCGAATAGAATCCATCTAATTTCTTAGATAGATCTAAAAGCTCTTTTCGAGCAAGTTGTATTCGTTGACCATCATGACAATCAATAACAAACACCACACCTTAGTAAAAACAAAATTCAAAATTTTATCGATTCTATTCATCTTTGCCTGTACAGTCAATTTAGTTGATGCTTTGCAGGCAATCCGACTGAACTGGTTCATTTCTACTTGGTGCGAAAGCTATTTAATGTAATTCCGTTGAGATGAAAATGTGTAACACAATGCACTTGCTTTTACGAGGCACAGGAGATCTTTTTATTTATATTTTGGAATATATTACTTTTAGTTAATGCTCTAGATACGCAATGAGAACGTAGTGACATTTGTTGGCATATCAGTATCTCCAGGGGATGCCAAGGCACTATTTCATCTGTTGATATCGTATTTATGATTTCTTTAGTGTATACTGAATCCAAGAGAATACAAACAAATATATGCCGCTTCTGTGATGATTTTTATGCATTCAGTTAAGCTAGACAGTAGAATTTTCTATACTGGTAGACTTCCCTATTAGACATGCACCGATTCATCGCATTGAGAAAGTAAAAGAAAAAAAACGTCATTGTTATTTCTACGATGAGAAAGTTTTCTAACGTCGTGCTCTTGGCATTGGCTGTTTTGAAAGAAAAATAAATCGTTTTAAAAAACTTGAAATCTATAAAAAAAAAGACGTTCTTGTATTGCTTTCGTCTTCGTCGGAAGCGTGAAGTGTGGGTTGTATTTATATTGTCTACGTATATGAAATAACATTGCTGCATTAGATTTCTTTCTCAGACAGCTCAAGGCGAGATCGAACGCATATCGTATTGTAAATTTAGTCGTATAGATAAAGCATTGATACTTCAAAAAGAAAATATTTCAGATTTATTGAAAAAGGGATTCGAAATTAAATCCAATTAAAAATCAAGAAGAATTAAACAATTACTTCAATCGTATTTTCGCTAAAAATCTCTAATTAGAATTTTACTGTGCGGAAATTTACTCAACTTTTTTATGGCGATAATTCCTACATAAATCTGCTTCATGTGCTACATAGGATTTGCTAAACTTGAAGTAATGCAGTTTAATTAAGGCACTATGTCCAGTAAAATATCGTTTTCTCATCTCATCATGAGAGATTTTCAAATCTATCTCACGTTTGTCTCGACATGATTGAATTAATCATATGTAATTACGTGTATTGTTTAGCGACAATATGAAACTGCGCAATTTGTTTATGTAACTATTTTTACTATGTTTCATAGAGTATATCGAATTGCATAAAATAGACTCATTTTAAGGAAACTCGGAAGACCCCTTGATTTAATAATTTCCTATGCATTCATGCATAATTTCAGACATAACATTGCGAAATTACTTCTATGTCGTAAACCGGAAGAAAATATGAGTAACGTTGCATGGAGGGGAAAAGTCAACTTCAACTCATGAGACCGTGCAAAAATGAAAATCTCATGTTTTTTCTTCTTCTAACTACTTCTGTCCTTTAGTAGAACCTTTAGTTCGCATCATACCTTGAATGCCAGTTAGATAGAATCTCCATAGCTCTCTTGTTTTTTCTTCTCCACCTAAATCCCATAGATTTAGCGCTAATGGAGAAAGACGTGGATAGACTGTTTCGATTTCATAGACAAATGTTGGTTCGGTTACAATATGTTCAATATAAGATGCATGTGTATCAAGTTGGAGATCAACTATATTTTTAAATCTTCGCACTAATGTTGTTTTACCGGCTGAGTCAAGGCCAACAATGATAACTCTCGCAGATGGTTCGTCATAGGGCGAACAAATTTGTCTAATCTTGCTTGAAAAAATAATTCCCATTACTCATTGATATAGGATGTGATTTTTACATCAACAATACACCTGACGATGTTTTGTCGAAGACAAATATTGATTGGCAAAAATACTCGCCTTTCTATTTTTCCTTTTTGCATTTCTTTCTGCTTTTGAAACCAACATTCATCAACATTTGCGTTTGCTATATGAAAAAGAAGAAGAAGAACGAGAAAAAAAACCGTTAAACACGAATCAATAAAACAAAGAGAGAGAGAAACAAATTTTAAGCAAAACTAATTCTTTGCTTCGGGCAACGACGTAATGTAAAAAAATGTTGACGTTGATCAGAAGAAATCGATTGTTGATTATTGTTTGAAGCAATAAATATAAATAAATTATTTCGTTTACGTTTATGAGAGAAATAATTCAATTGACACGTCAATATCGATACAAAAGCACGACGAAATCGAACATTAAATGCTGTATAAATAATCTAAATTAGAAGAAATACAAAGAAAAAACATTCATGAAAGCTTTTCATTTTTCGTCTTTTACTGGATTCAAATTCGATGATATGTAACCAAGCCAACTGGTTACATTTAATAATGATGGTTGTATACCACATGATGGGCAAACAGCTGAAAGAATATTTAAGACTGAAAATGGAAGCCATGCGACGATAAAAACGAAAAACACAATGCCCAAAACTTTCATTGCCCGTCGTTCGCTTGTAGTTTCTGTGCCACATTTAAACACGTGAACCGCTTTTTGTACAAATGTATTGCGAAGAAATGACCGTTGACTTGGCAAAGGCGCATTTGATGTTAATGATGATATTGATGCTTTGCTATAAAAAAACAAATAAATGAAAATAAAAACATTTTACTACGATCAATATGAATATGTAATTTTTAGTCTTGAATTCTATGTTGCGCATGAATGATTTGTCACTAAGAATAGAATAACTCTATTTAGATTTCAAAAATAGTCATTCTCTCACGAGAAAGAAAAACTCGGAATATTAATTTTCGTGATCAACGGGAAAAGGGGATAAGTAGAAAACTTACGGCCACTCGAGAGTATTTGGTTTCATATCGGCTTCGAGTAGTGCAGTTGAACGAGATGTTGATCGCGAATATAATTGTGTTGAACTACGTGGATCTTTCGCCATTGTTGTAGTACAATAGTGTGACGATGATGAGTGTAATCTTGAGTTGGATGTGTGCCGTCGTATACGGTGGCATGTTTCTGACATCATCACTGAGTGTTCATCGCGGTCGGAATAACACTTAGCTGCTTCTCGTTGCAGAAGTCGAATTGTTAATGAATATGTAACAAGCATCAATACGCATGGCACGCAAAAACATACAATCGAACCGAAAATTATAAATAAACGATTGTTTAGTCCACACAATCGTTTGTGATCGTCAGTTATTGTCAAAACATTACGTTCGTCGGCAAGACTCAGCACGAGTATAGTACATGATATACCAATTGAAAACGTCCATATTAAAATAATGGCTAGAAATGTTTTAAATTTACTTCGTTTTCGTGTACGAAACGGTCGTGATATATGAAGAAAACGATCTATGGCAACAATTGTTAAATGCCATATCGATGTTGTACATAATAAAACATCGAAAAACATATAAATATTACAACAGATAACCGGTAATTTCCAAGAGCCTAGTTAGTTTTTAAAAAAAGCGAATATTAAAATATCTCATCATTTTCTTTTAACTGAAACATATTAGTTCTGATATAATTTCTAGTAATATTTCAAGAAGCATATATTTTATGAGTTGCAACTATATCTTGATGAATATTAGCATAGGATCACCTTGACTAGATTAGTACAACTCAATATTAAATCCGTCAGTCTTAATAGTTTTCACTGAGCAAGACCGTGTTATCGATTTATTTGAACATTTGGCTTTGAGAAGCAAACATAAAAGTAATCATACGTCAACTTCTATGTTTATAGGAGAAAATATAATATTTCGAGCAACGCTTGTTATTCTTTACATGCTAAAAAAACAATCTTGAATCCTCAGTGGTGATTATTTCCGTATTTTTTTGATTGTCTCGCTGGCGTAATTAACAGGGAATCAATCATTCTTACGGGCTCAAAATAAAAAACAACTATTGAATAGGTTATCGCAGCCTACCTTGAAAATCTTTTATAATTGCAAGCGGTAGAACGACAAGACTTAGAAGACAATCGGCAATAGCCAATGAAAAAAGAAAAAAATTCGTCACCGTTTGCAATTGTTTATCAAGCGAAATCGATGCGCATACTAATAAATTGCCAAGTATACCAAATATAGACAGTACCGATAATGATAGTACAGGCCAATTATATTTATTTGTATTTAAAGCAATAATATCATCGGTGACGTTTATTGTTGGTAATGCAGTTAAAGTTTGATAATTATACGGAGTTGAATATGTTACTTTTATATCAAAATTGGCCATCGAGTATTTATATCATAATATTTCGTGCTTTCTACAATTGAATAATGACATGTTGCAAATGAAATGAATAGCGGAACTAAATAAGCATTATATACAAGAATGAGAGCTACTGAGTATAGAGTCTTATAACGACTTTTCTTCTCTATTCACAACCGTCTTCATCATTTTTTCCGTTTGCTTGTCTGCTCTCGTTCTCTTATTTTATGATCATATTAGAATTAATAAAGAATGAAACAAAAATAGTCAACGCTAGCATAGAAGTAGCTATATCACATTCTCATTTTTCGTTGAACAATGACGATAATAGGCTAGCAAATTATTTACTCGTGCAAAGAGAAAAAAATGTATATTGAATAGAAAACGTATCGGCCTCTCCTTCCCGTAAGAGAAAGATGAAGAAACTCAGAAAGGCGTTTGACTATAGTTCGACATGTCAGCAATTGAAAATGTTAACTATGATTTAAAGCAGTTGCTCGGCAGGTAACAAAATCAAGTTTCCAAGACTGAAATTGAACTTTTTTTGGTCGTTTTTATGCCGACTCAAAAAATGTCTTCGCTTAGAAGAATGCAAGACTCGTGTAAAAGAAAATAAATCTCTCTAGTAAAAACCGGAATTCATCAATTACTTCCTATTTTCTATATCAAGCAGTAGAAAATTCATGTTGTTTTACGACTACCATTAAATCGTATTGACACTCAATAAATGGTATTTCAAGCAGCACATTACTTCCATAAAGTTCGGTTACTCGTAAGAATAAGTTAAATATTCATTGAATGAACTTAACTATTGATATTATGATGTTTTTTCTCCTTATCGAATTGTAACACACGAAAATAGCGCTATAAACGCAATCTGTTCGTGCCCTTTTAAATACCAAGAGATAGGCTAGGACAATCTTTGAGTCAATCAGTCACTAGAAGCCAATATAAAAATTTTCTTCGATGTTAAAACGAGTAAAACAAAAAAAGTCATTCGGAAGCGTAAATAGGAAATTCAAATTTTATTTCGTTTAATAGGATCAAATATTTATTCCGAAGTCAATATGCAATTCATGTTTTTAATTTCTTTTGACATCACTAGATTTAATAACAAAAATAGAAAACCAAACGAATACAATTTCGTATCTGATCTAATATGATCTTTTGCTTTGCTTTTCGAATCTCTCACATACGTGACAATGAAAGTAAACAACGAACAATACAACTAACAAATAGAAACATTCGATGAATCCTTTTGCTCATCAAATGGTTGAGTATATTCAAATATAAGTAAATCACGTTGTTGTTTAGATGTACCAATGATTAAATATTCTTGACGTTTATTAGAATCATTGCTAATTGCATGCACATCTAATGATTGAAGTGAACCTTGAGAGCATATTAATTCATTGATGTTGTCCTTTCGATTTACATTCCATGTACGAATACGTTGGCCATCATTATCAATGGAAAGAAAATGTCGCTGATCAAGCCAACTTATGGAATGAATCTAAACGATAATTTAGCGGTTTTACTGCAATGTGGCATGAAAAATAATTTTCTTCTAGCCTAACGTTAGGATGGTTAGTAATAAAAACTAGGGGTGGACCGTTGATGTTAATTTGAGTTAATTAAGTAGTTTTACTTAACACTTAATATTAATAAAAAAAATGTTTACATTAGTCACTTAATTAGTTAATATTAAGTGTTTAACAATATTTCATTTTTTACAATTAAATATTACGTTAAGACTTAATTTTAAAAATTAAGTACTGCGTTAACATTTAATATTAAAAATTAAGTTTTGATTTAATGCTTAATATTAAATTAACGTAAAGTGCCACCCCTACTAATAGGCCGATTTGGTCAACGTAATCATAAATCTTGTGAGCGTGATTTGAGTAAGTAATGACGCAGTAAAATAAAGAATCTGACATTTGAATTTTTGTAAAAAATTAACCAGATTAATACGCTGTAAGCGATTGTCAATTTACAGATACTATTCTTAATTATTTTAATCAACATGTGCCAATTACCAAGTCCTAAGGATCAATTATTTAGATTTCTTCTTGCTTTTCTAAAATTGATACGCACATTTTCTTCACGGGAACGGAAGTGTTTACGTAAGTCAACATCCGCTCAAAGCTGCTATGTCAAGATTATAAGTCAAGTACTTGGAAAAAATCTAGCAATGTACTTTAGTTTTGTGAACTAACAAAATCTACTACATAGGAAATACTCTCAGGTGCGCCCACTAAATAGATAAGATTGACCAGTACACTCTAAAACATTTCATTTCATCGATTTTACCTAGGAAACCTCATGTTTTCGCTTAATGATTAATCTTCTATTTGATTCAACTAGTACGAACAAAAAAACAGATTGGCTTGCCTAGGTCGTGTTTTTCTTACAAACGTACATGAATTTTGAGACTATCAATGTCTGTCAAAGCTCACTCGGTCATGTTCAAGTTAGAAGCACATTTTTACTTATTTATGAAAAAAAGATTATTCTCATTAGACATCCAGGCTGTGTTACATCTAAACGATACAAGTTGATGAATACTCATATTAGAGTTCTACTGTTCTTACAAACGAAAGAACTTTAACATTTCTGTTCAAAATAATCCTTAAGCATGTATAAAAATCTGCAGAAGAGGAAAGTTAGTTCTTTTTTTTTATTATTATTAAACTTTGTAATAGTGATTCTTTAGTAGGTTAAGACAACGAGGTTGCTTTTTGATTATTCACAAAATGGTTTCACCGTTTTCTATTCTATTTGCCTCTGAAAAAATGATATTAAACGTCATGATCAAAGAACTCATAGGTTTCATTTATAAAAATAGAAGAAAAAAAACCTCATTTAAAAAGAGTCACGAAATTTCGAAGCCGTGAATTATGAAGAAAAATGAATCTATTTTTTCAAAATACTTCTATTCGTCGTTTCTCGAAAATAAACACTTACTAATGGATCGGTTATAGTTGCAACCAATGAAAATTGAGCTATCACAAGCGTTACATCCCATATGTAGACCACGCCTGACTCGAGAAGTATTGCTAAACGATTATCATGAATTTGACAATGACGAATATTTTGTATTTTATTTTCTGAATTTAAATGGAGAAAATCATAAGTAAATAAAATTTCTCCATCACTCAATTTCCATATAACAACTTCATTTGTACGTAATACAGTTAAAATAGATTCATCACTGATAGCAAATGTATTATCCGGCTCGGAATCGAATCTTGTTAACAGCATCGTACAATTATTCGACGAAGATTGCTCTTCATTTGAACTTGATATTGTTTCTAATTTAAATATAACAAAACATGTATATGTACTTGCATGTTCTGTACAAGCAATTAATGCATAGGTTTCATTTTTAGTTAAAATAATACGCCGAATTTCATCACCTATGGATGTGTCAGGATCGGATTTGAGTTCACGCGAAAGACTACACGTATCAATATCCAGTAGACCAAGGGATATGCCTCGGCCGTATTTCTGTTTTCCAGCCATATAAAGTAGAGATGCATTTTGAGATGTTGATGCTAACGTACATTTTATTGGATGTAAATTTGTACGAATTGCATTATCATTTGTGGACCAAATTTTAACAGAGTATGGATTGATATTTGATGTGATCTCATAGAATAGAGCAATTAAATATTGACCATTAGAAGAAAATAATATATTATGACACAAACCAACTGATGAAACCGGTAATCGAGAATGAAAACTTCCAGTCTAAAAAGTAGAAGAACGATGTTTAAGTTACCATAGATCCATGCCCTCGATCTTAGTGCACTGTCAAAATTATTAGTAGTGTTAGTCTCTCGAGAATTTTCCACATAGTTTCTTAGAACAAATCATATTTGACTTACAAGAGCGTGAGATAATTGAATTCGATTTTGATCTGATGTAGCTAAAACGATGGGCTCTTTAGTTGTTCGATTATTTGGTTGCAATGCATAACAATCGACAAGGTTTTTAGTGTAAAGAAATAGAATTTTTGTTTGAATAGCTGACGAATGGGTATTTTTCAGAATCGATCTTCGTTTTACTGACAAACGTTTTTGTACAGCATCTTGGTCGATATCCAAATTCGAAACAAGATCACATGAATAAACAGCAGAATATGTTTGTACGCTTGAATTGTCGACTTCTTTTTTCAATGATCGTAAGGTTGCCGTAGCGATCGAATGAGCATGGGCTTGCGCAATATTAGACATTGGCAATGGCGGCTCACTTCCGGACAACATTAAACGATTGATTTGATGGTAGAGCGATGATGATGGTGACGAAACTGGTTGAGAAAAACTTGAATGAATACAGCAATGTTCATTTAGAACGCAATCCGAATTACGATAGGGTAAAGTTTTATTATCTTGTATTGATGATATAAGATGATAACTATCACCGCCATTGGTCGACAAACGAAACGATGTCGGTTTAGCTTCATTTGTATGCAAATGTCGAAGAAAGTTGGGTACACGTTTCTTTGAATCGTGTATTTCCTGCGGCACAAGTGAAAAACGTCGATCTTGTTGTTGTGGTTGTTGTAATTGTGAGTATGCTTTTCCGTTTGTTTGAGTACATTTATATTCAAGTTTTTGTTTTCCTATTGCACGATTTGTACAATGAAAACGAATGATGATAAATAATAGAAATAAAATGAAACAACTCGCTAATACTGAACCAATTATAAGATTACGAATTGGAAAGCGACTTGTTTGATTTGAAAACCATTGAAAAACCGCTCCTCGACGATGAACTGGTTGCGGGGAAACCATATTTATATTTGTTATTGGTTCACTATGATATAGATGGCCTATAATGGGAGTACTAGAGGTTTCCATTGGTAGATTCAAGATATCAGTAGTTAGAATTCGAGTTCCAGGAATAGATGTAGTAGTTGAAGATATGAAAGAAACTGGTGTTAAATTAAATTGGCCAGTATATTGATCCGGATAGACTTCTTCAACATCACCCGATCGAAGCAATGTTTTACTAAGACTATCAAATATTGATTGGCGATTGAGTGTTAAGCCTGCAATAGAATAAAATATTGAGCTATATATATATATATATATATCAATATTGATTTAACCTACCAGCAAGTATTCCGTTCCATTGTGAAATATTTTTAAAATTTCCAATTCGTAATCGTCGTTGTGCAAGAAAAGACTGTTGTTCCAATGGATTTGTATATTCTAAAATAAAATAGATATTCGATATTTTCCTGAATACGGCTGTTCGTCGTAACTTACTATTTCCTCCGTCTAATCTAATTTCAATATCATCAACATATAACTCGATGCTTGCGAATTTCCGAATTAATTTAATTGAATGATACAAACCATCTGTAAGATGTGTTATAGCTGAATAAATATCTGGTTGCTTTTCGCCTAAATTTAATTTTATATACGATCGTCCTAGGACCTAAAATGTTCACATTGGTAAACAATAGGACAGTTTATAGAGAGAAAATATTCGATACAGACTATTTCATATTCAAGACTGTATAGATCGAGATCCGACTCGAGACGAAACAGTTGTGCTGATGTAGAATATGTTTGAAGACCAAAAACAATTGTATCATGTTCGGTTTGACGCGCTTGTGTCATCGCATATTCAAGTGCGCCAATTGCATTATGTTTACCAAAATGAAAACCATCCGGTACTATTTGAAAGAAAAGGGGTTTTAAAAAATAAGACAAAACTACGAAGTTACTTCTATCACAACGTTCGCCTATGTAAGCTGTTTCAATGCAATCGCATTTTGGCCCATCGTTATCATTGGTTATGCACGTACCCGAATGAGTACACGTAAAATCATAACAAAGTTTGTTTAAATCTATATGCGAAAATAAAATTCAGTCAAGATTCTTTATCTACATATTCTAATTCAAACGCAAGCAAATACACACACATCATGGACAACAAACAATAGCTTACCGCTACTTTCGTTTGACGCTATATCTGAAGATTCTTTGATGAGAATTGAATAATAGGAAAAGAAAAAGAAAAAGAAAACGATCTCGAAACTATTTTTTACCTGAACAAGCATTCATGTTAACTTTGCCATGAAGTACCAAGGCCGTTTGATAATCAAGCAAATGACCATCAACGATAAAACTCGATAGACATCCTTGAAATCCATAGGAATTCATGCCAGACCCAGTTAAATTGATATTGTTACTATTTGGTACTCCGCCGACATAGAGTACAGGTTGTAGGGAAACAGCATTTCGAATCCCATTGGTTGATAATGTCGAACGATTTACACGGTTATCAACAACTAATTCGATTCTAGAATAAAATTACGAAAAGGCTATTTGGCGAATAACAAAAGAAAAATCATCCATTTTAAACGTTTCATAGGTCAAAACTTATTTGAATGTCTTTTGAAAATCTACATCTATTATTAAGTCCGCGAACAGATTCATGTTTCTTACTTATCAGTACTAATTCTTGTCACTCGTACTTCATGCCATCGTCCATCGGCCAATTTCGTCGATTCATCGCTAACAATTTGTCGTTTTCCATAGCCGAAATCAATCAACAATGTTAATATACCAGCTCGTAAGCCAATAGCAAAATATTCATTTAAACCTTGCGCATAACGATATAAAATCAGTCCATCAGGCACGTAGGTGCGAAATAAAAAATAGATATCTAATTTTCCATGATTCTTATTTTGACTTTCACGTTCAGAAAATGCTATGTACGATGTTTGTGTATCTAATGTAACTAAATTAAAAAATGCTATCCGATAGCCAACAATAATATGTTGACTAGACGCATGAAATGATGATTGAATAAGTTGTTTTCGTGTTGACAGACTCGCAAATAAATATTCATCATTAAATATAAGATCGCCCATATAGCCAATAAACGGTTGAAAGATATCATCATTTAAACGACGAGTATCACCAACCAACAGTCCATTTATATTCCAACTCGATACAGCATAACTAGGAACTTGTGCTACAAACGAAAAAGTAAATGAAACAGCAAAAAAAAGCGATTTGTGCAAAATTACATGTTCGCGTATCATCATCAACAACAACTTTAAATGCACCATTTAGATCGATTTCAAATTGTAATTTGTGCCAATTATCATTATTGACATTTTTACCACATTGAACATTCTACAAAATAGTGTCAATTGTAACAAAAACAAAATGTTATTGTAAACAATATTTCAACAAGTGCGGAGCAAGGCCACTTCAAAGGTCGGATTGGCCCTCTCGAAATAATTGACTATTACATTCGACTACTGTCTTTGCCGTAGAGAAATAAAAAAATGCAAATCGACATATTTCATTTTGAACTTTGTTACATGCTAAAAAGAAATGAGTGATTCATCATGAGTTGAACAACATGCGAAAAATCGTTTTCCAGCGTAATCAGAATAAGCAAACGTGCTTAGAATTGATTGAAATCTAGGCCATATTTGTTTATTTACCAATCAAATATTGATAGTTATCTATTTAGTTTGTCACATTATTTCTAATTGACGAGTTTGAAGTCTCAGTAGAAATACTTTTTAATATATTTGCAATCAATTTTTTTTTGTTTCTCCCTTGGATGGCTTCTTTACAATGAAACCCATCGAAACTTTATCATTGGAGTACTTGAAAATGCCCTCATCGCAGATACATCCTAGTTTAACGTAGAAACGACACTAGATCTATTCGCTCACATTAATCAAAATTCAATATGACTTGAAGATTGATTCATTTGTTTACTTTCCATAGTTTTCTATGGTTGACGAAACAGAAACTCGAACTTTATTTTGATCTTCTCTTTATTTCTCATAGAACACAATCATAGTATCTACATGCAAATATTTTAATAGAATGTAAACAGAAATTCATCCGGTAGTTTTCTGCCAACTGCATCCGGATGTGGATGTAATTTTGTCTGCTTTATTTTTTTCGGCTATCGATATATAATATTCCGAGTAATTTAATTTTGTTTCTTTTGCATACGCTCGTTTAGACAGCAATGCACTAAGTTTGATTTAAGATATACTTAGACTAGCATCGATCGATATGACGACCTTGGAGACAGGAAAAATAAAACACTTCATTTTTTTTGTCCGTGCGGATCCTCATTCGAAGTAGTTCGAAACGACACACACCCACATATCCTATACAATACACAACAAGAAGAGAGAAATATCATTATTATTATTTTGCTTCTTCTCTCCTCGTAAGATGGATTGCTAATCAGAATAGCAATACGACGATGTATAAGAAAGAAGGCCGAGAAAATCGAGTTTCGAGAAAATGTAAATTACTCTAAAGCACGGCTTTTGTTGTCTTGTTAACTGATGCATAAACGCGCAGTGAACATCCAAATTAATCAAAAAAAAAGATTAATGTTTTCTGTCGGAAATGGTGGAAGATTGAAGGACAGATCTTCTTCTTCTTCTTCTTCTTCTTCTTTTTCATATCAAACAAGAAGCAAAAGAAAAACTACAAGATTCATAAGGATTGAACGAAACCTTGATGATTGACAAAGTGTAATCAAAAAAGAAAAGTTAACATATTTCTACTTACAGTGACAGGTGATAATGCGTTTCTATCATTTAATTGAAGAACAGTGATTTCAATTTTTCCATTCGTATGTTCAATGATAATAAATGGTATTATCAATGATTTTGATTTACGATGAGTTAGAGAAAGTAGAACACCATTCGATATTCTACCCAATGTACGAAACCGTACAGATAAACGAAGTGGATAAACAAGTGTGTCTCTATGACGATAATCAATGAACGATGATGAATTAAATGTAATTACTATTGATGATGTTGATTCTAATCAAAGAAAAACAATTGTTTTAAGTTCTTATAATCAAACTTTTCTTTCTGGTTCGTCAGTTACGATTAGTTAAATATTTCTGGAGGGATTAACAATCTACATCATGCATTAACAAGTATGTTTGTTCAATAAAACAAAACATAACTTGAGATGATTGTTTACCTGATCGATCATATTGTCGAGTATTTCGTTTGGCAAGTTTATTTTCTCTATAACAATATTTCGTTGATAATCTCGTTGTATTTATTATTTTATTTTTTGATAATGATGAAAATAAAATTTCCTCATTAGGAAGATCGTGTTTGATTAAAAGTCTAAATTTTGTTGAGAAAAACACTGGAAAACTATTATTATTACGCTTGAATGTAATAATCTGATCATTTTTAGTAAATGTTAAGTAACATTTTTCAATTGAATAGCAGCGATTTTCAATAGGAATTGAGATAATAACATCAGTTAAAAGTGGTTGACATAACTAAAGAAAAACATTATTGATTATTTGACCATAAGAATAAGATACAATAGGCTGTTCTGCTCTCTCTCCCCTCAATATGGTTGAATGATTAATTAGGACGTTTTCGTCTTTTTTTTTACTCATCGTAATTATTGAGATGCACAAGTATCAATGCACACTACCGGCGCGATTATTAACGTTTTTTCTTCTTCGTTTGACACATGATTACATGAGCTTATGACTAGGCATACTTGACATTCGTCTGAGAATGTATCGATTATTCTTTACAAAAGAATATAATCATTGTTGTAACAACAGGAGTGAGAGAGAGAGAGAAAAAAAAAGAAAAACAATCAATTCTTCATTAGACATTAGAGGATGTTTTAGTTGGACGACGACGACGACGACGACGACGACGACGACGTTGTACATTAGTTAAATAGTCAGCTACTAAAATGCCTCGAGCAACCAACCTAAACTGGAATAATCATTATTGAAATGAACTTTTTCTTTTTCTTTTTTTCCGTTTGAAAGAGAAAAAAGAAAAACATAATTATGTTAAATTGTACATTTTAAATATTTAATGGGCCCTACTACTGCCTAAGATTACTTTTAAGTATCATCTATTGATCAGCAATGAGAAATGTGTTGTTCATTCGCACAATGACTAATGCTAACGGACAGATCTTTTTGACATATGTGTCTATACCCTCAAAGAATAAAAATGGTAATAGTCTGGACGGACGAGAGAAGAACAACATCTATAAATCTATTATATTTACCTGTATACTTCGGCCATATAAAATAAACGTCAGCACCAATATAAATAGAATAGTATTGTTTTTCATTGTTTAATGTTCATCGGTTATTTCCGATAGAGTTTACATGTTTATTTGTAAATATCTAAAGATTCACTCATATGCCGAAAGATTCAAGTGTATTTATTCAGAATTGTTCTTAATATTGTAATAGATAGTACGATGAGAGCAGATCGTTCATCGAAAAGAAAAATAACAATAGCATATTTGACAGATCTACACTAAGAATGTTTGTTTCTTTCTTCCTTTCGCTTTGCTTTGCTTTCTCTCTCGCTCTCTTATCGTCACTATATCTTTCTAATGGTTGTATCTATATGTTATCGGGATGGAATTGACGAAAAGAGTTTCTTCATCTTTTTGTCATCAACGTAGCGCACACACATACTCACTCTTGTAGAAGCACAAAAAATATAGACAAACAGAAAGCAAGTAAACTTTCTGAACATGTTTTTCTTCTCTCTCTCTCGCTTTCTTTTCTCGATATAATTGTTACTACTCTATTTAAAAGCAGATATAAACAATGATTGAATACCAGCAAATGAACAATGATAATTGTGACTGTTTAATCGAATGAAGATATACCTATGTTCTATAAAAACACTCGATCGATTAAGACAAAATTTTATTGTCTCTGTAGTTTATAGAAGTGTGTGTTCAATCAAGATATAACACCAAAGGAAAAAGAAAGACAAAATCATCTACATATTGCGCGTCTATCTGTCATTATTTTCTCTCTCTCTCTCTCTTTTTAATTGTAAATGTATATGTGTGTGTGTGTGTAGAAAGTGATGACAGAGGCTCAACATTGTCTTAGAGGTAGAGGTAGATTAGATGATAAATAGAGTCTCTCTCTCTCTCTCTCTCTCTCTCTGCCTATTTCGTAAGAACAACAATAATAACATTGATACAGGTTGAATGACTGACTGACCCACGCCCATATTTCTAATTCTATTTGATATGCGTATGAAATAGATTTCGTTTTCGATTGTCCGACTGATAGTTTATAATGATCAATGCTTAGTTTTAAGTCAAAATATCACAAATAAATTAAATCGATTAATAACAGATGGTAACATGTCATCTTACTATGATAAATGTGAAGAGAAACTATGTTATTAAAATATACTTTTTCGAGGTTTGATATTCTTCGGCGAATATTTGACTAGCCCCGGGGGGTTACATCCTGTTTCGACGCCAATTATCGATTGCGTGCTGTAAGACGAGTAAAAGAAGGAAAATGCGTGTGACGAACAATTCGATTAATGTGCCGATAGATTTCAACGTTGATAGTTTCATTTAAAACTTTATTTTTATTTCTAAGCAATACCCTTATCGATGCAGCAAGATATCGGAAATGTAAAAAAAAAAAGTCCTCGAGAGATTTGTTTTTATCTTTGACTGACCAATGTAGTCCCTTGTAGACATTGAAATTAAGGACCAACTGACGATGATATAAGAAGGAGAAAAGAAGAAGCAGTTTTGTTTGCTATGCATCAATGGTGGTTACTTTCCTTCCGCCCACGCAAATTACATTGAATGTTACATAACACAAAGAAGAAGAAGAAGAAGCAGAGAACCATTTATATTGTTTAGTTAAAATACTTGATTGAATTCATAAGCATTGAAAAATAACGAACAAAAGTTTGAATCTTACATAAACAAAGTGACAAGTTAATATTCTCGGTTTTTTTTTTGTTGTATCATATAGTTGTACAGACAACATCTATCTTACAATAAATGCTTATTAGTTATGGTCACTGTCAAGTAGTAGTCGACATAAGATGATGATGATCAGAACGGATATTAAAGATGATAAAGAGGAAAAACATTGTGACTATATGCATTTCTCATCGTGTAAAGAAAACTTGAAGAACAACGACAGTAGAAAGGAAAGCATAAAATGTTTTGGAGTGCAATCTACATTCATTACGCTTGTTTGTACATGATGATCGAATAGAAAAGTGATGCTTATACAGCCTTCACAGCAATTCATTCATTATTCGCTATCTTTTTGACTTCCATATACGTGTCTTGTCACGAGAAATGTAAGATCTTATTATTATTCAGATATGAGTTACTGTTCTGACTTATTGCATACTTGATGCATCCTTGAAAGTTACGTGCATATACACGCTCATCAAGAAAATATATTCATAACGTTAATTGGAATCAGAATGTGATACTAATAATTTTCGACAATGACAATCAACTATAGAACAAACACAAAAAGTTCATCTACATATATATATATATTGCATAAATTGAACCAACAATGATCTTTCCGGTAGTAAAATATTTCTTTTCAAATTTTGAAGCGTGAAGGCAACATTTGAATATAGAAGCAATCCAGCGTGTTTATGAAATATTATTCAAACATATTCATGTAGCTCAATCTATTTTACCCTATTGGCTGTAACACACTGGACAGATCTCATTTAAATAGAGGAAAGTCATATTGGAACCCATCTAACTACAAGAATACAATCTATACTATCATTGAAAAATTGCTATAATACTTACTTTTTTTAGTAACAAGTCCTCGGTGTACCCCTGCGTATTTTATGAAAATAGCGTTTTCCGAATTCATCTAGATATATTAATTAATTTTTCTAATTTAACCCAATGGATGGTATTCAATTGAATGATCTTCTATTGAAATATTTGATTTTCCAGTAATAATCTTTTTTTTTTTCATTATTGTAACACAATTTCAACTGTAATACAGCCAATCAATTATTTATTAATAATTCTAAAAACAAACTATTTAAATAGTTCGGGCTTTTTTTATTGACTTCAAACAAGTACAAATTCAAGTACATTAAATATTCTTGTCGATGGATCCGCTTCCACTGTTTCATGTCCTTTGAATGAAAAATTTATTTCTTTTAATTTTTTGTTCTAATATAACAATAAAGAAAGAAAACTTTGAAAATAACAAAAGCTTCCAGATCGATAATTACGGACTCTGTATACGAGGGCCATAAATGCCATTTCGGATCCTTTTTTTGTGTTTTTTCGGTTTACCTACGCGAAAAAAGGATAAAGATTTGATTCTGTTTAAATCTACCCTTACTAACTTGTAATAAACGAGTAATTTAATTGAATAAATCGGTAAATTATTTTTTTTGTTTTTCTTCTCTCAACAGTTTTTTCATCTCTTCACGATTTTTAGCAATTCTACTATCGATCTCTTGCATTTTTTGATCATAGTCACTCGTAATTTGTCCATGTTCTTCGTCGTGATGCTGATTCTTCCTAGCTGTTATTGTTTTGTTCATCAATGCATTATCTAATGATACCAGAACGTTTGTAGCTAGATTACTTTTTAGTGTGGATGGGATATTTAAACCTCAAGCATTGTTTTGTAGCGGTGATATACCAGCTACGATTGAATTTGATGATTTGAAATGATATTCAATCAGTGGCTATTGAATTGTTATGTCGTACTTGAAAATTATTAATTAATGATGGCGACCTATCGGTTGATTCATCAGTATTGCCCGCTGTTATTTTTTTTTATCAATTGCTAATCTAAAAAATTATGTGTAAGCAAAAAATTTCTTTATTTTTCATGTTCCACTGCGTGTCAAGGTGGTAGAAATTGAATTTTTTGATGTGGTGTTAACGTCCAAATCAACAATGTTGAAAGCTTCTGTACTTAATTTGTTTCCCACGAGGCAGAATTGACAATGAATTCGCTAGAATCCATATGCATGTTATCAACATAGCTAGGACAAGTAAAAGTATTTTACTTGCGAATGACAGAGTACTTGAGATTTCTCTTGAAATTATATGTACAGAAGCTTTTTACTAAAGTGTTGACTACTTCCGACAAAGGTTTAATGAGTAGTGTTAGGTCAAATTGTAAAAAGAAGTAGAGGAAAGTAAAAATTGTTTCTATTGAAATACTAATGCACTCGCTATGAGACGCTTGAAAATGACTTCCATTCTCATTGTTTGATATCCTGAAAAACGATGTATGCTAAACATATATAATTCTCGGTGATGTTCATAAGAATCTGGCTTGAATCAGGTCGACTATTTCTTCACTACGTTTTCGACTGATTGATATGACGCTATCAATTAGAGCACGAAGAATTTTAGCGCGAAATCTTGATGAAAAATTTCTTAACTAGATATTGAATTTTCATATGAAAAAGAATGATTTGATCGCACAATATTTGACTTAAAATACATTCGACGTATAAGATCTATTTTGTTATTTGAAAGATAATTTAGAGAAATTATTACCTAGAAACTTGAAATCTGCTGTAAAACAATGACCGAGCAATCTAAAAGTTATTAAATTTATCCACAGACAAACGGTTTCTAAAGCAAAGCTTGTTTTAAGAGATAGTTCTAAAATTCTCTCTGAATTTAAATTTGTTTTTATACGTTGTTTTTTATTGTTTCAGTTCTTTATTTGTATAGTTTCGATTGATCTTATCTTTTAATATGTTCCTGATTGTCAAACAACTCCTGTGTGGTAGTCTTGTTTTTGGATCTAACTCTAATGTACATAATTGAAATAACTGACTACTGGAGAAGGATTAGTATTATAGACAAAGTATAAAATTCAACTTTAAATTCGCATGCAGGATTTAGATCTGTTGTTTCTTGGAATATTGTGAAGAATTAAATGCTATTTATTACTCTAGTATCAACGCTCCAATTGTGAAACTTCAAAGAAAAGAGAAAGATCGTTGAATGACACAGGAAGAAGAAAAATATGCTTTCATCCTTGACGTAAAAATAGTTTGACACACAATATTTCTAATTGAGTATCAACACAAACATATGTCTCGAAGTATAAGTACCAAGCATTTTTGTTCAAGTACAAGTAGACATACTTTCGTTAATGCTTTGGACCGTAAAAATGTTAATACACAAAACATTACAATTTAATTGAGAAAAACGAAGCCCTGCAGCCAAATAAACAAATGAACCGATCTTTACTCTTTGAAGTCTATTCATCATTTACTACATCAGTTTTTCTTTGGAACGAAGCGCTAGGAATTAGTCAGTGTTGCATATTTCAAACGAATAATTGTTCATAATGAGACAGCTCGCATACAAAGTTCGGCTTCTATGATCTGTAGGTTATTTTTAAATGAGGCAAAGCTTGTCCATAGCGATAGATGATGAACTCGTCAGAGTCTGGCAATTGAGGGAAAATGCCATGAACTGAGTGATAGTTTTCTGGCACCGAATTTAAATTAATTTTATGCCTACTAAGTGATTGTGCATTGCCCAACAGTACTTTTACTTGAAACATAACACGTTCATTGTCATCATCTGGAAACGTACGCCCATGCTGAAGCTTTGGATTTTCACTGAAATAAGCTCCCTTGCCTAAAATGAAAGACAAAGTTCGTTGTGGTAAACCTGAATTATAAACGAAAAAAAGTTTAACTTGACGATTTAATGTAAATTTCAGTTTTAGAATTCCGGGTTCGATCAAACTCTTGATTCGTTTATATTTAGGCTTGAGTTGAATACGACTGTAGTTATCTTCGTTTGAAATGGTTATTCCTGAATCAAGATATTGCTCACAATAAAGGAATAGCAAACATAATATAATGCCTGAAACTTGTTCTCAATACTTGATACTGTGCGAGTGTGTCTATCTGCATCTAAGTCTAGGTATGAATGATGGTTTAGGAGCTTCACATCGTCTACTAATCACCACAGTGATTCAAATTCATCCTTTCTCTAGTATCAATCTTTATCGTATAGTGGCAATCTCATTCATTTGTCGTCTCATAAATGTCCATTATGACGAGATGCAGGCTGCTGCCGTGTTATTATCACGATATATGTGCAGCTAAGAAAACTGTTTTCGAACCTGTTTTTTCAAATTTATATGAGTGGAGCAACTTGAAAAGTGTCTTTATCGAGCCGCTGCTGTAGCCTATGTAAAATTATTAGCTGACTTCGAGAGTTTTTGCCAATGATCATATACTATTGCACTAGAGTTACATGTTTCACATCTTGGGCACCTCTTCACTGTCATAAATAAAGTAGAATATGTTGTTAGCTCTTTTGGCAGTCTAACTTTTTGTACATGGATGGATTGTTTGAAAAGAAACTACTAATGAGCACAGTAGCCAACACCATTTATTCTGTCATGGCAAAGAGGGTGCCACGTACTATTTAAAAGCTACCATCTCGGTTGGGCCACATTACTGAAAGTATAAAGCACAATATTATTTATGCAAAGTTTTATCTGTGACAACAATTTCTGAGCATTAAAAAATTTATTTCGAAAATAATTCAACCTACCCCAATTCCCATATCGATAGACTTGGTCGTGAAAGCCGTATTGTAAGATTTCATCAATATTTTTCCCTATTCAAAAAGAAAAGAAAGCTTGAGTAAAATTGTATATATCATGCGAAATTCTTTTCATCGTTAATTCAATTCCTATACAGTTGATATCCTTATTTACCCTTAGCACCGTGAAATAACGTCATTTGATTTCCATCAGGAAGTCCAGTTTGTTTTTGAATCACCTTCTTCGCTTGCTCATATATGCTTTCTAACTCTGCATTCTTGATTTGCTCGATGGAAATGATTTTCAGATCGTTTCCTCCAAAAGTCAATTTCATTTTTTCGAATATTTTTTGATAAACAGGTGAAGTCTTTGGTACCGGCGTCAATTCAATATTCGATGGTGGGCCCGGATTTGGTACAACTGGCGGCAGAGTTTCATCTATTTGTTTCCAGCCACGAGTTATCATTTTGTTCATTCTTTCTTCAATAACTGTTGCACACGGTTTATTATCGTCCCCGGCCAATAAATAAAAACGTTTTTTCTGTATATTATCGACTATTTTCTCCAAAGTAATTGAATACGGAGGGTATGTTATATCAACTCGCATACCCAAATGCTTTGTACAATCCTTTTCAACAAAGAGATTGTTTACATCGAAATCGATACGGTCGTATTTATTTATACCAATGTGTGGTGTGATCAAATCAATTGTAAAAGGACCCGTTTTTACATTTTGATCCACCAGTAATAAATATCTCCATTGGTCCCGATGCACATTTACCACCATTTGTAATTTTGCTAGCTCATTCAATATTTCGTCGATATCATACAAGCCATGTGTCGGCAGATAACAATCTAGATCAGCAGGTACTATTTCTGGGTGTAGATGAGCTGTCGAATCGTTAAATAAAATCCAATTATCAGCTGTTATATTATTTGGGCGTCCTAGATATTGACCAACTATCCAATCACGTACAAATCCACCATACAGCTTACAATCGAATTTGCAAACCATAATCCAAGCAACAGCCATCATTCTTGCCTCTCGACTACACTTATGTAGTTGTGTTGGATCGAACATCATATGCTTACTGTCGGTAACTTGAGCAATGCGCTGCTCTATTTCATAATAAATACTCTTGGTAGGAGTTGATGAGGCAACACTTGCAACCTTTTTTGACCCTGCTGTGGACACAGCCACTAGTACTCTTGGTGTAAGAGCTGAAATTAGGTAAAGATTATTGAGAATTGGGATTATCAGCGGTCAATGAAGATTATAGACTTCTTGAAGCATCAAATATGTGGTACTATGTCTAAATGCAAAGCACCGTCTCGCTACGTATAAAAACATGAAGGGTATTGTTTTGATGTGAATCGATAGAGCTCGCCGAACTTTATAAATCTTCTTAGCAACGAGAAAAAATAAGATAAAGTTGCTTTATTGAAAGCTTGAATTTACTTTTATATGAAAAATGTGTTTTTCTACAACGTTTTACAAAATTTCTCTGCCAACATAGATCCAAAAAACATTTTTTGAGACATTCAATTTTATAAAGTTCGGAAAACTCTATCAATCCATAAAAAACTATCCAAAACATAAACGCAATTTTGGAATTACCTTGCGCTTTACTTGAACATACGAATCTTAAGTCTTGGAAAGATATACTAATGCTCTTTTTTAAATCGATGAAGTGCTTATAAGTTAGCGTTTTACTCTAATAGCCTTACCGGTGGTGTTATGTGCTGGATGTGCTTTAATTTCCAGTGCCTTCTCCTTCCAGTGAATACTGTCATCAAGGGAGCCTCGCATGGCAGCTATAGAACTGAGATCTGTGTACAAATCAATGATCAAGGGATCATTAAATTGCAGCTCCCTGATCATACGCTGATAGTACTTTTCAGCGAGATGAAATTTGCCCATCTTCCACAGCACCATTCCCAATAAATGAAGATTTGGTTTTTTACTTCCGTATTCATTGGTCATATGTTGAAGCACTGCTTTTAAACCCGACTCGTTTTCTCCACACAAAGTCATTCTAATTCTCCAAATATTATCACCGGTTTTCTCAATCGAACCAAGACGAAATATGGAACCGAACATAAACAACACTTCCGATTCTTTAACAAAAGCGCTTTGTGATCTGATATCGGCAAATGGTTTCGTAGTTACTACGTTTGGATTGGCATCGATTTCGAAAATCACTCGCTCTAGATCGGTCGAGGTATACTTTGAATATAAGAAGGCTGATGCTTCTTGTGGACTAACACTTGTAGAAAAAAATGAGTTCATTGAGATAAGTTGATTGAGTGAATTTTTAAGAGTGGTCAGCTCGCTTTTCGATACCAGCTGACCTCTGTACACTTTAATTTTAGATTGACATTGAATTTCTTGTAGCTGTTGGCACAAATCAAGACAAAACGATCGTAAAAGAAAGAGTACATGAATGTCTTGCATGCGTAATGCTTTGTTTAATATCTTGTATAAGAAGCAATCGCGGGTATACCACCACAATGCTTTTTCAGAAGTATAATGGTGCTGAAATTCTTTTACAATTGCTAACTCAGTTGGGTCTTTTCTGTATTGCGTGTTGCACAGTTTAATGAGTTCACTTTTGTCTGCTTTGTTGTATTTTATTCGAAGAAGGACATCCATAAGCACCTGGTTATAAACAAACTGACCATTGAGACCTACTGTTGACTGTCCTGCTTGAACGTCATTGAAGTTAAAAGTATTGAACGACAATGATTCTGCCAATTTTTGTCGATATTTATTATCTAATTCGATTTGAGAAATGAGATCATCGGCGCTAACGAATATAGCTGTGACCTATAAATAGAGTGAAGTTTGATAGCGAGTGTTAAAATATCTAACCTTTTGGAATTCCTTTGCCCATTTTTCATGAAGTGCTTTATTAGCACAAAATACATAGATATTGATGACTTGATTAATATGATGAATGCGAGGGACCAACTTCTGACCCAACTGACCACTAACTATCAGCACAAGATAATGCTTAAGGGGCGCTTGAGTAATATATTTCCGGCATGTATCAACATCATCAAACGTTACCAAATGACTTATCAAAGCACGTAATCGTTGCTGTGCTTCTAAATGATGCTTGTCGGTATTGACGTGCGGATCAAGCCATATAAGATAGAATGTTTCAAGATTTGTATTGTCAGTTTCCAAACAGATCTCATCTGGATCATCACTTTCTGTATCGCTAAGTTCAAAGCTCATTATTTTCCAATAGAATGTATCTGAAACTGATATGTAATGTAAATTACATTATTACTTTTGAGCATAGTCAACCCAAGCAGATAAACATTTGAAAAAAACGCGTTTCTCGCGTTTTGTTAACGAGCGCTAATGGCTCACATCGCGTAGTTCCTGTTTGAGTGTTTAAACACGTTTTTCAAATGTTTGTCTGTTTGAGAAATGAAGAACAGCCACTGCCTATAGAAAGACATAGTAACTGCTGAAGAAAAATTGCCAAGTTAGCGCAACTAGTGAGCTGTGATTTTCAGCACTGCCATAAGATCGTTGAGACAGGCACAGTAAAAATGCTGCTGACTATTGTTATGCATTTTGGTATAGTGTGATCAATACTTTATTCTCTGTCATGTCTAACAGCATTTCAACTACATACTTACACATGTACAAATGAACTATCTGATTTATTTTAGTTTCACTATAATGTTCTAAATCAAAAAGACAAGAAAAATCTTTCGTCGTGAGGATAAGACGGCAGTATTCATACTACCAACAAGGATGTGCGTATGTGTGAGACTAAGCGGTTAGCAAAGATGAGTTTCAAAATATTTGCAGTAACTATCAAAGGTAGCTTCCAATGTTGTATAGTAAGACTCAATGAATGTTTTGTTAAAAGATAACTCCGAGTTAACATACGTATGAAGAATTGACGAAAATGATGTAAAATATGAATCCCGGCAAGATGCTCCCCAGGCAGATGCTCCCCGGACAGTTCCTCCCCAGGCATTTGCTCCCCACGGACACTTACTCCCCGGATAGTTGCTCCCCGGACACTTGCTCCCCAGGGGCATTTGCTCCCCGCGGACACATGCTCCCCGAATANTCTGTCCGGGGAGCATCTGCCTGGGGAGCATCTTGCCGTTTACCGTAAAATATGGTTGTTGATAGGTCAATGGAGCATCTTATTGTAGGTTAGATTAAGGCTTGTTACTGCTTTGATTCAAATTGTTTTATACTCATTTTGTAGCCCTATTTTTGCTCTACCCAAACCTGAAAAACACTTCTGGGCCGGTTGGAATTAGTAGAGAGACAAAAAATACAGTAGGCTTGCTCGATTATTGACTCTATAGTTTTTACACCGTAGATTTAAAATAAATTCAATTTTAATGCTCTATTTTCAAGAAACTAGAAATATCTCGCTGTGTTCACATGGAGATTCCTAGAATATATTTTCCGAATTCGTATAGACATTCTGTATTTTACTGTATACAAAGGTAATATCCAGAGGAGAACTAAATATTCAGTTTTGTGGAATAAACTTTACTGTACCAAATGACGTGAAACTCGAATCCGTTCTGTTAACATACTGCGGACAAAATGAGCAAATACCGACTGATCGAAGTTTGAGAAAAACAAATTTTCTTTTATAACCTGTAAAGGGTGTATTCAGTCTTAACTAGTCATCGATTTTTAATAGTTCTCGAAAAATTTAGATTTGTGTGCTTTTCACCATGCTCTTTCGTTTGCAAACATCGATGTAGGCCTGAATGTGACTAAGAGACGGATTGGGACCGAATGATTGGGTTAACTGAAGACTTTTTCTGACGAATGTTAGAGAGAGTTCGTGATGCAGTATAGCCTGTTGAATATACGATTTCTGGCTCGAAGACTTCTAGTAGTGGCTTCTAAGATTTCTTAAGAGTCACAGTTTGCACGCGTTTTTGTGCAATTTGATGTGATGCAGCTAATATTATTGTCCTATATTATGCATAAATGAGGTTACTTGAAAGGAACAGCTGATTGGCACCGTGATGGACGATTATTTAAGTGAAAATGTTGTTGCACCAAACAGACAAAGTAGAATAGCTGCAAACAATTTTTTCGCAGAATCACACTGGTGCTAATAATGCTTGGATGTGCTGTTGTGGGCGACACTTATTTCAGCGCAATTTTTGCGAATTTTTGTGCCTTTTGTTCTTTGCTTTTCAGTTATGATTATGATTCACTGGATGGGCTGCGAGAAAAAAAAATGAATGAGAAGTGAGTTTGAGTATATATTATGAACGTAGATAGGAGATTGGTATAGGTGTGGGCTGGACAGTTTTCAACAATAACACCCACCTCATCTCCATTCGTTTAATTCTGATGCCTGCCTCATGTACACTGTAAATATTTTTGAAATTCAATTGCAATCTTGTAGAAAATCAAGATAAATTCTACAGAAAGTAAAAAAATCAAAGTCACTGTCTAGAAAATCATTTTTATTAGCACCTTTATAAAGTCATAGTTCATTTAGATATATAAGCTATAGTCGGTAGTCGTATGCATTCATTATTTCTCAGGCGACTGTAGACTAGATAAGTTATATTTTTTTATTTTGGAGATCATTCAAGTTTTAAATTGCAATAGAATATTATATGGTTTATTTTTATTTACTGTTCTCATTCATTAACTAGATGGTATTCGAGTTTCACTCGACTACGAAATGCGGTGCGAAGCACACGAGCCGAATATTCGAAAGTAGTGAGAATAAGATTTTAAAAATAAATGATCCACTTTAAGATTCATTGCAAACGTTTATTTTTTTTTAATTTCCGTATACGAATTTTGAATAAAAATTTCGCATTCACTATTCTTAAATCGACCACTTTGAATTTCATCACCAGGAGATCTTTCTGAAAATGTAACAACCGGTTTTCTAACGATTTTTTTCATTGAACGATTAATTATTTTCATGAATCATTATCTTGAATCAGATGTAAAGCAATAGACTATTGGTTAACAACTATTGATGACGGTATTTTAATTAGCGTGAAACTATCAAACAATATAACCTTTCAAAACCTTCATTTTCGAATCATATTTTTAGGCGAACGAAACTTACTATTGTGAATCGGAAAAAAGATGTAACAAGTTCGACCTCCATAGTTTCATATCTAGTGTGAATGGATTTTCTATCATTTACGGTTCTCAAGATCATCGCGCTACTTTATTAGAACTTTTATGCGTACTCAAGTTAGAAAGAAACAAAAAAAAACTCGCGACGGACTACATAAATGCTGTGCTTCGCACCGCATTAATTAATGATATTTATTTACTATTTAGATACATCAGTTATATGAGTGATAGTTTTTTCCATTTTCTAATTCAATGTCCAGTATGTGAAACATTGAATGTTTCTGCAACATTTTTTTTTCGTATTTATTTTGTATAATTTACCTTTTATTGTATAACTTCACTATTTGCTATTTCAATTGTTAATAGTTTCTTTAATGTTCTTTTTTGCGCTCTGTACATTACCAATATGAAATTAAATAAATAAAAGATATTTCATTATGATATGAAATTCGTATGGACTTTTCTAGAATATCTTTCGTTATACTCTACAATATATATTCTAGTTTACAGAGTATGATGTAAAAAATTGAACTTACGATGTTGTTGTTGTTTTTACTCTTGTCAGAAAAAGAAATAATGAAATGTACCAATTTTAAAGTCTACGCGATCGAAGCAGTGGCAGACACTTCAGTGATTGTCGAGATGAAGTTGGCACGGTAGCTGAAAACAACAGCAATGCTTTTTCTTTTTGTTCTGACGAAAAAAAAACTGTGCACAACAGCGTTGAAATGCATTATTTTTTTCTTTACAACAGTCTTGAGGGTGTGAATGTGGATGCTAGGTGTATTTTCCCTTTAATATAATCAACGCCCAATGTTGACTAATAAGTTTATAACTAATTGTGATTGTGATGTTTAATTACGGAGACACGTGTCTTTTTTTATAGGAGAATAATCGAAACCATCCCCAGAAAAGCCAGAAAATGGCGAAATTCCGTAACGGCTAGTTTTTATTTCTTTTCGCTCTCCGAAAACTTATCCCAGCAAAGGTCTACCACAGTTTTCATAGTTCCAACTGTGGACTTTAATTTGGTAATTGTATAATCATTCCGTAACTAATCTGAAACAGAATAATTTACAATTTTCACTAGCACCCGAAAAAAAGATTCCATTTTTTTGAAATTCCATAACGGTCAGCATTTTCTGAACAACTCTGCTGTTGTTAAAACTAGGGTCAATCGATTTCTAGCTCCAATAATCGATGAAAATCATGTAGGTGTTGATTATTAGGCTAAATTTGTTTTACATGTGTTACTCATACGTCGCTCATCATGAAAAAGAAACAGGCTATGTAATGAGTTCAAAAGATTTTCATGTTTTATAGCAGAACCATCATTCTTATCGGCTACTCATCAAATAGCCATTATTAATCCAGGCATTTCAATCTGAACTTGATAAAATTATACATTTAGTGGCATTGATTGTCTTTCCCGATGGCTTGCCAATATTAACTGAAAAATAGTTGTATTTAATTATAATTGTTCAATATATTTTAAACCTTTTCGGACAAAAGATCATCATCACAGTATCGTTAATGCAGCTTATTCATTATCAACAAATACAATGTTTTACTAAATTCCACTTCATACAGCGGACGAACACTCAAGGAAAATTCTGGCAGAATATCGATCATGTCGGTCCAAAATATTCAAGTTTTTCTGACAGCCGAAGGTAGATACCAAATAGTGCAATCCACCTTTTCGGAACTAGACGAAAAACAAAAGGAAAATATGATTAATCGATTTCTTGCCATATTCTGGTGTTATTTTATATGAAACCTTCTCTATATTTATTCATTGACTAGAGTTAAGAAAAGTCTCAAAAGAACTTCTCCTATATCAATGAGAGCATCTATATTTTATGTGCTACTTGTCTAATGTTTTAGGACTAATATTATTGAGTTTTGGCATTCAGAATATGTGAATCTGTATCCAGAAAATCCCTCAAATTTCACTCCAGTCGATGAATACTTTTTGGAACGTCTCAAAATGCCACCAGAATACAGAAACAATAGTTTTTTTTTTCTTTTTTTTCTTTATAATCTAATTTCCAAAAAAAGGATGATCGTGGTCTGCAGCATATGACTCTTGAAAATCAGAATCAAAGTACTAAATTTTTAAATTAAAAGTTTGTCAAAATAATCTTTTATTTCAATTTCAAAAAAGTCAATAAAACGTTCGTTTAAAGCCGTACTGGTTAGGTGAACCTTACACATCAAATGAGAGGCATTGGATACTTGAAGAAAAACAAATTTCTGTGGAATATCTGCACGTTTACTTCAGTGGTACTGTTGGCCTGAAATTCCAGAATGATGTGATAGGATAGTGAACTTGATAAGTTTAACTTGTTTGATTCAGTTTAGTCTTCTGACTTTTTTGTCTGTGTTCTCATTTACAATTGATGTAAGTGTCTTTAGAAGTATCAAATATGTCAAGAAGTTTTAGTGGCTTTCAATGATTTCTTTAGAAAAGTGAGTGTCTTATTTATGAAATCTTCTAATTTGATTTTAGTCGTGTTGTTTGTTGCTCAAAGACCTGTTTTTATGGGAATTTTCTCGACTGAATTCGGATTTTTCTCTTCAGCATCCTTTTAATCAATGTTGATCGCGAAAAACGATATTTTATCATTGTCTACTTTGCTCTTCTTGTACATTCAGTGATTTTAGACCGAAAGATGTTAACTGATTTTGTTTGTCATTTGTTGTATGAAATAAACTTGAAGTTAAGGGTGTGGGTGTTCATTTCACACACCATTGAGATGATCTATGAGCATATACTGGAAATCTAAATTGAACTGTTCATAGAAATTCAGTGTTTTAGTTAAGACAATGTATAACAAGCATATGTCCACATTTGATTATTTCTCTAGTTTTTCGCGTAAGATTTGACAAGCTGTAGAGAATTCAGCGAATTAAGAGAACTGATAAACTGTGACGAATTTGATAGTGATGAAACATATCAAAAAATAATTGATCTACTCATTTTTTGTTTTCGTACAATGATCAATCTACTTATTGTTGTTTTTATGAAGTACAGTAAACTTACGATAGTAAAAGAATATTGTCACAGAAGTGTTTCTATTTCTATTTTACTGTCGTACTTTCACAAATATATAGATAATAAACTGGGACTGAAGGAAATTTTTCTTTTCAGGTAAAAAAAACAAACGCTGGCCATAGGGTAAAGCTATTTCTATAGTTATCGTCCACGGTACTTACTCCTACACCCTCCACATAGAAGCATTTTGCAACTGATTATCCCTAGAATAGCCGTCTTGTTTTCATGTTTTCTAATCTCTGCAAGAAATGAAAGGTCGACTTCAATCGGATAAACATGATAATAACAGAGGATTAAAATTACTACGTACAAGCGTACTTTTTCATATCGAATGCAATAACAAGGGATTTTTCGTATCGTATGACTGGAAAAAATGTCATTAAGGAGATTTTTGACTTCTACATCAAATCTTCTTATTACGTTTCACAATTTAATTCCGCTACGATTATATACTGAAAGTTTTGTATGCTGATTTGCAAATAGTTTTCTCCGTTGTATTATTGTTTATATTTTAATCCTTAAAGGCTATGCTTAGTTTAATGTCAAGCGATTTAATTAAATGTCATCAACAATAATTCGGTCTTTTCTCCTTTGATATATATATATATAGACTCAGGTATGACTGACAAGTAAAAAACCAATTTGTACCTACGGCAGTCAATAACAACTATATTCAATAGAAGAAAGATGCGCTTCATAACAGTATTAATTCTCGTTGCTTTGACGTTACTACATCAAGTCAGTAGTTCAACAGGTAGTACTTATTTCCATGCCTCGTTATCTAAAACTATGTGTCCGATGATTTGTTTAGATCAACTTCCTAGTGTTATACAACTGATAAATAAAGATGAGCGATTTACAATCTTGGCCTTGGCACTGCAAGCTATTGGTGTTACTGAAGCAGATGATGTGGAAGGTCCCTATACTTTCTTTGCTCCAAATGATGCAGCGTTCAATGCGGTACCACGAGATGTGGTTGAACATTTTTCAGATCCGAAAAATGTAGAAGAACTTGGTGCACTCCTTTCATACCATGTCATCCCTGAAAAAGCAATGACTGCAGCTCAAATACAAGCCTTGAGTTTACCAACACAATTGAAGACTTTGATTGACGATTCTGTTACAGTGAGCAGGGACAATAATCAGATTAAAGTCAATGATGCAACAGTGATTGCAAGTGATATTATCGCTAAAAACGGTATTATTCATGTCATCGACAAAGTTTTGATACCAAAAGCGAAAACTGATTAAAATAGAGCAGCAGCGCTCGTGTTTGTTCTTTCAATTTATTTCATTTTTGCTTTAATCTGTTTGAACGGGATGCTTCAAAAGTTTTCTTTTTCTTCTTTTAAATAGAGATAAACGAAACCAAATAGAAATGATGTTGCTCATGTTTTTGGTTGTGGGTGTGGGTGTGATAGGATGTAATACACACTCCACACTCTCAGATTATTGCGATAGTTTTTATTGCATAAGCAATTTTCTTTTTCAAGAGGAAAACGAACAAACAAATATGATTAGTAATAGAAAAGTATTCATGATTACATCTGGTTCCGTATAGTACCTCTTGTCCATTTAATATTTTTTGTGAAAGTCATCGACCAGATGAATTCTCATGAATGAACGGTGTATGTACAAAGTGAAACATTCTTTCATACAAATCAATCACGTTTTAAAATTACTTAAACAAGCTGCATGAGAATGTGACGAATATTATACATCGATTAGTTTTATATCGGATAGTGATATATTAAATCATTCATGTACGCACAGGTACTTAGCGAAATTATATTCAATATGACATTGAATATATTGAAGAATTTACTATGCATTGCCGAAATAAATTTGAAAATGAGTATTTAATCATCTGCCTGCTTGGTGACATTCATAATCATATCGCAGAAGTTTATTTAGAACCAGTAACTAAGAATGACATACGATCCTTTATACTGTTTAGCGACAACAGGGCATATCAAAGGTGGATTCATCTCGTTCAATAATTTCAATCCTGAGTTAGTAGGAGTTCTCTTCGATATCATCAACACTGTTCGCTGCCATCAACGAAATCAGCTACTATCATAATTCCGAACAAGAAATTATTTTCTCTATGTATGCTACTTTTCGTATCAGGGATATAAAGCAGATTCATGATACTGAGCTATTCTACAAAGTAGAACTCACAACTCAGTATTGTTATAGAATCATTGAGAAAACAAACTCGATCGACAAAGCCATGGAACCTAATAAGTCAAATGTACTTCAAGTTGGGTGAGTTGCACCGAGCTGAACAAGAGTATCGGAATCATGTTAATCTAATGGCTCGTCCAGAAATGAAAGCACATATGTACAATCAGCTCGGCTACATAATGGCATGAAAAGTGAATTTTGCTGAAGTGCTATCATTTTACCAAAAAGTAGCTGATTTTTTCGATCATATGGGTAAAGGCTCAAAAGCGATATCGTTCTACAGTAAAGCACTTGAAATCATGGAAAAGATACTGCCTATCATAATATCGGTAAAATTTTTTCGACTATGGAAGACTACTCGAAGCAATTGTATTTTATAAGAAAGCACTTAATATCGATGACAAGAAGCTGCCTCCAGACCATCCAGATTTAACTTCTACTTATGGTAGTGCTGGTAATGCATACGCTGAAATTCAAGAGTATTCAAAAGTAATCGAACTTTCTGAAAAATGACTCCAAATCCTAAAGAAAAGACTTTCTTCAGATCACTTCGATTTAGTTATTTTCCATATCAATATTGTTTTCCTACATATGTGACAACAAGCGACAACGCCAAGGCAGTTTCATATTTTGAAACGACGCTTCAGATCTGCGAAAACGTGTCTTCTCCAGATGAAAAGATATTTATGAGACTATAAGAAAATATCGCTGCGGCATTGACTGTGAATGTAAACATGTGTATCACAGCATATATTGGAAAGTTAAACTAAAACTAAATCTAGGAATAGATTTAGTTTTAGTTTAACTTTTTCTTTTCTCCATTTATATTCGAACTCGAATTAGACAGCTACTCATTGCATCACGCCCTAATAATATAGACAGAGTACAACAAAATTACGAAATTTTTTACGATGATCCATTTTGACCGACTGAGAAAATTCTTTAATTTAGTTGCTCAAGACAAAATTGCATTCATTATCACTGGACGAATTTCTATGTTTGAATATGATAGAAAATCGATTTAAAATTTGTCAAATTTATATGGAACAAATAGATGGTAAAAGAATCCAAAATATAAAAACTTTTGATGCTGTTCGCTCATTATGTTTTCGTATTTTAGCTGAAGATGATTATATATTTTTTATGAGATTTTCAATTATTTGAATAGTTATTTTCTTTGAGATAAATTGAAAAGTTCTATTCATTACTTTTATTAACTGCTCAATTCTTTATGACTTTTACCTCGAATTTAATTTGATAAATTCATGTTAGAAAAAATATTCTTTTTCATGCTGACACGGCAACCTGATGTTCACGCGGACCCCAAGTGTGTGGGTGTGGATCTCAGCATCGTTAAACACCCACGCCTTCAAGATTGCACTCAGATATAGTAGATTCGCCGATTATGTGGCTGATGTCTACTTTATTTAGATGCTTTAATAATATTACAGAGCTTTTTTTAGAAAAAAAGAAAATTTATAATTGAAATTACTTCAGAGAAAAATTATTTTACAATTTTATAACAGTATACAAAGTTATGAAGAATGTTCCAGAGTTTTATTTGGTACCATATTCGTTATTTTTTTTTGAGTTGTTCTACTCTCTCAACCAGCGCTGGTAAACTTGTTGCAGCAGTGCCACCTAAATATTGATAATTTTTCAAATTAGAGTAATTTGTTCTTTCTAAGTTCACATCGATCAACGTGGCACCTCTTCGTGAAGCCGATTCCGGTAATCCAGCAGCAGGGTACACTTGAGCAGAAGTACCAACAATGATCATCACATCGTCGTGTCCTAGTTCTTGTGTAGCTATCTCTGCACCCATCCATTGATCTCGTGGCAAGCTTTCTGTAAATAATACACAATCAGGACGTAAAGTAGAACGACATCCTTGCACACGACACGTAGGAGACGTCCTTGGGAGATTAGTTTCTCCCTCAAAATCATAAATATGGCCGTTGGTAACACATCGACTACGTTGAACAGTTCCGTGTACCTCAAACACCCGATCAGAATTAGAGCCGGCTCTCTGATGTAAACCATCTACATTTTGTGTGATGATAGACATATCAGGATATATTTTTTGTAAACGCACAAGGGCTCTATGACCTTCATTTGGTTGTGCATCACGTATTGGATTATAAAATCTGTTAATATATTGACTCCAAGCAAAGCCAGGAGTCCATTTCCAACCAAATGGTGTACCAAACCATCCCAATACAATATAACCCAGAGCACCATTCCATAAGCCACTCCCACCACGAAAAGTTTCAATACCTGATTCTGCCGACATACCTGCACCAGTAAAGCAAACTATACGTTGTGCATTGGCAACGATCTGTGCACATTTTTCCAGCATATCAGGATCAGTTGTCATCGTGAATGTTTTTTCTAAAATTGTAGTCAAACATTTGTAAAAGAGAAAAACAAGGTTACATCATTATAATCTGTCAATTCTAAGATGTACGTGCTGTATATCGACGCAATCTACAACTAAGTTTGATTGCGGTATGATGAGTGAAAGTATGTATTACAATTATATCAATAACGAGTATTGAGAACACGTGTATCAAGAGAAAGGTCCGATTCCCATCCACTTTTTATCAGTTTTGCTGAAACCTCCAATATGTAGACGGACACAGTTGGTATAACCATTTCCAGTCGAAACACCAGCTCAACAACATGTCAGTTAAGTTAGATCTTTCATCATTGTTTGTTGTTTGGCCAATAATCGATTCAATAGAAAAATAGAAAAAGTGATGTCGCACATTGATAGAAAGAAAAAAGAAGACTAATAAAACTCAATACAGTCTATAGTTTTATTCGTGCTTTATAGCATTAATCGATATTCTATTCAATTTTACAAGTGGAAAACATCGGATTTCGGGATTCTATCATCTACGGTTGTGATTAATATGTAGTACAAGGAAATTTATGTGAATACAACGATTGTCAGGCACATGCCGACAAAGTAGAGTAACCAACCAGATCCATATCTTGAAATAGAACATGCTGCTAGAGGATTTTTTTGCTGTAACGATGGATTTTCATATGCACTTGGAAACCATGTGTGTGCGACGCCATCGAGAATAATTGCACTACCGCTAATTAGTGCCAGTGCGGCTATTCTATCTTGTGAATTCAGTGAACATACTGCTTCAGTAATGCGTACTAGAGCGTAAGAAGCTGGTAATGTAGCAGCCATCGTAAGACTTCGATGTAGATTGGTATGATACATATATGGTCCTCCATAGCGAATAGCTCCGACACCCATTCCCCAAAGAACCGCGCTATAGCCAACTAGTCCACACGTTTTTGCTAAACTCCAGTTGTGTAAAACCATCTTTTTAATTATATAATCGAAATATAAGTTTCCAGGTGCATGCTATTGTATTTTTGAACACTATCTACAAGTATTATCATTATAAAATAACGGTTGGTGAGAAAGTATCTGGAAGTACTCGAGACGACTGAAAAATCTATCAGCTAAAACCAAAATTCAATGCTCTTTCTGCATATGGGCTTAATAAGTTTTTGTCTAATTTTACTCCAGAGTAGAGTGAGGAAATCTTTGAAAGGCATGAAAAATTGGTTTAAACGAAAAAACTTTTCATACGTTTTTTGCATTTTCACTGTTGGGATCGGAAACTAAAAGTTAGTATTTCAGTTCCTTTTTGTATTTTGACAAGTTACCTATTTCGTTTATTCTGCGCCCTGCTTTTCGAAAAATCTACTGTTCCATTAAAATATTTTTACCCAGAAAGGAACTCGTCGTAAAATGCCTATATATCTTTATTTGAGTATAAGCTACAGATTAGTTCAATATTATATTTTGTAAGAACTATTTACTCTACCAAAGTACTGAGTCGGGCAATTTTTAGCATCTTTTTAAAGAAACTTATAAAGGTTAACAAAACCTGTTGTTCATATTTTGAGCTTATCGTTTAGATCTTAATAAAATGTTGGTTCAAGATCATAGCTTTTAAGTCATATGGCATTCTTTCAAGTACACCAAAATAAAATATATTTTGTACAGAAACTTCAACCCACTTGTTTCGTTCAAACTAATTTTTTAAGCCTTTGAGAGATTCCCTCACTACTCTGGGGCAAAATCAGACAAAACCATTCTGAACTCCTATATAGAAAGAGAATCGAATTCTGACTCTCCGTTATAGATTTTCACATGTCTCTAGTACTTCCAAGAGGGTAAAAAATGAACAAAACTTTTGCCCAGAAACTCTCGCACCACCAGTCAGAATGTTCTGTAATATTTATCTGCAACTAAATGATGTCACAAGTAAAAAATATTTGGATGAGAGAAAGCAAAAGTCTATGTGGTTTTATTTTATCAAGTAATCTTTCTCATATGACATTCGTAGTGTCATCATATTTTTTCAGAAAGAAGAGTCATGAGGTTTTTTCATCCTGTTGTCCTATCAATCGTACTAATGAAAATAACGAAAATAACAGTCTAATCGATAAAGATTTATTTTAAGCATACAAAAATGCTTGTGCAACATTTTGATTCGTGAATGTTTTACGTCCACTCTTCTCTACTCATAAAATAGAGCAAGTGAGGCTGTTATATATTCAGGATTTTTTTGCAAAACTTTCACAATTCATTGCGACAAACTGTCACAGAGATATAAAAAGAAGGCATATCTTTCTCAGCAGTTTATCTGCTAGAAGTATGCGCTACTGAAGGCAGAAAGAAAAAAAACACTTTTCCCAACAAACATCATACAGAATGAGCAGAAAAAGAAAACAACAACAAAAATCGAGAAAGAAAAAAACAAACGGTTAGTTTCTCGAATGGAGTAGTCAAATACATTGTGTATCTAGCTGATAAAAAGAAGATGTCACTCATATAACATGACTCTTGTATATATCAATACTATCATATAGGACAAAATAGTCATGTAGAAAATCACTAGGATAATTTTTCGTCAGATTACGGTTGTAAAATGACAGCGAAAAATCTTGTAATAATTTCGAAGCAAGAAACTTATATAGGTAATTTTGAAAATCCTATAATTCGCTTCTGAATTTTCTTTTTTTGATAGTGTATAGATTAATTTGTTTTATGCATGACGTCTTCTGACTATTGTGTTATGGATTTTGATAAGTAGTAAACCACTATCCAATTGTTAACCTAATAAAAGCTTTAGTTTATCACGCATGTATATCGAACTATATTGTTGTAAACAATAGGTATATATATACGAAGGTATGGAATGTAACGGGCATCACCAGAAGATAATAGATAGTTAAGAACTCACTAGAGAACACATACACAAGAAAGAAAGAGAACGAACATACTAGAAAGATTACATACATTCAATCATACAGAACGAAAGAAAAGGATAGATGGAATACATATATGTGATGACGTCACAATAATGATATAAGAAAAGAAAACATACCTAGGTGAATAAATCCGATGTTGGATCCCATCGGATCTGGTGGGATCCGATCAGCCGACAATATCCGATGGGATTCCTGGTTGAGGAATCAGTGACGGATCCGACAGTCGGATTCCGATGAATATCAAATGCTATACGACTGCAGTAACCTATGGGACTTACGGCATTAGAATTCAAATAGGATTCCAGTCGGATTCTATCAGTCTCTTTGGAAATGGCTACACTGGTCTATATGCATCTCACAACTTTGTTATGGGCCATACCACTACTCAACTAATAAGATTCCTCCTAAATTATTCCCAAAAAAACAATGTCACTAGCTATTCCACAGATACTCTCGTGCTATCGCCCAACACAATCCATCTCAAAATATGCAGAAAAAAGAAACAAATGCATGAAAAAAATCTATTACTACATTTTTCAGAAACTTACTTCCATTAAATAAAATAAATCACATCAACTACGCTTTCCAAGACAATATCATTAGCCAGAAAAACTGAACATTAGAATCTTAGTAATGCAACTGCTGCTGAATTAGCGCTGATTCAAACTTGAAAAAAACGTTTTTGGAATTTTAGATAGAGTATTCGTGCTTAGATAGGGCATAATCTAGTAAGCTTGCATAATTGTGAGATTTGTAAGCAGTTAAAAGGCAGTGTGTGTACGTTTTTGTTTCGCGGCTGTGATACATTCGGCAAAAATGCTGCTGTTTGAATATGGAGTAGAAAATATTTTCACCATTCCCAAGGGTTTCTAAGAAAGTGGAGGCTCGTGGTGTTGCTAGTTGGAAATGAAGCTGGTAAACGGAGGTGACATGTACAATCGTATAGACTTTTAAAATGCACATAATCTCCCGGTGTGACGTTCGAAGTAGTATTTTATGGGTTTGGATAAAATTTTAGCTAGTTTTTTTCGTGGCATGAAGGAGTAGTGACTTCAGTGAGATATCTCGGCAGGTTGATTGGTTCATTTGGAAACTATTTTATGTTTTTTTTGGAATACCGTTAGACACGTACTTCAGGTGGATACAGGGGAAGAACCATTTAGTATTTACGGTTTCGCTGAATTTGTTTTAATTGTATTTGCCACTCAATTTCTTTATAGTGTATTAAATTGTGTACTCATCGTTTGGGTCTATTGTTCAAATTAGCAGCTGCAATATATTTTTTAATTTCTTATTCTTTGGATGTTGTGTGAACTACCATGGCATCGGCGAATAGCCTACACTAAAGCATATTATCCGGTTTTTCATCTGATCCTTCGAGATTCTATTGGAATTCAGAGGATCTGATAAAAACCAAGTATAGGAAATCTCTTGGGATTATTAGTGTTGGAACCTGGCGTGTCCCATAGGAACATGGTGATATCTGGTAGGTTCTTATAGGAATTTCGTAGGACTGTTCGACCCATGGGATCCTACTGAGTTCGTCTATCGGAAATTATAGAGTTATCATCGGTTTTCCACTCTCGGACACGAGAAGTTCATGATAACTGATTCCCATCGGATGCGTGAAGTAAATTTCCGTCTGATTCCGACACTAAGAATCCGACTGTAGGCCCAGAACCAGGATTCCGATGCGATCATACAGGATCTCTATCGAATCTGATCGGATCTGGTCGGATCCTATTGTCGGATTGAATCTACTGGGTACCCCCGAGGTCGAGAAATCAGACATCAAGATCGGTCACAGATTCTTATCCGATCGTATCGATTCGTACATGATCATGTAAGATCCGACGAAAAATCGTCGTCTCTGAAATCTTACATCAAGAATTACGGTAAGATTCTTGTATGATCCATCAATAAGATCTTATATGACCAGATAATATTGGAGATTGAGCATTCCGTTGCTTTATTGCGAAAATCGGTGTCATTGGTCGTTGGATGGCTCTATATGTCAGTGAAGAATCAAGTTAACCTCACTTCACTAGGAAGGATTTTATTTTTGAAGAAAATATATAGTCAAAAAAGCTGGACCACAGTGTTAACGATTAAAACGAAAAAAAGAGAAACACCTAACTTAATGGACAAATCTCTATCAATTAAAATTTGACCTCTAAAATCATGGTAGCTATTTTCATTTTTCAGTAACAAATAACAATGTTTCATCAATGCTATTTAGATTTTGTTTTAATTCTGTTGATGAAGCATATTTGCTACTTTGGTTTCTCTATATACAATCGTCCTTCTCAAAGTTAGTGAATGTTAGTTTTTTCGTTCTGTAACTTTTCTCTCTAGATATATAAGTCATTCAAACTATTTTTGTTTCTTTTCTCGTTGTTTAGTCCGCTTATTTTCTGATAACTGACGGAATACTTTGTACACAATACTAGATATATAACAACGTCCGTCGTCCATTCGAAGTCAATACAAAAACAAAGAAAAAGCAATAATTGATGAATTGTTGAAGCAAACGATAATCAATGGATTATTAGAAAAAAATGAATGCCCCAGGTCGACCAAAACGGACCACCGTAAACCGGCCGTTTTAAGCCGTATTAAAGCGTTTTAACAGAGGCAGTATTACGGCCATACACGGACACCGTATATCAGCCGTAAAACCTCGTAAAGCCGGCGTAATATTATCGTATTCTATAGAACATACGGCCGTATTTGTATCGTATACGACCGTTTACTGATCGTTTTCTTCGACCGGGGGCTACCCATGTGCAAGAAAGCGGTGCTTAAAACGAGCTGACGGATTACACCGAGATCAAGTGAAAATCAATGGTTCAATTGTCCAGGGTATACAACATCATGTAAGATAACATTTTTATTAGCTTTTCGTTATTGTTTTGGCAACGTAGGAGATTGATCTTGACAAGCTGGAGCGTGAAGAAAGAAAAAAAATATTTAAAAGCTCAGGATGATTACAACAACGCGAAGGAAAAAAATATGAATCGAGATGACTTAAAAATCTTCGAAGATCAAATGGATATTCAAAATGAATGTACAAATTTAGTTCTAAATGCTGTTGAAAAACTTAGAAAAGGCGAAATATTCTGACACAACACTAGCCCCTGATGCTGCTGTTCCTGTTGAAGAAGTAGCACCAACTGAAGTTGAAAAGAAAATTGAAAAAGTTGAACCGAAGAAAAAAGAAGAAACACAAAAACAAAAGCAAACAGATGAATCAAAATTTAAATTTATTAAATATATTGCATCACAAAATTTGATGGAATGTGATTCACTTACAATTGATTGTACATGTCAAGGTTATAGTATTGACTTTTTTTATTTAAAAAATTTCTTGATTATGTTTTTGTTGATTTAGGTCGTGATGATGATGATCTTGAATTAATATGGTTACGAAACAATAAAAAAATTGCTAAAAATCGAGATTTTCGTCATGAATGTGAACAAAATACATTCAAATTAATTGTTACTGCAGTGTAAATATTTGAAAAGATTTTTAAATGATTTATTAAATTAAATTTATATAGATTTCCTGATGATTCAGATGTATTTTCAGCTTTATTAAAAAGTAAATTAACAAATAATGAACAATTTTCCTCTTGTTCAGTTATTATTCAAGGTGAAATTAAAATATATTTAAAATATTTCATAAATCAAAAATCTTTGTTTTAAGCCCGTGATAAAGAACCACTCGATCCTAGCTTTGTTCAATTTCCACAAAGTATTAGGTTAGAAAAAGGTGGAAAAGCTAAATTTAATTGTAAAATATCGGGATCAACACCAATGACAGGTAAAAAGAATATTTCTTTATAAAGTATCTTTTTTTCTTTAATAGCCCAATGGAATTTTAATGGTAAACCACTTGATCATGAATCAAATCAATTTATATTAACAAATGATGAAACAGAATTTTCACTTGAAACTCTTGTTGTTTTAGCAGCAGATCAAGGTCAATATTTTGTAATTATTTCAAATGATAAAGGACAAGTTACAGCTGCATATAGTTTACATGTTGATCAATCATAAATATTCAATCAATGGAACAAATAAAGTTTTAGACTAACCTTGAGTTTGTTCGAATACATTATGTTGTCTTTTTCTTCTCTATTTGTTGATTTGTTTTTCTATGTGTTGATTTTTGTTCTTCTATCTTCATTTATTTTCTTGAACATCATTATCATAAAACAACGTTCAATAAACATCTGAAAGTCTAAATGGTGTATTTGGATCTTGATAAGCAGCATAGACTAAGGCATCTCGTGTTTTTTTTTGGAATTAACTAAGTAAAATCGGATAGAACATTCGGTTAATTAGGACAGAAATTCATCTATTATAGTAACATCAGGAGCTCCACCTGTTGAATCATACCCGGCCATCAGCAAGCTTGAGACGCGAATCCAATCTGAACCGACACGCGTCCGAGTCTAGAACCAAACCGATCGACTCTACTCTCTTGCCATGTAGCTATGATCTAGTAAATCAACCATTTCTACATTTATTATCATGATTGTCTGGAGTACAAGTCATTTTCATGTTTTATTACAAAAGTGTACGACAAAAGTAATATTTATAATTGAGGAAAATATGAATGAAAATTATCTGGACGAACAAAAGGCTTCTCAGTAACAAGAGTTTTCAACTGTGTAAAATTGAGACGTGCTGCATCATTGGTGAAATTGTTTGTTATCATCACTAATGATTCATATTGGATTGTGAGATGTAACAAACAAGGCAAACGAATTTAACTTTCGAAGAGAAATTGTTCAACATAATCGATGTGTGCCAATTCAAGATTGAGAACAGCAAGATGAGAAAATGTAATGAATGTAATCGAATTTTTTTTAGATTTTTGTGGTTCATCATTCTGTATCGATAATGTTTGAAGAAAAGGAAAAGATTGTGAGATAATTCGGAAAAATTCATGTTCAAAAGGGCATATATCATCGGTGACTATCACCGATCGAACTTTAATAAATATGCCACCTTGAAAAGAATTAGTCACATTGTGAAACATGTGAAATTGATATGGAAGTGAATAAATATATGACATCGAGCTCTAATTTTCATTGTATTATCATCAGCATATGAACCAATTTGTTGATATCTTCTTTCGATAAAACTACGCTGAATATGATCGTTTGAAGGAAGAAAAATATTGCTTCTTCTGTTGCAAACACGAGTCGTTATACTGAAAGTAAATTTGTTTAGCCGTGGCATAGGAACGAGAATTTCATCATTTAAATGAATGCCATCGATATAAGTCGAATTGATTCCTTTCACAAAAAGAAATAATGTTAGCTCCTCGAGATTTGACATTCGACGAAATAATGGAACAAACTCATGATAATAAGATGTTGGTGAAATCGAAGTTAATGACAAATATTTCAACTTTGAAATTGTTTTCTATAAGGAAAAGACGTAGGATATCTTAGGTCAGGATTCGACTATTACCTGTCGCGATTCGGCCAGGAAATGTTTCCAATTGCCACACGCTGTTTCCA